GACTAATTCAGCCAATGCTGATTTCTATCACCCAATAATTTTTGCGAATCACCAAAAGCACATATTTCTATCACCCAACAATCTTTCAACGAATTGATAGAATCAATTCTCTAAATTGGAAAGAAGTGTAGGGATCACAAAAATAGAAATTATATTAAACTGAAATCATAATTTTCATACAGCGTGGGAAGTAAAATGAGAATAGAAATAAACTTCTAACTACTCCCTCTTAGTTTGACATCCATGGGGAGAAATGATGTCACACACAGGTGGAGATCTTGATGGACCTTGATCTGTTGCGCCAGGCAAAGGTGGTGTTCATGACTTGGTTGCTCCAGGGCTTCCCGTGCAAAGACTTTGAGTGACTTTCAACTCGAATCTATCAGCGTTGTCACTCGCTAGTGAGAAGGGGGAAGAGATGAAGGAGGTTTGTCGAGGTTGTAGACGGCACCAAAAAAGAAGGATGAGATGACCAGCTCGAGACAAGAACTGAACCTAGGGTTGAGAGGGGAGAGAAATCGAAAAGTCCCCCCAAATGTCACACCCTCCTTTGCTTAATACATTAATTTATTTCTACTTTCCACATTTGCCCCTATAACCATAGATATTAAGAACCAAGCATATATGCATTAAAGAAAGAATTATGAAATTAAATTCATACAAGATTTGTAAAGATAAAAATAAAGGGCAACCATTGGTCACCTAACATTATATTGCATATAAGTATTAATGTATTTGTGTCATTTTCGAGCATACTTTACGCTCTATTATTGAATTTGATCTACTTGTGGTGATAATAATCTAGCAAGTTATCACAGCCTCCCACTTAATCATTGTTAGTCCCTTAGCAATTTGGTAGGAATCAAAAGTGAAATAGTTCACCCCTCTCCAATTTTTCATCTTTCAAATATCCTCAATTGTTGATAATCTAATATGCATCAAATCTACAAGGTGAGAATCAAAAGAGTTTTGAGATCTATATTTGGATTCTTTCATCATGCACATACTTTCCACTTCTCTTTTCTTGCTTAATCTCTAATCCATCAATTTGTGTAACCTCTTTCATTTTTTGATCTGGATCTTGTTTGATGTTTTCTTTCACCACCACTATGTAGTGTAGTATTTGGTTCAGTGATTTATTTATTTTTCACGATATCATATAGCAGACAAATATCCCTATATTTATTCTCTTTTTTTTTGTTTTAAACATATAAGAGCGTTATTTGTCCAAGCCTCACATGTGGAAGCCCCACAGGACAAATGGGAAACCCCTTTTTAAACACGTTTTTCTCCTTTCATGGTTTTTATTATATATGTGAGAGATTTTTGCTCAAGTCGCACATGTGGAAGCCCCATAGGGCAAATGGGAAATCCCTTCTCTCACATTGGTTTCTCCTTTTATTCATTATTGTGAGAGATGTTTGCCCAAATTGCACATGTGGAAGCCCCATGGGACAAATGGGAAATCCCCTCTCTAATGTTTTTTTCTGTTTTTTTTTTTGTTGTTGTGAGAGACATTTGCCCAAGTCACACATGTGGAAGCCCCATGGGACAAATGGAAGCCCCAGGGGGCAAATAGGAAATCCCCTATATAAGATATGACTATAAAATGGTTTAATTTGCATTAATCATCAAACTATCACTTTACCTCCTACTGACATATATGATGTGTTGTAAAGAAAAACACTTCCACATTCACTTTCACATCCAATATTAGAGTTCACATCCTTTAGGATTTTGAGATGCAATATTTGTTCCATTAACTTTTCTGTGCAATTAGAAGGTTTCCTCCTATTTCTCATCAAAGACTTTTTAATTCATCTCACCCTCCTCCCTCAACATGCATCCTTATCAATAATTTCAGCTGATATATATATGTTCTTTCACAATTGCCACTGCAACATTCTACTATTTTCCTCATCCCCTCTCAACTCAACTCATTGTCTTCAATGACAATATATTGTATGGATGATATTCAAAGTTAAACAAATAAAACTTCATAAGACGTGCATGGGCATAAAGAATTGCAACCACTAAACCAAATTGGCATAACTCACCTACATGCTTTCAAAAGATGATTATTGTTGTGTCATAATTGGTTCAAGATGTAAACGAAAAGACTTATTTGCAGAAATTAAGTGCACTAAAAGAAAACTACTAATTTCAACTTGAAAAATTCATAGCAATCAAAATTTATACTTTTAAGGTTGCCTCCCTAGCACCACTGAGTTTTATGTCGTCAGCCAGACAGTCCTATTGATCAAGTGGTGGCTAGTAGGTCAATCTTGTCCCCTACCCCCCTTTCATCATGTTCTAAGTGAGCTTTAATTCGATGTCCATTTACCTTAAAACAACGATCAGATTTTGGGTCTCTAATTGTGGAGACTTCATATGTATTTAGGTCTTCTAAAATGTATGGTCCATCCCATTGGCTCCTTAATTTTCTAGAGAAAAGTTTAAGTTTTGAATTATATAACCATACCTATTGATTGAGTGAGAATTATCTTCTAGTGATGTGTTTGTCATGAAATTCTTTAGTCTTGGCCTTGTAGATCTTGGCACTTTCATATGCTTCATTGCGCAGTTCATTTAACTCCTGCAAATCTAAAAAATACTTCTTGTCAACTTTGAACAGATCCATATTTAATTGTTTGATTGCATAGTAGGCTCTATGCTCCATTTCTACAAGTAAATGACAGGCTTTACCATAGAATAACTTAAAAGATGAAGCACCCAATAGAGTTTTATATGCCATGCGATAAGCCCACAATACATCACCTAGCTGGGTTGACCAGTCCTTGCTAAGTGAGACAACTTTCTACATAATCAATTTAATTTCACGATTAGCTAATTCAGTTTGTCCATTTGACTTGGGGTGATATGTCATAGTCACTCTATGCTAAACATCATACTTCTGCAAGAGATTTCAAAATGAACATTAGTTAAATGCGAGCCACCATCACTAATTATTGCTCGAGGGCATCCGAATTTAACAAGAATGTGATTGCGGACAATCTTTGTAACCACTTTATGGTCATTGGTCTGAGTGGGGATAGCCTCTACCCACCTGGATACATAATCTACCATAAGCAATATATATTCAAAACAAGATGATGAAGGAAAGGGGCTCATAAAATCGATGCCCCATACATCAAATATTTCAACTTCTAAAATGAATTGTAAAAGCATAGAATTTTTCTTCTTTATATTGATCGTGGCTTGACATTTGGTACAATATTTACTAAAAATATGTGAGTCTTTAAATAAAGATGGCCAATAAAACCCACTGTGTAATACCTTTGCCATTATTTTTCTGCTTGCAAAATGACTCCCGTAAGGTAAAGAATGACAAAATAAGACTTTACCTTACTCCTCCTCTAGAACACAATGTCTTAAAATTTGGTCTTCCCCTAAATAAAATAAATCAAGATCATCTCAAAAAAAATATTTTACTCGAGAGAAGAATCGATCTTGTTCTTCTTTTCTCCATCCTACAAGTATTTTTCTAGTAGCCAAATAATTGACCATATTTACATACCACGGCAAGTTTCTTACTTGCTGAATTGATAAAAGTTGTTCATCTGAAAATTCATCCTACAACATAGATCTATCAAGTTGCACAATTTGAGATAAATGATCAGCGACCACATTTTCAGAGCCCTTTTATCCTTAATCTCTAGCTCAAATTCTTGTAATAACAAAATCTATCGTAATAGTCTAAGTTTAGCCTCTTTTTTAGTTAATAAGTATCACAATGCTGCATGGTTAGAATAAACTATTACTTTTGATCCTATGATGTATGACCTGAATTTTTCTAATGCAAACACCACAGCTAACAACTCTTTCTCCATAGTGGTGTAATTGAGCTGCGCATTAGTTATGGTTCTACTAGCATAATAAATCACCACAAGTTTATTGTGTGTTCACTATCGTAAGACTATGCCAATAGTAGAATTGGATGCATCACACATGATCTCAAACGGTCTAGACCAATCCAGTGTTTGGATAACTAATGCTTCCATTAGTGTTGTTTTAAGAGTTGAAAATGATTCAATGCAAGATTCATCAAAATCAAATGGAATGTCCTTAGCCAGCAATGTTGTCAATAGTCTAGCAATCATAGAAAAATCTTTAATGAACCGTCCATAAAATCCAGCATGCCGAAGGAACACACAAATTTTTTTAACTGATTGTGGTGGAGGCAACTTGACAATAGCATCAATCTTTACTCTATCCACCTCAACCCCCCTCTCACTTACAATGTGACCTAAGACTACACCCTCTTTGACCATAAAATAAAAGACTTTTCTCCCAACTTAATACCAGACTATTTTCCTCACATTATTTTAGTACCCTAGTCAAATTATTCAAGTAATGTTCAAATGACAATCTGAAAATGGTAAATCATTCATAAAAATTTCAACAAAATCACCAATCATATCATAAAAGATGGGCATCATGTAACGCTAGAATGTAGCAGGTGCATTACATAAACCCAAAGGCATTCTCTTGAATGCATATGTTCCAAAGAGACAAGTAAATACAGGTTTTTCTTGATCTTTTGGATAAATGGCTATTTGATTATAGCTTGAGTACTCATCTAGAAATAAAAAATATTGATGTATTGTTAATATTTCTAAGATTAGGTCTAAAAATGGGAGAGGGGAGTGGCCTTTCTTCGTCACTGAGTTAAGTTTTTAGTAGTCAATGCAAACCCTCTAGCTTGTGGTTAATCTCATTGGTAATTCTTCACCTTTCTCAATCTTAGTGACTATCCAACCTAATTTATTTGGAACTACATGTGTTGGACTCACCCATGGGCTATCAAAAATTGGATAAACTATTCCTACGTCAATCCACTTTATAATCTCTTTTTTGACTACCTCTCTCATTTTTGCGTTCAATCTTCTTTGCATTTCTTTAGTAAGTTTTACATTTTCCTCTAAATGAATTTGATGCATGCAAATATAAGAATTTACCCCTTTTAAATCTGCTATTGTCTAGCCAATTGCTCCTTTGTGTTTTTTTAAAACCTCCATAATCTTACCTTCTTGCTTTGTAATCAGACCTGCTGAAATAATAACAAGTAATGTTTGGTTTGGCCCAAGAAATGCATATTTCATCGAATTAGGTAAAGGTTTTAACTCTAATTTAGGAGGGTGTTCTAATGATGGCTACATCAAATCTATTTGGAGCTATGACTGATGTATGTGTAGGCTACTTCAAGCCCCACTATATGTTCTTCCTTCTGCTGCACCCAATTTATCTCTTCTACACATGTCTCTATGCTATCAACTTCCTCAAATTCATCCCTTTCCCCCATCAGGAATTTTGTACTCTGAAATACATTAAGTCCAATATGTTTATCTTCAGGTTTAATATTGATAATTTTATTCTCACAATCTATATTTGCATTAGTTGTGGCTAGGAAAGGCCTACCTAGTATAATTGGTGCGTGGCATAAATCATCTCTAATCAGCATATCTAAAATCAAAAAATCTATAGGAAAACAACAACCCTTTACATTAATGATTACATCCTCTAGCAGTCCCTATGGTGTTTTCACTGACCTGTCACTCACACCTAGAGATATTCTCAACATCATTTGAGGGGATTATTATTTCTATTAGAAATTATACATATATCAATGGATCAATAAATCATTAAGTAATATCACATTTTATGTCCAATATCATTTTAAAAAACAAAAAATCTCTTAATGTTCAAATTAGGAAATAATAATGTATAACCCACCTGTGCATGATTGATAATCATAACATTAATCTTTCAAAAATAATCACTCACATAAAATGCCTACATGAATGTATAATACATCGTAATCTAATTTTAGTTCGTTTTCTTAGTGTTGGAAAGATTATTGTGGATTGGAGATCCACATATTCTTAAAAACTTGAATAAGCACTATGGTCCTTCAATTTTCCATTAATGAAGATAAAGGCACCATCTAATGATGCTTGGGGAATTGAATCTGCATAATCCCATAACTTTGATCATCACCATCGTCACTTTATTTTCCATGAGCCAAGACAAAATTATCATTAACCCTTTATCTTTACAACCATCTAACTCCATTGAAGATAGGTTGGAGGATCTAGTTCGTACATGTATGCCTTACTTCTTTTGGGCATCAAAGTATTGAAGAAAGTTGAATAGGCAAGAAATATTGCCTTTAATAGATATTATCTCTCAAAATCAGCAAAGCTAGTATAATGAGCTTTGTAACTGCACAAGGAAAGCTTGCAGCGAACTAGAGCTGAGAAAAGGGAGATTTATAACGAATACATTGTAAATAATTTATGTAAAAACAATGCCTTCTACATTTCTTATGAAATATGATTGATATCAATAGTACCTACTTTGCAAAAAGAAAAAACCACACATACCAAATGTGACAACTTTTTTTAAAATTTCAACGTATTTTAATGTTAATTGAGCAAACAAAATAACAATACTATGTACTACCCATCTTTTTATATTGCTAAAAATTGTAACAGAAAAAAAGAGGGTTTTGAGTAATGTGAACACCATCTTTTTATAGCCAATCAAGAACCAAATAAATTACTCAATATGGTTCCTATCTCATGCAGTCACCCACACTGCATCTAATAAATGCTCTTTATTGAATTAGTAGCGACAATTAATATAACATGAAATCAGTAGAACATGTAATTACTTGAGAGTTTTATATTCAATTTGAATTATGTAAATAATGTGTTACTATTGAGTTCTGCCAGAATAAAAAAAATAGCAGTCAGGGGTGGATTACTTTTTCCTCTAGGTTCACCCAATTTGAGTGGCCACCAGCAAGCTCCATGTTAAATGAGATGTCATCTTCATCACCAGCATGCTTTGATCCACGCAAACCCATCAAGTCCAGTTGGCAGTCCACCCAGCCTTATCGAAGAGATCAACGACAAAAACATGTGAAATTCAAGGACAAATAATTCTGTGTATTGAACTTGTCAATATTTTTTTTTTCATGATAATCAAGTCTAAATGAGATCAGTATGGTTATGGCACACACAATGGTAAACTAGGAAAATAATTCCAAACAGGAGATATAAACCATATAGATGGTTATCTCATACACAAATCTCACTTGATTCGGAATAATGTGAGACTGAAGTTGAAGTATATGAGATTTTAATTGCATGAAGAGCCTTTCAAAGTGTACATATCATTTTCAGGCATATTCTGTGATGAAAGAATCATAGCTGACAAAAAAGGAACAAAACGAGAAACTAAAATAGAGAAAACTCACTCAAAAAAGTAATCTTGAAAACCAGAAGAATCGGATCGTATGGTGTACCGCCCATCTGCATAATCCTCCGATTTCCTCGATTTGAGTTTATTCTGGGAGAAACAGCTTGCTCTCCCATCTCTTTCTTCCCCCTCTCTTCGCCGCCCAGATCAAGCCCATCCTCCTACGTCTTTCCCAGGCAGACGTCCGTCAATACTGGAACTCAGTTTCCAGGTATCTGCTCAAAAATCCGTCCATGAATGGCTGTTCAGGCTTCGTCCTCCATGGAGATCGGCTTCTTCAACGGCGAGATCCGGTCAGCGGCCGTCGAAAAATGCAAGACGACGTACCTCGGGAGGATCCCCTCCAGCCGTCTCGAGCCATCTGAAATACCATAGCTCTAAGATCTGGGCCTCTGAGAGACCCTAGATCTGGAGGATGGAGCGGCCATCGGAGGTGGCCGGCGGCGACGGCTGAGAAAGCGGTAGAAGAAGGAAGCCCTCCTGGAGGCATCTTCTGTGCGCAGACGTTTTCATCGAACATCTGTTCTATAAAAGGAACCGGTAATTTATCCATCCCTTCTATAAAAGGAAACGGGCCGGGCCGATTCCACCCGAGTGAACCCTAGGAGAAAAGCCCGTGAAGTTATTGCACTCTATTAGTTAAAGGTTAGTGATATTGGAGTAAAACCGTTGGCGTTTTGAATCTGTCGGTGAAGAATCCCCCGCGCGAAAAACCCTAAACGTCTCGTCTGCTTAGTCTCCGTTGTGAGTGACTAGTTGTGTTGCCTTGTATCTGTTTGCGAAAATGTCTGCAGTGTTCTACAGAGGCCTTCTCCGGCTCCGCATCATCCAAGCGGCACCCTTGATCAGGAATCTCGCCGCCACTGCCTCGGCCGTCGTGTCCCCTTCCGAGCGATCCTCTTCCTCGGCATTCACCGTCAGCTTCCTGACATCCTCCTGCGGACTCGCCCCGGCGCAGGCCGCCTCCATCGCGCGGTCCCTCCGTCTCAGCGAGGAGACCCGGCACAAGCCGGAGTCCGTCCTCGCCCTCCTCCAGTCGCAGGGTTTCTCAGAGGCCCAGATCGCCGAGCTCGTTTGCCGATCGCCCCGCGTCCTCCTCTCCAGAGTTGAGCTGAAGTTGGGGCCAAAGGTGCAGTATCTGAACCACATGGGCTTCTCCTCGGATATGATCGCTCGGGATCCCAGGGTTCTGCTGCGGAGCCTCGAACGGCACATCCGGCCCTGCTTCGAGTTCCTCCGGTGTTTCATTGGATCTGCCAAGGACTTCCGCACCCTTTTCCGGCGCCACAGGTGGTGCCTGGACTTCGATATGAAGACCACCATGATCCCCAACGTGGCCCTTCTCCTGGAAATGGGTGTGGCCGCGCCAGCCATCTCTAGATTAATAGTTACTCATCCGCGGAGCTTAATGAAGAACCGCGAGCGGTTCTTGGAAATAATCAAGATTGTGCAGGATTGGGGCTTGACGCCGGAGAAGAACCTTTTCCTCCATGCAATAAGGGCGATAGCTGGGTTGGGTAAGTCGACCCTTGCTACTAGGTTGGAACTGTTCAAGCGGCTGGGTTGGTCAGATGATGACATCATCTCGGCATTCCAGAGAGGCCCTTTGTTCATATTGGTGTCCGAGCAGAAGTTACTATGCATGACTTCTTTTGCCAGGAAATTGGGGTTGACGCCATCAGACATAAGCAGGCAGCCGAAGCTTTTAATGTATGGGTTCGAGAAGAGGATCCTACCGAGATATGCTGTGTGGCAGGTTTTACTGGCCAAGGGACTTATTAAACAGAACAACAAGCTAGTTTCCATGTTTACTACTTCAGAGAAGCCGTTCCTCGATAGATTTGTGATGAGACATCTGGACAAAGTTCCAGAACTATTGGACGTGTACCTTGGTAAGATCAAGGTTGAAGAGCTTGGTTTGTGTGGTAAGGAGAGCAGATGTCAAAAGGATTCGTAGAGAGGAGGGAACAGTGCTTTTGGTTATCTGTGCCCCTCCCTGTGCCCCCAAAAGCGGAGCTAGATGATGAAAAATTTGTGTACATTCTTTGAGAAACCCAGACAACTGATTTGTTATTTTGAAAGATTTTGCCTGTTATCTGTAAGTAGGCAGAGTGGTTCTTGAAATATGAAGATTTTGGTTTTCTTTTCACAGTTGACTTCGTTGGAAAATGTGTACTCTGATTGGGAAGAAAGTGTAGGGTGATGTCTATATTTTATGAGACAAATACAGGAAGTCTGGTTCAATGAATTCAGCTTTACTGGATCATATAGACAAATCTGATTGAAAAACGATTACGTTGGTAATTTTTCTTGTTTCATCCACTTATCCAATCATCTCTACTTTCTTTTCTTCTTCCTCCAAAAGTGTGTTTTAATTTCAAACCATTTTATATTTAGCAAGGTAAATGCCATATGGTTTATTTACATAAACAAAATATAGTTTTTACTCAAAAACCGTGGGATAATCCAATTCCTTTTTCTATGAAACATTCCTTTTTTCATCCCAGATGACACTAAAAGACAGAATAATGTTGGATTTTGGTTGAGGGATTGTGAAAGCTCATTAAAACAATTTCCGATTCCATGACACATAAAGTGTATACCCTCCTGACTTTTCTGAAAGTATTTAGTGTCCGTATATTTTAACAGCTGAACAATTTGGGCCGGTTCAGTGTCGATTTCTGAAAATTAAGAAGCAAATGCCTTGTTTAGTAAATACACCAGGGCCATTCTATCTCGGTGGTTCTTCAGGTTTGCTCAGTTTTCTGCAGTGGGGACTTACATGATGGATCATATGAAGTTTATTCTGTATTGTCCTCAAGGTTTATTTCATGGGGTGGCGCCCATTTGAGTAAGTTCAGACATTGTAGTCTTGTACGTCAAGGATAACAGTTGCCGGTATTTCAATGTTTTTGACTCAATGGTGGTGGTCTTTTTAATGAGAATATTATGGCGTTTAAAAGCCTGAATTGGTGGTGACCCCAATCAGTAATACGATTAATTTTGATGTCTTTGAGGGGTGCTTTCCAAGCTAAGATGAAACTGGGGATGAAACCAGTAACTTTCATTTTTTTAATTCCTGAAAGGCATTCTTTTGGTCTGATGTCGATCTAGTCAGAAAAGGGGTTAGCCCTAGTGAGTGAGTTGACTTTTTTAACAGGGAAGACTGATGATAATGTTAGTGACCTCCTCTGAGGAGCTCTTCTCCTCCTCTGCTGGCTTTTCTCTTTCCCATTTTTTGAGAGCTCTCTTGAATCAGTCTCCCCTCACTCTTTGCACGAGTTCCAGAGAAGTTTCCCTGCTTGAACTCTTCATTTGTATTCTTGTAATGATGGAACCATCTTCTTCTCTCTCCTCTACTTGCTGCAAAAAGAAAAAAAAAAGGGGCGGGGAGAGTTTTTTGAATCCCTTGTTTTCTGGCCTGATCCCTGATGCACATTTGTTTCTAATCTCAAACCGGATGCAATCATAAAAACCATGTTCAGGGGAGAAACCTAGTTCCTAAGGGCATATGGGGATATTTTAAGTACCGCATGGCCCTAGTTGCTAAAGCCTTTTGCCTATACAGGATTTCCTACCAAGTCTACCAAAGCAGTCTGTAATTCAGACGACTTACAGTGATGTCATTTTTTTCTCTTGTCTGTTGGAGTTCTTATTCCCCCAAGGCTAATGAGACCCTCACTATTTGTCATTTTCGGATCCGAGCCTCAACCCATGAGAGAGTGGTTGTCAAATAGGTTTATCTCCCATGAATACTAGTAAGGTCTTGCAACAGAGGAACAGGGTGGGATTCACAGTTTTTTATCCCAAATTGTGGAGACCATCTCCTCTGGATTTTTCGTTGTTTGCTGCTGATCTCTCTCTCTCTCTCTCTCTCTCTCCCTCTCGGTTCTTGTCATTGCTCCTTACTGTTTTATCAAAATTACCCTTTCATCACAGCTAGAAAAGAGGATCTCCACAATTTGGGATCCGAAACTGTAATGTAAAGGCCCCTTCCTTCGATTGGTTAGTATCCTAGAATTCATATTTGGGCATGTTCCAAGATGAAAACTGATCTTCCTGGAGTATACCCAATTTTCCCTAGTTTTTCTTAGATATGAAAGGAAAGGATGACGGTTTTCTCCTGCATGTCTTCTATTCCCAGCATATCTGTCATCATAAGCTTGTGCTCACGCAGTAGCGGTTGCCTTAGTTTCTACATGCTGGGAACACTGACATGAGCAAGCCGTCTGATGATACATAATCTTTCCCACACTCTCTGTCATTGGTTCCAGTAAACAACTCTTCTTACATGTTGTCTTTGCAGCGGAATTAAGAGAAGCCTTAGTGAGATTATAATAGCTTTCCTTCATTGAGAAGCCTTCAGTGATCTATTGAGGAGAGAACATGTAGAGCTCTAACGGAAAACCCAAGATGAAACTCCTGATTTTGCTAGAAGCATAGAGAAAAAAATGATATGGATCATGGGTATGCCCTCTTAGTTCATAGAAAGAACATGAAGGAACAGATGAAGAATGAGGCAGCAAAGTATGGTTTTGTCCCATATCGGTTATTATAATTTTTATGCTGACATGTCTTCCTTGGAAAATCTTTTTGACCACAATTATAGTTTTACTCCTGAGCCACCTTATATATAGAGAGTTTGGAAACCCTTTTTTAACAACCTTTTTCCCCTGCCATGTGGCCTTTCCTATTGCAAACCCCCTCAAGATCCGCTTGATCTTCACCAGAACTTGTCCTCCCATAAGGGCTTTTCTTTTGTCTTTGAAATGCTTATTGACCTCAGCCTGACCTTTACGAGGCCCTTCCCTACCCTAAAAGCCTTTGAGAGAATATCGAGAGAGAGAGAGAGAGAGAGATAGACGTACTACATCCATCCATGTCCAGACGAAGATGGACTGTGAAATTTATAGAGATTGACTCCCATGATCTGATTGGTCTGAGCAGTGACTCCCAAGTTTTCACTACAATGGCACATCAGCTTGTCCTTTTCGAGCATCATGCAGAAGTGAGTGTGTGTTTCTACATCGGATTCCTCGACAAGGTGGCTTCTTCTCAAATTGAAGTTATACTCAAGAAGTCTTTTTCTAGAGCTTGCTTTGAAATGAGCCTCATCTGTTGAAGAGATAATTGGTGGCACACTGACAAGGAAGACCACTATTATCATCTTTGTGTAATGTATAGAATATTGTGTTGTTCTACGTTGTTCAACTTGCTGTAGTCATAGTCAATGGAGTGGTCTATATCACCTTATAAAACTAACCAAATTTGACAATATATGATTGACAAGATTATTGGTTCTGCCCTTGTGGGACTTTGAGAGGTGGCCTAAGACTTATGCAAGCATGTAGATGCATATCTTTAATTAGCAAATTTGTCAATGTCGTACAACCTTAGAGTATTTGCTGAGAATTTAACTAATTACTTTTCATGTAGGGAATAAGTGTGACTTAGGCATTGACTAGACATCACTCCACTCATCAGTTGCATAGATCACTATTGTGTAGATCCACACACTGCACTATAGAGATCTCTTCGAGGGCAAAGTCTCACTTCCCTAACTTAACAAGTACATTGCATGATTGCCCTATGAGCTACTATGACTGAAAATATCATAAAGGGGCACGACCACTAACCTATCTATATACTTCTAAAATGTGATATTCATCTAAAATTATATAAGATTGTCAGTGCATTTCCAATGTCCATAGCATCACAATAAACTCACATCACCCATACTTCATTATAGAATGTCTCCAACTGGTCTTTCCCTCTTATTCTGGACTTATTGCAAGCAACTCCTTTGTATATTCCTCATTATCATTATGTCCAAAGTTTGGTAGTTTATACATAGTATAAAGTTGTAAAGTTATACTTCATTTGGAAAGGAATTGGGCTTAGAAAATGTATTTCATGATGGATGTTACTTGTCTAAATTCTTTAGTAGATATGATGTGTCTTATCTTGTAAGCATGTGCTCAACATAGTCTCAACTCATGTTTCATCCATCTTACATGATGGTGCTATTTGCTTTTGGAGCATTTCTGCTTTTAATGTGAACCAAATACAAACAAAGTAAAACTGTTGTTTAGCACCTTAAATTTATGTCATGCATTCATAAAAAGATCGGTCACCAATTTTCAAGTCTTTGCAAAGATACTTGTGATTTTATTAATTCCAATACATTTTTTTCCATTATGTGAAACTACTAACTCAAAGGTTAGAGCACTGCATTTATAATGCAATGGTCATTGGTTTTCTTTTTCCATGATTGATTGTGTAGAAGATGAAAATCTCAATACTCAACTTATGACAGTCATGCCTCTAGGGTTTACATCCTAACCCTAGATGCAGCCTAATGGGTCACGACATATTTGACCAATTACCACTAGATGACAGTCCACTAAATAGGCCATAACATAGGAAAGTCTAATAGGCATGACCAATTACATTTAACACCCTCCCTCAAGCTGAAACCCAGATATTTTATGCACCAAGCTTGGTAAAAATGGTCATCAACTGATTTACAGATTTTGGGACCATTTGTAAGTGCTTATATGAGTTTTCTTACTTTTCACATTTTTCTTACTCTCACTTGGTTAGAAAAGGTTTTTAAATCATTTATATTATTTAGGCACTATGCAAGAGTACAACGATTTTTCCACATTGTTGTTACAATTTGACAATATTTAATCGATTTATATAATCCAATGTTAACCATTAACAAACTGTCTTAAATAAGCTATAATTCCATGTCATTCTTAAGCATTGAATGTAGATGCATAGTAAACAAAGCTTCCACACTCAAGAAGCTACACTTCAAATTTCTAAGAACTAATAGTTTTTTCTTTGATATGTGTATTTGAGTACACAATGTATTCAAATCAAGCTTGAGCTATTAAGCTAGAAGAAATTAGCTGAGAACTAATCTATATAAGTTATCAAGCTTGAATATGCTATTATTGGAGAACAATTAGGTATACTCCAGTCATTAGGTTACTAGAGGCTGTACACAAAGAGTGAAGTCAACTTAGTGTACCAAACATTGGTTAGGAGAAGACTTAAGAAGGGAGATTGAATTTATTTTTTCTAATTTTAAATAATTTTGAATTTCTTTCTAATGTTAGCATAGACAAGCTAGGTTAACCAATTGTGTCACAACTGGAAACAATAAAATTGATACCCAAAAGATCATATATAATAAGTGGGTTTACCTAAGCTTCAATTATCAGTTACTTATCATCTAAGCCAAGCAATATGTTACCAAGATATTGCCCCAACATTCTTATTGCACCAAAGTAACTTGAGGTCAGCCCCCACCAGATCAAAGTAACCTGAGAAAAGGAGCAGGTTTGGAGACTGATTGCTGGTGTGTATAAATCCCAGCTGACGAGTGAGATCATCTTCGCTGCATATCTGCATAAGATGTAAGTAGGCGTTTTAGTTAAGCTATATTCTTCTCATCCCTCGTTCGCGGAAGAAGCAGGAGGCAGATGAAGTCAACGTATGGGTTTGGTCATCCAAACAAGAGGGCATTTTCTCTCTCTAATAGCGTCAGATTCTCTCTACTATTTGGTATGAACCTGATCCAATTCTCTCTCTCCGGCAGTGCTCCTCCCGTATGATGATTCAGAAGCGCAGCAGCAGCCTACCCAAGAAAGACTCAGACAAACAGTCGTCAAAAGTCCCAAGAATCGTAGGCAGCACCAAGTGTAAAATTTTAAGGACTCAACGGCCTCATAAACGGACTCAACGCCAATTTTAACCAACCAAGATAAGGGGGCCCCTACAAGTTCAAACCGCAAGAAGGAAAGCTAGAGAGAGAATGACTTGCCGCCGGACCCACCGCCATCCCACAGAGAAGAGCTCCTTTAGTTGGTCAACTCCATGATGGCAGTGACAATGTCACCATCAGCTGCCTTGAGGGCCTTCACCGCCTTCCCCCGCGACACACCGGCCTGGGTCATCACCAGCTCAATGTCCTTGGGGTCAACGCCGGATTCGTCCACGTCCTCCTCATCCTGGGCCGCGGCTGCCGCCGCTGATGACTCGGCCTTGGAAAGGACGTGGCTCAGGTCGGCGGTCTTGAACTGCTCCGCCGCCTGCGTCTGCAGCTGCGAGCTCAGGTCCTCAATCTTTGCCTCCCCAAAGATCACGTAGGTGTCCGAGTTTGGGCTCTTGAAAACATCCGGCCTCGAAATGACGAACAGTATCTGCGGGGAAATAAAATCCCCCCCAACTCCTTTAATCAGAGCTTCATTCACATAACAGCCTGGCAGGCTGAGAATAGTGAGAGAGAGAGAGAGGGGCTTACATTCTTGCTCTTCTTGACGGTGACGCGACTGACACCACTAAACGACTTCATGCCAAGCTTCAGCATGGCCTTGCGGCTCTTCTTCTCGCTCCTGCTCTGCTTTGACTTTCCACTCCCATCATCACCAAGGCCTGAAATTTTATAAACAAAGATGAATATACAAGAAAACTTGATTGCATTTAATGCATGTACTCGAGGGGGAAACTGCATCCCTCACGACATTCAACTGAAACTTCGAATTACGCTTAAAACTATGAAGAAAATTAGATTCATTATTTAAGTCAACATCCCCTACCTTCGGCATCATCCTCGTCCTTGTCGTCGTCTTCATCGTCCTCATCATCATCATCGTCATCTTCAACAACTGGCTCATCAGGCTGGACAGAGGAATATTTCAACGCATCAGATAATGAAAATAAGGGGATGAATTAACAGCATACGATGAAAGAGATTGAACCATGACAAAAGAGTGTGTGCGTGTGTGTGTGTTTCAGAGAGAGAGAGAGAGAGAGAGAGAGAGAGGGTTAAGTCTTAGTTCTACCATAATACGCTCTAAAAAAGCAAGCAGGATAGATGAGCTAATGTAATTGAGGTTCTGAAACAAAATTGCAGCCACATTTAAGAAATCCAACAGATCACATGAAGATATACTTTTCAATTTGAATAACAAAGAACTCAGTAGGAACTCTAAAATATTCAGAAAATGACAATTCAATGTAAAAATAGTTTCAAACTGGCAATGTAAGGTTAATTCTTTTGCTGAGATCCCCAATCTCTGTTATCGTTGGCCGCAGACAAGCTATTATTAATCATCTTCTTGCCTAAATGTAAACCCACCTTGCGTTCTCCATGCTTGATATGTTGTATGTGACATGTTCATATCAACGCTTCATAATTGAGCACCTTTTGTGTTTCAATGGTTTGTTAAATGCATCTTGATGATCAACAGAAGACAACCTCTTATAAGTTTTGAGGAAGAAAAATGAAACCGTCTGCACAACCAAATTACGCGATGATTTTCTACGAAATTAAAATTTTCGGTAAGGTCCCATGAGAATATACGCATATTCGTATTCAAAATCATACTGCCGACAGGTTTCAGTTACGGATGTAGATTTTCAGGATGTAAGATGTATCTTAAACTTTATAAGGGCCTGTCAAATAGTGAAACCTCATGTCATTTGATTCTTTGAAATATGGAGGGAAATAAACAATATTTTCCTCAATGTTCTGACTGTAACAAATTCACATAAACAGAATAATTAAAAACACCAAGATAATTCAAAATAACCACCAACACGACAAAATCCCAAAAAAGGGCATGAAAACCAAAACTGCGTTGTCAAATATTTTGTCCATTAATAAGCTGTCGAGTAGCCAGGCAAATGGCCAGGTAAAACTCTGAAAATCTCCCAAAAATCTTTTCCTAGGCTGCTTAGGTATACGAAGAGAGGCGAAGATGCGATCAGCCAAACTTTTGGCCTTTATAAATGAGCGTGTAATCAGAAGGTTTTAAACCAGTTAATGATAAGAATGGTTCAAACGCGAGAATTGCTCAATCTGAACCATAAAAGTCAGCAAAAGACACAATTCATATTCAGAAGAAAAGGATCCGAATTCTATCAAATAACAATGGCTAATTAGAGAAGGGATAAAGAACGAAAAACATCACTGGCTCAAGGATGTCAGAGGGGTCGAGAGAAATCAGAAAACGAGAGGGAGAACACAGGCATACGAAGGGTTTACGATTCTGTGAGAGGAAAAGCGGCAACGTAGAAACATATTAAACATAAAATGACTTTAAAAAGTTTTAAACATTGAATAAAATTACATTTTGGGATTTCATGGGCTTGCCACGCACATAACTCCAAAGTTCAGACATAGAACTTAGAAATAGCCGTTTCATATACTTTCAATTGTAAGACTCACAGTGGGAAAATGATAACACGCTATGCAGTAATCAACAATTCAAAGGCAATAGCGAAGGTCAGTATTTTTAGAATTCAAGGAAAAGCCAAAGCCTACAACGCACGTCAAAAGGCAAGGCCCGTAAGTCAGGTGAAAGGAGCACATGGTTTTTTCTGGAGGTTAAATGCTCTGTCTGCAGAAAAATCTACGTTAATGACGCGGATCAAGAACACAAGAAACGTTTACGTTCAATCCCTCCAAGATTTAATAAAAAGCACTGTCCACGCTTCCATGTCATAGAAGCCAGTAAACCAGACCTAAATCGATTTGAGAGCAATCGGTTTATCGTATCAAACCTTCGTCCGAAAACAGTCATAATGAGCAATAAGAAAAACACCCGAATGCCAGGCCATAAGAAGCCCTGCACCTGTATTCCCATCCCATTCCACATAACCATATCACGTTTCGGACACCATATTCGACACAAAATCATAAACAATGGAGGCGATGACGTAGTCGGCAATAAATAAGGAAGAGGGGCTCACGTCGATCTTCTGCTGTTCAAGGTGGGCGGCGAGGAGCTCCTCCTGTGTTTGGGCAGTCATGGTGTTGCTGCAAGTGAGGCGAAAAGATTGAACAAGAAGACACAAAAACCCTAAACCTGATGAGGCCGCCGGAACCAATGTTAGAAAACGACGCGATTCTATCAGGAGACACGGGAAAGGGTGCAGTATATATATATATTTCAGTCGGGAGTGCGATATATTACGAGATTACCTCTCTCGTGGGGGTCCACAACATAACGAATGATAAAGTGACGAGGCGCATTTAATCAACGGCCAGCAAGACCCCATTCCAATCAACCACACGCAACCTCGGCAGCCACTCTGAAAAAACTTCACGGAGGATGTTGAGAATCACTTGAACGTCGATATAAACTTGATTAATTCATTCTTATCTTCAAAAATGGTATTTGACAAGAACTAATTAGACAAATAATATTTTTTATAAATATAATAATATATATACGATGATGACTTATATTATAAGCAACGTTCAAGGTTCTTCCCTCACCCAATCAACTCAAAAAATCAATATTTCATTCGACTTGAAGTAGAATGACTAAAGTGACCTTCATTATGACTTGAACTCATCAAAGTTGGCCTCATTTAAAGGCTTTCACATAAAAAAAAATCATAATAAGAATCTCTAAGCTCTAAAAAAGCTTAATTATCTACTAGAAAAAGGGAAAAAATGTTCCATTTCTCTATACATATGAATGGATTTTGATGCTAAGTCATCCCCATTTTCAGTTTCATTAACATAAAAAAAAAAAAAAACGAATCTACTAAATTATGAGAGCTATCTGTGTGACACTTTCCTCCCAATTTTGGAAACCATCACTTTTCCCCCCAAAACTGTTTGATTAGCTAGCTTTTATTATCAGCATTACTTGGTTTGCAGTTTTTGGGAATAATCATGATAGGTTTGGATTCACATTTTCCTCTCATTTACGTGACCATGGCCTTCAACCAGCTGCACTTCTTTTGGGTGGGTTTTCACATTACAATAAAACATGTGATAATCATATCTCGTGGGTCATATGCTCCAATCACGCATCAAATTTATACTATATTATAATATTAGTAATGACAAATAAATCATTTTGACCGAAGACCCAGGATTTGAGATGGAAATGAAAATTACGTGTACAATCAAAAAACTCACACACAATGTCCTTGAACGACAGGCTTTTCTTCAATTTCACTCAAGCACTCTGCTTTTCGAAATTATTTCTATAATTAATTTTATAATTTATAATTTGAAGGATAATATTGACGACAATTGGTACATGAAGGAGATGAAAAATGGTGGTACATTTTTATCAAGACTTATTACACATTAAATATCTCTTCCTCTTTAGGGTCAAGATCTTGCATCTCCATAAAGCTTTGAACACAGAAGGGTTATATTACTTCAGGGTCCTATCCATTATTGGAAATTATTCTCCATGCTGAAATATTATTATGGCATCAAAGTAAAAATCTGGAGCTTCAGTACAATCATAGACAATCAAGATCCTCTAAGAGAGGATGTGCAGAGCTACATGGTACCAAGGGAAAAGGAGACAAAATGGCATGGCACCCACTAGAGAAGATGATTTTGATGTTAGTAATTTCGTAATTCGTTTTCAAGAGAAGACGATTGGATTCCTTAGAGAGAGGTTAACTAGGGGGGAGGGAGAGAGAAGGGGGGGGGTTAACTAGGGGGGCACAAACTGATTCTATACCACTTGGATTCATGAAGCACTCATCAAAAATCATATGTAAATATGAATAAAAGAAAAGCTAGTGGTGTTCTACGATGGTGACCTTTCACCTTCAGCCATCAACTAGGTCTCCCTAGGCACTCACAAATAGAATAAATGGTTATACACTTGCAACTAGGCACTACCTCCTACACAACTCAACTCCCAGAGGAGACGGGAGTTTCCGACTTTCCCTTGGTGGAGCCATTCAATTCGCCCCTGAAAGAAAGAATCCCAAAATGCTCGAGATTAGGGCGGCCAAAAGAAGTTACCCTGGGCACGGAAGGAGACTCTGGCGCTACCTCCTGCTGCTGTTTGGCGCCTTCGCCTTGTTCAGATTCGCCAACTCCTCGATCAGCTTCTTCTCATCTCCACTGAGCCTCTTGGGAATCTCCACCTGCACACGCACCAGCTGATCCCCCCTCTGATTTGGCTTCCCAAGGAAAGGGACCCCTTTCTTCGCCATCACCAGCGTTGTGCCCGGCTGGGTCCCTGCAGGGACCTTCAGGTCCACCATGCCGTCCACAGTCGGCACCTTGACCACCGTCCCAAGGATGGCATCAATGTAGGAAACCTTGCAGGTGTGGAGTATGTTGGTGCCGTCCCGCTTCAGCACTTGGTCGGAGAGGACCTCGATAAAGACATAGAGGTCCCCGGGTTCGCCGCCTCTCCTGCCGGCATTCCCCTCTGACCGGACCCTCAGCCGGCTGCCCGAGTCCACACCCGCGGGGACCTTCAAGCTTATCCTCTTCGTTCGCCTCACACGGCCGTCGCCACTGCAGGTGCCGCATGGAGTGGAGATTTCCCCAGTGCCGCCACATGTGGAGCAAGTCATGACCTGCTGGAAGACCCCCAGAGGGGTCCTCACAGAGGAGACGACCTGGCCCTGGCCGCCGCAGGTGGTGCACTTGGTGGGCTTGGTGCCGGCCTTGACGCCAGAGCCGTCGCAGGTTCCGCAGGTCTCGAGGCGGGTGATCTCGATCTCCTTCTCCACGCCGAAGATGGCGTCCTTGAAGTTTAGGACGAGGTTGTAGGTCTCGTCGTCGCCCTGCATCGGCCGGTTACGGGTGGCTCTTGACCCTCCCATCCCCCCCATTCCGCCCATGCCTTCGAACAGTGACTCGAACAGATCAAAGGGGTTGCTAAAATCCTGGTTGTGGAGCGAAAGATCATCAAAGATCATCATTGTTGACAACACACAATGGAATGTCTAAAAGCGCGTATAAATATTGCACATTGAGACATATTATAACAAATTTCACTGAAGGAACTTACCCCTGTGCCCATACCAGCACCTTTCAGTCCAGCCTCCCCAAATCTATCGTACAAAGACCTCTTCTCATCATCTGACAGCACCTGCAGCGTGATATGGCATAAGTTAGTCAGCCCTGTTGGTACCCAGCATGAAAAATTCGGCCTTGGTGACAATTGATCAGCAGGAAAACAGAAGTCAACCTCATATGCGTTACTGATCTCCTTGAATTTCTGTTCAGCGCCTGGTTCTCTGTAAAAGAAAAGAACCAGAAAATGTCAAACGCAACTCAAAACATAAAACCAATCGAGAGGCTCGATTGTTGGAAGTAGCATCTGTTCTCCACAATCAACAAATACACAAAAAGTTAAGCAATTGTAGCTTGCTGAATAATAAACGCGATCTGATTTCAAAAAAATAAAAATAAATCTTGGAACTCTAAAACTGCAAATGTGATTACTTAGGAGAGCCCCAAACTGCTGGTGAACGGCATTTGCACAGGGGAGAACACAGTGTTGTCTTAAATGGATGTAAAATTTCCCGACTGACAATGAATTCTTGTCTTCCTATATACTACACATCCTATCAAGATAGTAAAATCAAGAATTCATCAAGACCACATTAACCAGTATAGAACTAGCTGACTTTTTATTTTTTAAAAACAGAATACAGTTGACACAGATTTAAAAAAAGTCCTGCATACAAGTCAGAGGGACAAAGTTCTAGGACAAGTAAAAGGAGCCTTACTGTCTAGGATAGGCAAGACTAATGCGATTGATTCAATGCATCCTTCCTCACCCCTTTCTCTACTTTTGATCTGAATAAGCAGCGCTACATATGAACAACCTACAATAGGCAGAAAGGACTGCTCGTGATTTGGATTGATACATTCTTGAGTCTTTCGGATTCATATGTGATCTTAACCATGGAGATCTTAATCTATCCATAGGATGGTTTACAAAACAATCCCAACGTAAGTCTTAGCACAGGCCCCCAACGCTATTGGTAAACCACGCTCAGGACGTGACATACTTCGATTTCCACTTTCAGACGTGAAATCCTTCTCCAAGAAGCATATTCCAACATGAAACTTCACTCAAGGTTTTACAGGTAACCAAGAAGTTCTGTATGATACACAGTCAATGAAAAGTGATGATACCCAGCTTTGTCTTATGAAGAAATTTATTCCTGTCGAGAAAAGCAAGATCCTACCAATATCATTTTTCCGAATTTCTTCATGATGAAAAGATCAAAATCGATTTCAATACTTGCTGGAAAAACTATTTGAAGATTCAGTTGATACCTGAAATCTGTCATCAATCTACATTAAGCACAGCAAAGTTTCAAAAGTCTCAAAGTGCATGAAAAAATTTCCTAATTCAATTCTCCTCTCTTGTTGGTGGGTTCGAAGTATACTAGATAATGCCTCTGATGACCCATTATGTGAAGAACCAGACGCAATTTACTATCCCTTTGTCAGCTAAGTTTTATTATCGCTTTTGGCCATAAGGATACTATGGATATAATGACAGTTGTCCGATATGACAAGGAATAGAGAAGACCCGGATACTACCACTGAATTACCATTGCATCAAACAGTACAAAGTGCAACTTTGAGATGACAAAAAGTTTCACATAGGTTACTCTGAAGAAAGGTGACTGAAAGATACATAGGGGAGGCTCAATTAATATCGTTGCACCACAAAAAAAAAGGCAATGAAATGTTATAGATGTTAATCAGTTAATCTAGCTAGTCTCATTCGCTAAAAGAGGAGAGAGCAGCTTTTAAGAATATCGCAATAGGAATGAGAATAGTCCAAACTCAAGATTTGAACACGAGGAAAGAAGAAGCGGCTGATTTAAAAAAATATATAAGCTTTTCAATTAACTAGACCATAAGTACATTAATTTCGGGCAAATCAGTACATCAGTAGTTTCTTATTACATCTAAAGACTGAACTTTTAACATGTTTGATGCATGAACGCAAATTTATATGTTCAGTAGAAAAATAACAAAAGTAATTTCTCGAGATAACTTTAAGGATCAACTTACTTGTTCACATCTGGATGATAACTTCTAGCAAGTTTGCGATAAGCTAGAAATTGACAAAAGTTAAACATATCAGTAGCTGCATTAACCTATTTACAATAGGTGGGAGGAAATGTAATGAGAAAATAACCATTTCTTCTAGAGGAGCAAAACATTGATGGAAGTGAAAACAACAAGAGGCATGGTTCACAAAGTGTATGCAGAGAATCCATTACTGCATCTTATTCTGGAAAGGTGAAGTTGGGTAGTTTTTCTTCAATATAGCCCATTCATGATATGATATAACGCTCATCTTAACAAAAAAATTAGTGCACTAACCCAAGCATCTCTTTATTCACAAATATGTTAGCACTTCCATAAGCACCAACCTGGACAAATAATATTTCTTAGGTCGGATTTGGCCTGGCAAGTCGTTATCAAGTGAATTTTACTGTCAATAGTTTGTGAATGATGATATTTTGCTCATAATACACTCATAAACCATTAGGAGTTAAAATTATCAAATTTATCCAATTTAAAATTTTATGGTTTGTATTTTCATATTATTCTATTCCATTATTTATTCTCGTGTTGTGCATATCCTTATGCTTCAGAGTTATCAAAGTGAATACTATTAATTCAACTGGACATGAAAAGTGCCCTCAAATTGCAAAATGTGCAGAAAAAGCTCCAGAATTGAAGTAGACCACTCAAAACAAATGCAGGCCCCTTAACAGTAGAATTCCTACCATCTCACCCATCTAAATATGTATGCAGCATTAACACATTGCATACACAAGATTAAACATAAAAAAATTATAAATGAGAAATATCCATACTGATACCGATATGGATAAAAGATTGTAAAGGACGTGAAAAAAATGAAAGTAAAAAGCACTTACCAGTTTTTATTTCAGATTTGCTGGCATTTTTCGAGACACCAAGGACAGAATAGTAATCCTGTGAAGGACAATGAAACTTGAGAACCACAGATGGAACAGATTGTCCAGCAAATGCCAAAATCGGACACACTTTTAAAGCACATTTAGCACGTTCACTAACGAGTGTGAATTTTTATTGAAATCAGAATGATAATTAGCATTATTATACTCACAGCATCAGCTCTAACAACAAGGCGTGCACCCCTGCGATGACGAGCAGTTTGCAACCCAGAGCATGGAAGTCCTAATGAAGTGTCCCGCGCAAACAGAGTAGCAGAAGATGAAGCTAAACACTTTTCTTTGGCACAAATACTGCAAAACATTCCAAATCCAGGTTAGTATATAGAGAAGAAATGAAACTAGGGCGCCCAGTGATATCTCAGGATAACAAGCTCAAACACAAGCCAAGAGAAAATTGAACTTCATGGTCAAAATGATGTCATTAAGCAACTGAGGATCATATGTCTTCCCCCGTGAAAATGAAAATTTACTGACGAAAAGTTCCAATAATGGGAAAAATGACTTATCAAACAATAGTCACAAATCCATGAATGACAGAACTTCCACTGCAACACAGTGTAAGGACAAAAGACACGACAATAAAGGCTAATCTTCCACATCACGTGAAAAAAAAACCCTTTGGATGACTATATATAAACACAAGAAACCATATTGACAAACTCCCAAAGAAAACTTATCACATATCTGCCATCGGAATCTGATACATATACAATCTAAATTGCAAACATTTCCAGACGCCAATGAAGAAACACAACTATAATAGTAACCTAAAATTTAGAACCCGAGACACAACAGACAAAGCGTATCCGAGATAGGCCTGAGACTGTGGAAAAATGAGCCAGCAGGATGTCTCTAAGAAATAACAAAAATGCCATTAGTAAAGGCATATTTCTCAGAAGTATAATATTATCCAGGAAAGGATGATATGAATCGGATTAAGCAACCTGTCAGGTGAAAGATGAGATATTCAGGATCAACGAGAACAAAGAAACTAAACTGTGGAAAAATGAGCCAGCAGGATGTCTCTAAGAAATAACAAAAATGCCATTAGTAAAGGCATATTTCTCAGAAGTATAATATTATCCAGGAAAGGATGATATGAATCGGATTAAGCAACCTGTCAGGTGAAAGATGAGATATTCAGGATCAACGAGAACAAAGAAACTAAACTGTGGAAAAATGAGCCAGCAGGATGTCTCTAAGAAATAACAGAAATGCCATTAGTAAAGGCATATTTCTCAGAAGTATAATATTATCCAGGAAAGGATGATATGAATTGGATTAAGCAACCTGTCAGGTGAAAGATGAGATATTCAGGATCAACGAGAACAAAGAAACTAAACTGTGGAAAAATGAGCCAGCAGGATGTCTCTAAGAAAAAACAAAAATGCCATTAATAAAGGCATATTTCTCAGAAGTATAATATTATCCAGGAAAGGATGATATGAATTGGATTAAGCAACCTGTCAGGTGAAAGATGAGATATTCAGGATCAACGAGAACAAAGAAACTAAACTTGAGGAAAGATTCCCGGGCGTGCACCAGGGAATTCGAGGAGAAAACGTCTTACATTTAATCGCAAATGTCATCACAATGGTACAAGTACCAAAGACAACCATTTTGGATCTAAATTTGCATAACTTCTGGCCTTCTATAAACAGATTCCTGCATGGGCGCACGGCATGATTCTTGATTTTTTCAGCATATAAAGCAGAGAACTAGTTACATTTTCGGAGGTGTGATAATCGCCACTTAGATGTTCTTTCTGAGTATTATTGGCAGCTAGTTGCTGTATTGTGATGACTTTGTCCTCATTCTCCCGCGGAGTGTACTCGAATTTTTTTTAAAATGACAAAGCACAACCAAACTTTTCGTTTAAGAAATATAAGACATCCATTCTGCCTTGTTGCTTATTTCGCCTGTATACTTACCCATATTGATGATTCAAGAATTTAGCGTAGCAACATGAAATAGCCTGTCTAGAATGCGACGAGGGCCTGAGCTGAGCACCAATTGCCAACTGAGCTGCCCACGTGCTCCCGCAAGGTACGATTGCCATACAGGATGTTTAACAGAAGACGACAGGGAAATACTCTTGATTCTTCCACTGCAAGTACAATGAAGAAGGGATCCTCAGTTTAATATCAAATTGATGTAGAACGATTAAAAACACATCCTCCACAAACCCAAAATGAAACAGAAAAAATAACAGCAAAAAATACAGTTGATGAACAACCCTTCGAAGAAAACTACAAAAGTAGAGGGCCAAGCCCCCAAAACTTCAAGAAATCGCCCCAAGTGAGACTCCCAGCTCGAAACTCATCTCCACAACATAATTTCCCGTGCAGGAGAACAAGTAACGCGACAATGAGAAAAGGTAAAGCCGATATCAGTGAGCCAGAAAAGGGACTATGAGAAGGCGAGGAATAAACCAAGCTCTCCGGCAGAGAAGAGAAGACAGCCCGAAGGCGTCGTACCTGAAGGATGAGCGGCGTCTTGCTTCTCCCCGCTCGCCGAAGGGAGTGGGGGGCTGGCAGATGAGGCGAGGGCGATGGAAGGATGAGGCCCGCTCCTCTTCTCCTGGTCCAGAGAGAGCCTATGGGCTTGAGAGGTGAGTGCATTAAAAACCAAAAGGCTGAGCGGCCCAGAAGCGTTCCGGCGGCTCTCAATGTTCTGGATTCTTCCACGACCCTCATCGAAAGTTCCATTCGAGCTAGAAGCAAAAGCTAACGGGCCGGCAGTCCGACCCGAGGCCCGGCTCAAAAGCCCAAATCATATTGGGCCAAAAAATCATTGGGCGAAGGCCCTGAAATATGACCCCCCCACTCAGCAGGCCCATTTTATTTTATCAACTAACGGGCATAAATAAGTAGCCAATCGACTCTCATGGGAAATCACTCATGTGTGGCCTCAGGTATCTGACAATAGATTTAAGCAGCCTTTTCTCTCACTAACCATAAGAACTCATGTAAGTACAAACATGAGAGATTGGTACAATGTGTCTTATATTCCAATCTAGGAATATAAGGTGAAAGAAGGGACTAAAAATAAAGGCTAATGTAAGATGTGGACCTCTCTTCAACCCTGAAGAGCTTCCTCCTTCAGCACAACATTGAAAAACACCTTCAACAAATCTTGGTGAACAGAAAAGAAAATTTGAAGGCTATGGTAAAATCATTTCATATTATTTATACCTCAATTTGTGGTGTGTTGATTGGTTGAGACACCTATGGTGTGCCATCAACACAGTCACATTGACTGATGTTTGTGGATTGGTTGAGACACATGTGGTGTGTTGTCAATGCAGTCACATAATTCGTTGAGTCACTTGTGGCGTGCTTACAACGAGGAGACCTAGGGACCTATGAAGTCTAGGGTTAGCATTCTAAGTTAATTGGTCATAGGCTTGTGGAGCCTAGGAATATAAAGGGTTCTTGATCCCTTTAAAATCAAGCATGTATTACACACTTCCTTTAATTCCCTCTATAACCTAGTTGATTCTCATGTTCGGCTCTTGTAGTGAAAATATCTCCCCTTTTGAGTTACAAAGGACGTAGCCATCTCCCTTGCTTGCTCATATAGGGACCTTATCTCCTCATCCATTCAACTAGATAGAATCTCAATAGGTATTACTGGCCCCTAAGCTTACTCCACCTATGTTAACTGAGCCTCTATCTACTCTCACAAATATGTCCCTCTTTTATTTGATTCACAAGCACTTCAACAAATCTCATTGTCACCTATTGCTCTCTTATAGATGGGCAATTCTCAACTTTTGGCTACCACTCATACCATCATGACTTCCTTATGTCTCTATCTCTGCTAGCAATAAAAAACAATCACTGAGGATAGAATTAATATTTCTTAAATTGATGAAAAATTATATAGTATGTTCATCAGCTCCAAATCATCAAGTTTTACTTCAATTTTATCCAATTACTCATTTTTCCTGTCACCATCAAGATAAATTCTTCACAAATGAATATTTGATTTATTCATTATTTTCATATTTTTTAACACTTGTAATAACTTAGAGAACTTTTTTAATATCATTTGAAATATGAAACAAAAAACACTAAAACACTATTTTTAGATCATCACGTATAATCAAGATGAAATATATTATTCTATAATAGTGATGGCACATGTCAACTCGTACCATGTGACTATATATTTAACTTTTAGTTTCTAGATCTTTCTTTGATTTATAATTCTTTATCCTCATGTATTCTTAAGATAGAAAATAACTTGGTGTCAAGGATAAAATATTTAGATTTAGTTATTACTAGTAAAATCATGATTTACTTAATTATAGAATATATAAACTTGATGAATATAGAAACTATTAGGTCATAGAAGTAAAGTATATAAATAAACACCAGAATGAGATAAAAACTTCTTAATAAAATTTTACTTGCAATCATTACATCTAGGGCCATAAATAACAAGAACTCGACCCAAATCCAAGAAGAAGACCATGCAAATAACAGATCACCACCGTGTGCGAACAAACTATGATTATGGCATCAAGGTCATCCATGTGGGGTATTGAGTCCAGTTTGCCATCTCATAATCTGATCTTTAGCGGGACACAAGGAGCAACACTTAGGTGCAAATGCCTCTAAGTTGATAGCCTTAACTGAGTCATCTACTAATGACACTTTACACTCATCTATGATGCCTCTTTCTTCAAGGAAAACTTATGGGTACCTTTATTATTGACCATCACAAGTGTGGTCTAGTCTTTGATGTAGGCCTTGATATAGATCAGCTTGGACTCATTACTTTACTTAGCTTCAATGTGTTGTTACAATGCACCTAATATGTATTAAGGGTGAGTCTTTGTTTGTAATTGTTTATTGTGCTATCATTGTGTTGATGGTGCATTCTTTTAGGCAATCCTTTTGTAAGTGCAGACCTTTGCAAGTGAAGCAATCATTCTTTGTTATCTAGTCTTTTGTAGTTGATGTAGTTTTTTTGGGTCCTCCCTAACCCTTGGAGGGTGCCATTCCTAAGCACTCTATGCATTTGCTTTTACCCTTGCCCTAATTGCCTTTCCAAGATCCTCCTTAGTCCTCTTTCAACTTCACACTTCTAGACAATTTGGAGTTGCTAGAGTGCTATGAGCCAATGAAGGCTTTGATAATCATTATTATTAACTTAAAATTTTGACCTCCCCCGCCATGCTCAACTTTCATATGAACCTACAATAACAACTTAATTGTAAAGTTAAAAAGCGTACAATCCTTGGACATGATTCTAATGTCTAAGATGATGGATGAGAACTTTTTTAACATAGTCACTGCATGCCTTGTATATGCTTTGGACTTTGGAGCTTTTTCCCAATTAATATCTTCTAGAGGAGATATTGTGGCCACCAAATATTTCACAAACGTCATATTGGCCAAAAAGGTTTGATAACCCTCTTGTAAGTAAACATGTAGCTATATTGAGACAATCCTTGCAAAGTCCATCCACTCTTCAAAAATAAAGATTTAGTCATTGTTGCTATTAATTTTTCTCTAACTTGGAGACTTTATCCTCCACACAACTGGTTCACAAATGTTCTGCTCGATCCACTGCAACCATATTAAATATTTCTTACCTAAGCAAAATCTAACTTTGATACCAATACGGCAATCGCCAATGTGTGGCCTTAGACATTCAACATCATGTCTATATAGCTTTTCCTCTCTCCAATAGGAGGAAGAATTAGTAGAAGTACAAATAGGAGATGTTAGAATAGTGTAGCTTCTGTTCCCATCCAAAAATGTAAGAGGAAAGAAGGGGGGGGAGAGTAAGGAATGGTTCATATCACTACCTTTGCCTCAATTCAGCCTAGGGTACCCCTACTTATATGGGAGGAACCGGGCTGTCCACTTCCATAACTAGATGAGAAGGCCTCTTCCTACTAGGCAAAAGGTGGCACCTTCAACTAGAAGAGTTATGCAAGACATGGCCACATCTGAATCATGCTTATAATCCCATAATACTTACACCCACATCTAATGCACACATCCTAGTCACATGCAAGTATGTCATGCCTCATCTGCCTGCTCACCATGCAAGCTTACTATACTCCTATGCACTTGACTATATGTACCCTCCAAGTGTGTGACTCCATGCCACTCTTGGGATGACATCATGTCACATTGTGCCAATAGCTAGTAAGACCCATGAGGGTCCCACTCAGTGACCGACTTCACCACCTTTGCCACATAGGTCCATGCACTTCAATGCACTATCATATACGTTGTACTATACCATCGTGCTCATTATGCATACAGTCTTGGCTCCCATGTGTCATACCACCATAGCATACTTGCCATGCATGCATATGCTTAGGCTCCATTTGAGGAACCTTGCTCAATTTATGGAACAAAGGACAAGGAAAATTATATCAATTTTATTATTTTATTAATTTTGGCAACTTAAGAAGCCAAAACCCATTGAATGAAGACAGATGGTGAATGGTAAGGAAGTCACTACATTGACAAGCTCTTCATCCCAATTTGAGAAGGGTGGTAATGGTCCTAGTGGCCCATATTAGGGCCCATTATGTTAACGGCCGTCCTCTCCCTCTTTCTTGTATCCTCTTTTATTGAAAATATTAGGTGAGACATGTTTTTGGGCCCAGCTCATCTCATATTTTGGGCCACATTCCTTGGTCTGTATTATCGGGTCGGGTTCTGACCCCGTAAGAAGGTCCAATGGAAGACACGGAAATCACCCGCCTCAGTCGAGTTCTTCGCGAAGAAACCTCCACCAGGCGGCTGCTCCGTCGAGGGAGGGACCTGCGCCGAACTGTCTTCTGCGGGGTTCTTCTTCATTTCTCCACTGAAGAAGGAGATGATCCGAGTGAGTCTCCGCTTCCTCAGCTACCTCTCGCTCACCGTCTCTCTCCCACTTTCGATAGTTTCGTCTTTTTCGTCCGTTCTTCTGCTGTTGAGCCTATTTTGTTCTGTCTTTCCTTTTTGTGCCCTGTCGGATTTCCTGATGGATTGATTGGATGTGAGCGAATTTCATCTTCTTTTGCCATCTGCTTTGGTATTTTTGCTCCATCGCGGCGCGCGAACTTTGCTAATCTTTCTTCGACGGTTCGTTGGCGTTTTCATAGGATCCTTTTGGACTGAGGGTATGGGCGAAGAAATGAGCAACAGAGGTCGAGTGTTTTGAATTGTAGAACGTTTATGCGGATAAAATATGTCGTTGATCAATCGCGAAATTTCATGTTCAGTTTGAATTGTAGACCAAGAGTCTAGATTATGACTTTTCTTGGTTTCAAAAGTTATTGAAGATCTATTATGACCTTAAATGATCATAAAAATTGGAGGTACGTAGATGTTATTTGTCCACAGTGGGCCCTTCATATGGGAATTTACAATTAAGAGGAGAAGACAAGTTATGCAAGCTTTACAGTGCTTCCGCATAAAGCACAAAGTTATTCCGCTGATCATAGGTGATAAATTGATGAGATAAATCTTATGTGATGTCACAGGGGTTTGGTTTGCAATACCTGAATCTCCTCTGATATTCCAAGCATTATTACTTTATCAAAATCTGGCTAACAGGGGTTGGGTTTGTAATATCACATGTGAAAGTCAGACTTACATCGATTAGTAAAATTGAAATCCCATGTTCGTGCGTTTTTCTTCTTTTTTTTTTTTGTTAGACTAGTGAAATAACTTTCTTCAGGCAGCAGTTGGCCAATCGAGGTTCGTCTAGCTCTCAGGCAAAACATATACCCTAGTTTCTATGTGAATGTGACCTTGTGAGAAGTTTGGAAGTTCTTGAATAATCATTGAAAAAAGATAGTTTAGGGTTCGAAGATTGCCTTTGAGCATGCTTCCAGCTTTCATTTGTGGCAGAAATGTTGCGGAGGTCTGTGTCTCACTGTTAGATGGTCAATTCATGCTTACTTGCCACCTATGGACTTTAAAGTAATCCTACTAAAGTTCTGAATCTCTTGTGCGTCTTTTGACCATGATAATATGCGATGATCTCTTCTCCATTTCATTGAAGGTTATGCATTTAGTAGGCAGCGAATTTATGTATAAATTACTCTTGATGTACTTCACGAAATCTATACTCCAGTAAGCATATGGATATATTTATCCGGATTGAAGATTGAGAAAAAGACTGCTGTGTGATGATTAAGAACGATTGAACTCTCTCCGTGTATGGCAGGTGGGTTTATCATGAAAATGCTTATTTATTTAAATGATGATCAGATGGTAAGGCAGGGTTGTGCTTGAATTGTCAAATATCTTGATGGATGTAGGTTAGAATCGGGAAATTGAGGTTAGAAAATTCTTAGCATAACTTAGAAACCCATTTTCTGTGGAAATACCCTGGGTCTATCGTCATGAAGATATTCACGTGATAACTATGAATGACCGATGGATTGAGCAAATTATGCTGGAATAATCTTTGTATGTTTTTTTTTCTGACTGGGGCGTCTATCTTTTATTAGTACATCTCACTTATTGACGATTTATTTTCCTGCCCTAGCTTCATTTTTATAATTGGAAAAAAAAAGATGTCGCTATACATGTCTCGAATTACTGGGACTTGCAAGCAATTACCTCATAATTTATTTTTTGTCACGTCAGTGGGCATACTTTCCCTGAATGAATCAAGTGATCCAAGTTGATATTGTCTCTAAACCTTATATTGTCTGAAATGTAACTTTCACTGTTTTTGCTATTTATCGATCAATGTCGTCATGACAGAGAAGTACAAGCTCTTTTTCAACTAGTTCATGCATTATTTTCGATCTTAGGAACGGTAGTCATGAGAGTAGAATGATATTCCTTTTCAATCCTAATCAAAGGTTTCCTTTTAAGGAAGGTGCATTCCCAGAAATCTCGAGGTGATGGTCAAGCATTCCTTATACACCAGTGTCTGGTGAAGCAAAAATAAATGACTTCTGGAAAGGCTTCACTCCAGGAAAAAAAGAGAATAATGCCGAGCTGCCATTCAGTGCTTTGATTTGGGTATGCAAGTCTCCTTTCTGTTTGATTTGGGGTCACTTTATGTACCCAGCGTTCTATGTTTTGCCTTTTTTTTCTAGTAATGATAAATGGCTCACTTTTCTATTTGTTTTTCTTTTCCAGAATGATAATGTGGGACTCTGATCTTTAGTGTAAACCATTTGTGCATTGTCACTGATGTTTCCGCCATGGCTAAGACACTGGTTTCACGTCTTCACACTTTTTGGCCATTTTCACTGTTTAAGAAAGACGATCTAAAAGTTTCAAGCAGATTAGTTCATGGGCTTCCAATACCAGAAGCGACAAAGCAATTCACCTTTGCAATCCAGGAACCCTCTTTGCAGACGGTGGTGTATATATTAGCTGTACAAAACCTGTCAGAACAGTCTTCTCTGGATGCTGAGTGGCTAATAAAGTCAGTCCAACCAGATGCCGTTGTGGTTCAGATTGCCCCCTCTGCGCTACCTGAAATCCAGGCTGAGGATAAGCTACCAGATTACCAAGTGGGCACCATACCAACGTCAACCCTTGGTGTATTGAGGAAGTGCTTCCTTGATAAAATCAATAAACAGGAGTATGAGAACGTTGCAGGGAATCTCATTCTGAAGGAGATTTTCGGCGTTGGATTTTATGGGCACCTCTTGGCTGCCAAGAGAGCTGCCAAGATAGTCAATTCTCAGTTCTTATTGCTCAATTCTCCTTATGAAAGCATATACAAGCAGGATCCCAAGCGTGATACCATAACCGAGGGCCAAAACCCACTTTTGCCAGCCAACTCTTTGGTCCCTGTTCAAGCCACCAGTGTTGTTTCCTCAAGAAGATTTTGCCTCACTGACATTGGGCAGTCACAGATGGTGAAATCATTGACTCAATCATTAACTGCAACCATGGCGGAACCAAGGTCGTCCATGCCCATCTATGAGAACGGGCTCGGAGAAGTTCAGAACAAATTGAACTACCAGGCTCCCTGGTTCGCACGGGCTATCTACACCTTGTTGGCAGATTTGCACGACCTATTTGCCGACCTCCCAGCCATTGGGAATGCTCTACTCTACGCACAGAAGCTGCTTTCCGACGTCAATCAAGGGGAACCCGTGGACACTCAGCTTGTCTCTGAAGTGCGCAACTTTCGGATCGCAGTTGAAGGTCTAAGAATAGCTCTCAATAGTGCTGCCCGTACTCCAAACGGCAGAAAGGAGACTACAAACCCTCCAGTTGAGTTCAATGAACTCCCTCCCGAAGAAAAGTGTCATGTCCTCTTCGCGCAGGGTCTCAAGCACCAGGTGAAGAGCTTCAAGTCTGTTGTAGCCATTGTCGATGCAGGCAGTTTATCAGGCATCCGGAGACACTGGAACACGCCCTTGCCTCCAGAGATCATGGAGTTATTAGCTGGGCAGGGCATCACAAGATACTATGATGATGAAATCGAAGATGCGGCTGAACTTGCAGAGAAGAAGAGGCTTCTGACCGCCAAACCAGTTGTGGCAGTGGGTGCAGGAGCAACAGCATTCCTCGGTGCAGCCTCGTTCTCAAAGGCCATCCACGCATCTACTTTATTCAAGATCATTGCCTACAAGCTTCCCATCTCCCTCAAGATGAGCCTTGCAACTTTCCAGAGGATGACTGCTCTTGGGCTCGCTAAGATTCTGGGGCCCTCCAAGATTCTAGCCACTGGGGTTGCTGGTAGTAGCACCAAGGCCTCCGCCTTGAAGGTGACGGCCTCAACTGAGAAGATCCGGGCTGTGGCCCACAGCATTGTGACGTCAGCAGAGAGGACCAGCTTGCTAGCAATGCGTACTTCTTTCTATGAGATAATGAGGAAGAGGAAGGTCCAGCCGGCTAGGATTTCCCCTTGGGCGACTTTTGGCTGCAGCATGGTCGGCTGTGCCGGGCTTCTGGCTTATGGGGATGGAATTGAGTGTGCGGCCGAGTCAGTTCCCTCAGCCCCTATGATTGCCTCCCTGGGACGAGGCCTCCAAGGCCTGCATGAGGCATCACGGCAAGTGAGCCAGAGTAATAATAATAAACGACTGCAAGAGGCCTTACAGTCTCTGATGTACAGTTTAAAACAGCTTAAGAAACAGCAATAAGAATCGGTTTCCATCTTCTTACTCATCGCTTCCTTTCATGACCATAAATGTGATGATCTTATGTTGAAGCAGCTGCATCATAAGCTCCTAAAGCAGCTTCTGAAGCTGCCCGGACTTTTGCTTCACCGCTATTTTTTCTCATGATCTTACTATTTTTAACCCCCTTTAGTGATGAAATCAACATTTGATCCTGTGACCCTTCTTCCTGCTGATAAAACTCTCCATTGACAGGTTTTTATAGCTGCAGAATGAGGGGGTCCTGCCACAATCTGTCATATTTTTTTAGTCCCACGCAACTAATTATTATATCTCTGTTTTATGTAAATAAGACAAGAATTTATCTCCCCTGATTGATTAATGTTCATATTTCTGCTTAAATTTACACCTCAAAAGCAGCAAAACATGGTCTCAGCCTTTTAGTGACGAAGTTCTTAGAAGCGCAAGGTGATGGTCGTTTTCCAGACCTCCAACTCAACTTCCAGAACAAGTTTCCAAGATCAGTGCATGAATATACACATACATACAATTTTCCGTTCAAAAGGTTTTTTGATCCAAAGGTACCCAATTTCGCAGCTGATTGTTTCAGCCGATCTTCACTGCCGCTGACCTCTCCAGGAGCTCTTCAAGCTGCTCTGCCTTGAGGGCCTCGATCTCGTAGCGGACCTCCTCCAGATGCTCGTTGATGCAGGTCACAGCCTCCTGCACGCCCCTGATGGCGCCCTTGAGGGCCTCGTCATATGCGGCATCGGCCTCTGCGTCCTCTACACCATCAGCCTCCGTCAGCTGCCGGATGTGGACGCACTCATGCTCTGAAGGCCCCCTGGAGCAGCCCTCATGGCTCACCAGCTGCTCCGAGGGCCGGCCCGCCTTCTTCAGCACCTGGATCTGCGCCGTCTGTTGCCACATGTGTAGAAATAGCAAATGATTTGATCAAATGGGAACCCTCAGTCTGCTTCGGAACTTGTCTAGCAGAGTGGTGTATTGATCTTTGCTCTTAATTTTTATTTTTAAAGAGCAAAAAAAATTAATTATTTTTTACTAAATTCAGTATCTCCTTCTCCTGTTCTTGGACGGCCTTCAGTATCACTAATGGGGAACCCAAATCCGTTTTGGTGAACTTGTCTGGCGGATTGGCTTATTTATTTTGCTCTTAAATTAATTATGATGAAGGATGAGAGCAAAAAATAAGAACTTACCAGTCGCAGCTTGTGCTTCTCCTGTTCTTGAACAGCCTTCAGAAGGGCGGACAGATCGCCCCGGCACAAATCTGGGTCAGCCAGCAGCGATTCCATTTCAAGAACCTGCAGTGAGTTTTTCTTCATCTGGGATCTTCCCCTCACAAAAGATTTAAATCGAGAGAGGAATGTTTTGACCCACTCGCTTTGAGCAATCGCTGAACTCTGCTGTAACCTCCGCACATAGCTCTTGGTAGGTTGAGTCTCCTCCGCTGACCATGTATTCAGAAAACCCCCTATGGAGACAACCAAATAGTTCATACCAATAAGATTTAAATAATTTAATTTCTAGATGGAACTAAGCAGATGTACAGAATGAAATCACCGAAGAGCACAAAAGCTTATGTGAGACATTAAACACCGATTTCTCTCTTATGTGAGAAATCATATGGTTTCTTTACATATTTTTCTGCGGCGGTTCATTTTCTCAAAAACCCCAAGTAATATTCCCCTTTCAGAAAAGCCCATTATACAACTAGAAATATAAAAAAATATCTTTTAATAGGCACCATGATAGCAGGCAAGCCATAAAATTTCGAGAACTATGGAACCACATCTTAAAACAATGTCAGCAATTATTATAATAAATGCAATCACAGATGTGTATTTATCTATCTCCAATGGCCGAATGTGCCAAACCACATTAAATTAAAAAAATATTTATTTTTATAATTTTATCATTGAACTCGTCTAAAAATTACTTGACACGAAGAAAATCATAGATGAAAATGAGTACGTCTTAAAACGCATGGGAGAACTAACTGCCATGGAAACAAGGAGATGAGCTCACACATGAATAAAACAGAAATGGATTAGGGCTTTTCAGTACCTCCGTAGCTTTGAGTAGGCTTCTGCTCTCCTTTGTTGAATTCCAAGGAAGCTTCTCAGCACGTCAATCAACTTCGAAGATCTCCAGCTACCATCAACATCCATCACCTTGTCATCTTGATCTTTCCCTTCAGTTTTTTCACAGTTTTCCATGGCCTATTCCTCCTCCTCGGATTCAAGCACACCCAACAAGGCCTAGCAGATAAACAGATGGAAATAAATAGATATAGAAGGCATCCGAATACGCCTAAAGAACATTCAGCTTCCACAATCTATGGAGTTCTTGAAGGCATCTCAACAGAAGGACCTCACAAAAAAAAAAAGGAACATAAGAGGAATAATGCATTTCCATAAATACAAGAAATTCACTTTCACTTAACCAATTTTGTACACAGATTGCCTATTTAGGATGCCTTTTGAACACCCATTATTGACTATTGTTTAAATAAGTATGCCTACTTACTATTAAAGACTCATCAATTCACATATTTTTTTAATAGTAGACTTTGGTCTGTCATCAACTGAGATACTCTGTTACAGACCAGTAGACCTTGATCAGTGCACTCACTGGTTTCATGCATACAAGTGTGGAGCCACAGGAAGCATGGTATTGCATAGATCACTGCAACTGACTAAGGCCATGCACAGAAAGACGGGAATAAATGTTGAAGAACCATGATTCGACTCTTGAGTTTTTTTTCTCTGAAAGCTGAGAAAAATCAGCTCTGCCCCATGAAACTGCAGTGAATAGGGATTACTGCAAAGGCCATATTTTCTACATGGTGACAGTTTTTCTCTGACGGGAAGGAATGGATCAACGGATTGGAAACTAAGAATGACTTGATTCCGTTTGCTTGATGGTTCAAACCGAGCACAGAGGGGCTGGGATCAACCAGACAGACGCCTCTTCTGCTATCGACTACGAGACCCTTCGGCTAGATCCACACGCGCATTCTCCCGCTTCACCTTGGCGTGAAGGAGATTCTTCTTCTGCCGAATGGTAAACAGGTTATAATCAGATGGTCCCTCTTCACCAACCAGGAGCACTCCCACATTCTTGCCGTAAAATCAGAAAGAAAGAGAAGTAAGCACACAAGTGCCGGGTTTTGTAGTTTTGTTTCTAATTATTGGATCTCGATGGATGAGACTCCCGCTAAGAATTGAAAATTATTTCACAAAAAGAGGGTCTCGAAGGAATCCTCGCCCCATTTTCGACACGCTCCTGCGCACAGATGCCCATCTTATTCTGACAAAGGATCGAAGACGAGTTTCCATGACCCAGGACCTAATAACTCACACCGTTCACCCTTCCCTACTCCGACCTCCTCCCCTCTTCCAACGGACAAAGAGAAAGCAGTGGCTGATGGGACAGAAACAGAAATTTGAACCGTGGATAGATGGAGAGAGAGAGAGAGAGAGAGAGAGAGAGGAGGTACCCTCGATGAGGATGGAGATGGCGATAACAGCAGGCTCAAATCCAAAGGACAACAACGTCCGCCACCGATGGCAACAATCCGCAGACTCAAGCTCCGGTGGGCCGTCCAAGCCGTCGCCGGTTAGGCGCCTCTGCCTAGTCGACCAAGGAAGGGGGAAGCTGTCGCCCGTTTGGCACCTCCGCCTACTCGACCATGGAAAGGGGAAGCCATCGCCCCGTTCGGCACATCCGCCCACTCGATCGTGGAAAGTTGGAGATTTGCCAGAAGTTAGCCCACCAATAGCTATCTTGCAAGAAGAAATACTGGTTCTGCACCAAGCTCTCTCTCTCCACCCCAAAGTTGCAACATTCATGATAGTTATAATTATTTATTTTTATTTCCATTCGATATATTTCATTTAAATGAGTAATTTTATTCAATTTTGACGGTAATTATAGATGTTTTATCTCATCAGGAAAACATAGAGGTGAGAATTAAGTTTGGGACAAAAGGAACATATACAGCTATTAAAAGTTAGCTTGTAGAAAATAAAATGTGAATATTTTTTAAAATAGATAAATATTTAAATAAACCATAATCATATCAGCATTTAGTTTACATCGTGGAAAATTGGTGGATGGAAGCTTGATCATAAGACTTGGCATTGCCACCATATTATTTCAATTAATTCTTCCTTTAATTCATTATTTGCAATGTTCTTTAGTAATCATCTACTACTATTGCATGATATTCATTGATTTTAATTTTAATTTTCAAATAACTCAAAAATTGAGTACATAATCAAGACAAAAGCATAAATTATTTATACATGAAAGGAATTGCATTTTCAAAATTAAACACATTATGAATTATGAGGATATTCTCTCATTAATTTTTTCATCAACTAGTGTGATTAATAATGTCCATTGGATCACCAATCTTATGGTTTAAGGTAAATCACTTGGTCTCAACCATAGTATTAGAGAGGTCATGTCACTTTCCATATGGTGCACCATACAAAATCTGTTTATTGTGGTCTACCTACCTCACATACCATTCTCTCTAAACTCTCATGACTTTCTTCATTAGGAATGGCAAAGCTAGGAAGAATCAGAACACATGTTATCTGCTCTACGAGTGTTGAGATGTAGGGGATGCATGGCAAAAAGTAAACACCCACCACCCACTTATAGAGGTCAACCCACAAGGTCAACTATCCAAAACCAAAATTTGCATCTAATTGTCAATTGAGCAATGAATGCGAGAACCCATTTCCCTACATCTTCACATCCTCTATAGGTCTGAAATTTATATAAGAAAATGTCCATCATAATATCATGGCCAACATCAAATCTAAGGATTAACACTCATTTTAGTCTCAAGATCATATGCCCAACATGGCAAGAGCCACATGCTAACTAGAGGCTCTTTACATGTAGGGCACCTTTTGTTCGAGGAGAAAAACTCATATATATAATGAAATTACAACATGAATAGTAAAGTTTTGTGACCTAAACATTACTTAGAGGTGCATGAATTGCGTAGATATAATATGATGAATTACCCTGATAGTGAACCACACAACCCTTGGACCTTGTATGGCATAGCAGATGATGGCATAACCCACCCATGCCTGGCACATATGATCAAAGGCCATGCACGTAGAGGACCCCATCCTTTGACTAGAAGCATCACATCATGTCTTCACCTTGTCCATTGCAATGAGGATGATGAATGTAGCATACATCTCCCCTAGAATCATATCCTTTACTTATCAAAAGCCTTTCACATTTCAAAAATATATCTCCTTTGTGACATGCATCTTCATCAATTTGAGAGTTCATATGGGGTGTTCCCCTTTGAGGGTTCATCTTCATCAATATGTCTTATTTTTAATTATTTTTATTTTTTTTCTAGTCGTATGTTTTTCACTTATCTAAGGATGATAAATATATTGAAGGCTCCATGATGGTTAATTTCTGACGTTTTTTTTCAACATTTATATGGTTTTATTTCTGTATTTTGGGAAGAAAATTTGTGGAAAAACTGTATGCTTGGGTGGGGCCCATTCGCGGCGGCAGCTATCCACATGAAGCTGAGATTCCCAATACGAATCCCAATATTGAATCTGTGGTGGACCCCGCGGATCCCACTGCAAGCCGTCTGATCAAAGTTTGACGGATGGGATCACAGATTGCAACGGTCTATAAATCTAGGTGGAAAGATCAGAAGAAGGTCTCTTTCCGCCTCCCCCTCTTCGCACCACAAGCTCGTAGCGGCAATGGTGGGAAGCATTGTTGCAGATGCCATGCGCGCCGAGGATGTCGCCGCCGGGAAGGCGGAGGTGTTGCCGGAGGAATTAGATTTGGCGGAGGTGCCTGAGGAGGCGGTGGCGATGGGGCTGCCTGATGCGGCCAATGAATTCGGTGGTGCCGTGGAGAGGTCGGGGAGGAAGGATATCTCGCTCGGGAGAAACGTCCATTCTACCTGCTTCGCCGTGACGGAACCTGACGCCGACGATGAGGAGACGGGCGATCGGGAGGCGTACATGGCCAGCGTACTGGCGAGGTACCGGAGGTCTCTCGTCGAGAGAACGAGGCACCATCTCGGTATCTCTCCCTCTCTTTCTCACTCTCCCTCCCCCCGGGGGGCAGAACTTTGCATATGAACCTTTTTTCCTCTTGAAATTTTGGTTTCCTGAAACTTTCTCTCCATGGGCAGTTTCTTTTAGGATTTGTCACTGTATGAGGGAAATCTTGAGTCGACTTTGAAGGAAATTCCATTAGGAATTCTTGATCCAATTTCGGTCTCCCTTTTTGGTTTTAACCCTGTGTTTAGATGACATTTTTCTATGATTACTGTGCATACTAAAAATCTATGAGAGCGGCATTTTGTGAGATGTGTACCGTTGCTGTAGAACACAACGCAGTCAGAATCTATCATCTCTGTTGAGAAGGAACAGTTGGTCTTGAAATATTTTGATAATTTTCTTGCTAAAAAAGTTTATGCAAAGGAATATTCACCTTTGTTTACAATGAATTATTGTAAACCAACTCTGTTCATTCTTTGACGATTGATAGATTTGACACAAACTCTAGTCGATCTCCATCTTAAGAAGCCTTTAATCTCCATCGTTGGAGATTGATAGATTTCAAGTCCGGAGATGCTTGCCACTCACCCGCATTTTGAGGGATGGCGAAATCTGTCAGATGAATGTAGCTTAGTCTCCATCGAATAGCTGTGAAAGTCTTGATTTCCCGCTGCTGCAGATAATTCTTTTTCAAAGACTTCATCGTTTATCAATGCGAACTCATAGCTGACTCTGTGTTCAATGGCTGTAGGTTACCCCTACAACCTGGACTTCGACTATGGTGAACTGGCCCAGCTGCAACATTTCTCCATTAACAATCTTGGTGACCCCTTCATTGAGAGCAACTACGGAGTCCATTCCAGACAATTTGAAGTAGGAGTGTTGGACTGGTTCGCTCGTCTCTGGGAGATAGAGAAGGATCAGTACTGGGGCTACATCACCAACTGCGGCACAGAAGGCAATCTCCATGGCATTCTTGTCGGGTTAGTAGTACAACCCGGCTTCCACTATTAATACTGGGGGTGGATTCTTTCTTATGATTAGTTTCCGTTTTGATGGTATGCAGGAGGGAGGTCTTCCCTGACGGGATCTTGTATGCCTCCCGGGAGTCGCATTATTCGGTCTTTAAGGCCGCCAGGATGTACAGGATGGAGTGCGTCAAGGTGGACACTCTCATTACAGGCGAGATCGATTGTGCTGATTTTGGAAAGAAGATTCTTCTGAACCAGGACAAGCCGGCCATAATCAACGTCAATATTGGTCTGAAAGTTTACTTTTCTCCCCCGTTGCCTCGCAAGAATAGCTCATTTGGTGGCATAAATTGATCCGTTATGTGTGGTATGCTGTTTCAGGGACCACGGTCAAGGGGGCAGTCGACGATCTCGACTTGGTCATAGAGACACTCGAGAACAATGGATTCAAGGGCCGATTCTACATCCATTGCGACGGCGCCCTGTTTGGGCTCATGATGCCTTTTGTCAAACGTGTACGTCATATCATCTGTCCCCTAAGTTCCAATCTATGTATATATATATTGATTTCTATATATGGTGATGATGAATTGAATTGATGAATGTGGAAGCAGGCACCAAAGGTGACGTTCAAGAAGCCGATCGGGAGTGTGAGTGTGTCTGGCCACAAGTTTGTGGGGTGCCCGATGCCATGTGGTGTGCAGATAACGAGGCTGGAACACATCAACGCCCTCTCGAGGAACGTTGAGTACCTGGCCTCCAGGGATGCCACCATCATGGGCAGCCGCAACGGCCACGCACCCATCTTCCTCTGGTACACGCTCAACCGGAAGGGCTACCGGGGCTTCCAAAAGGAGGTGCAGAGATGCCTCCGCAATGCCCACTACCTCAGGGACCGCCTTCGAGCTGCCGGTGTCAGCGCCATGCTGAACGAGCTCAGCAGCACCGTTGTCTTCGAGCGGCCACCAGATGAAGAATTCGTCCGCCGATGGCAGCTTGCTTGCCAGGGGAGCATCGCTCACGTCGTGGTCATGCCCAATGTGACCATCGACAAGCTTGATCACTTCCTCGATGAGCTGGTGGCGAAGCGGGCTGCCTGGTTCCCGGCCGGCGGCAGTCAGATTCCCTGCATTGCAGCTGATGTTGGCGAGGAGAACTGTGCCTGCACCCTCCATCGCTGCTGATTGTTGTACCCCGAGACTATTCTTGTCCGCATGAAGACCTCCTAACCAGGGTATGAAGTTCATCTCTACCAGTTCTTGCGGCCTCTCTGCATCGTCTTCAACCATGAAGAATTCCATCTTGTTGTGCCCTGAGTCTTAGTAAAAATGGGCTATTCTTGTTATGATGAAGTCCTCCTAACTAGACTATGAAGGCTATCTACCAGTTCTTCTGGCCTTCTCCCATGTTGTTGTTTGCATAAAACTCCCTGGGAGTTCTGGATATTGGCGTGGTATCCATATATATAAATATTTATGTGTGAACAATGTTCTTGATATGATGAGGACCTACTAACCAGACTGAAAATCATCTGTAAGTTCTCCCATGTTGTTATTTGCGTAAAACTCCCTGGGAATGCTGCGTATTGGCGTGGTATCCATATATAATTGTTTATGTGCTGTGACGAATTATCATACAAGCAAGTATCAATGACTGTCATGTCATCGAGGAGCACAAGATCGACGGTGCCGATTCTCTCCCCTCCCTACTCGACCTAGGGCTCATCTTTCGGCAAACGAAATATTGAAATACTACACTTTTTATGGTACATTATCGTTTGAAACAATATAATGATTATATATTACATATATCCTCAGTTTGGCCGTCTTTCAGAGCGTTCACGTATCGTGGCGGTGCGCACGTGATCCGAGCCCACACTGAAAGACGGGGGCCTCTTTTCATCACGCGCGCCGCACTCGTCACGTGCCGCCGGGTGTAAAACTATTCATAAATTAAGTGGTGCTGACTTTTAAACCATATAATAAATGGTGCACGTTCTTATTTAATGGGCCGGTGGAGGATAGCCCATTACAGTACCCGATTTCAAGGCCACACCGACCCGGCCCAGCAGCATTGACCAAACCAGCCTCTCACCCACTCATATGATCCATTGACCAGGGCTAGACACATCCTACTCTCATAGAACATAGTCAGTCATATGATCACATCCCTTGTGTCTAGCGCGGCTTTTCAGCCGGGTCATATGACAAACTGTGACGGTTAAAGACCATAGATCGGCGGGCCCCACCGTAGCATCAATGTTGAGGATTCTTGTAGCGATTAGAAGGGACAATGTGGAGTCCACAGGATGCATTCAGGAATTTTTAAATTAATTAATTAATTATATAAAATATTAGTGGTCGATATGAAAATAATTTTCCTTGAAATTTCCTCGTACATTTAAATAATTTCAAGAATTTTGGGTCAAAACTCAATTTGAGCTTTTTATTGGTGCGTGTGAATAATAAGTTGCTTGGATCAATTAAGTGGGTTCAACCACCGACCAGTGAGGATGACAACTGAGAGAGAGAGTCGCTGTTTATATGGGTCATGGGGGCGGGCACACGGTATTACGATGTGCCGCGGATAACCTTAACGCTGGTGTCGACCCACCGACGGTGGCAAAATCGAAAATACCCGCCTTCTTCTTTCTCAGTAACTGCGCTTGAAGCCACCATAATCTTCTATACCGACACGCGCAATTTGCTAATGTGCGCCCCCCAATTTGTTCCTCTGTCTCCTTCGAAAGCGTCCGCATAAAACCACAGACGCCCCTCTCCCACTGTCGAAGTCTCTCTCTCTCCTCTCTCCTCTCTCCTCTCTCTCTCTCTCTTACCTCTACGCGGCTGTGGAATTGCTGGTATTCCAAGGGAGATAGTGAGGGTACAATGCCATCTGGAGGGATGGAGGACGGGACGGGGGATGGGGCGGACGGCAATGGGGGCTGACGGGAGGGGATGGGGAAAGCCGAGAGTGAGCAGTCCCCGTCCGCCAACCAGGGGCTGGAGGAGGGCGGGAGGCGGTCGGAGGGCAATGCTTGTTCGAGCTGCAGACAGTGCTTGTGGATCGGAAGGGGGGTGAGGCTCAGATGCGTGGCAGCGCTGGCGCTTGGCGTAGCCGTACTTCTGTCGGCAGTTTTTTGGCTCCCGTTTCTGAATGGCGGTGCTCATCCGGAAGGGGGAGACGATCGAGTTGGAAGTAAGGATGAGGACATTTGTCCTGGTTTGTCGGTTGATGCTCTTTTATTACATGATTTTTGAGTCGTTAGATTGGACGGTCATTCTGTCCTGCGGATAGGTAAAAGGTGGATTGCATTTCCTTCAACAAACAGATTCTCGATTGCATTCAATTTTTTTCCTGTCCATTTAACGATTTCTTCTGCGTTTTGAAGTGATAACTAATTTTCAACTCTCTCTGTGTCTGTTTCTTTCCCTCCCTCCCTCCCTCCCTCTCTCTTTCTCTCTTTTTTTCTCGCTATCTCTCTCGCTCTCTCGCTCTCCCCCTCTCCCCCCTCTCCATATCTCCCTCTCTCTCTTCCCCCCTCCATTTCCCTCTGTCTCCTCGCTCTCTCTCTCTCCCCTCTTCTCCTCCCTCTTCTCCTCCCTCTTAATTGACGTGAGTATCTCTAGATTTTTGGAGATCTATTGACTGCGAGATTACGACGATGAGATAAACTGTGGCGGTGGTGGCGCAGATGCGGCAACATATTTTAGCTCTTTCTAATATTCGCTCATGCTATTCAACGTACATTGGCTAAAATGTTGTCTGGGTTGAGCTTAGTAGGTGTTGTGTGGTTTAGCTGTGCCAGATTTCCTGATTTCAACCAGCTTGATTGTCTACAAGTTGATACTCTCTCTAGTACTTGGACCGGAGTAATGAAGGGCATACTCTATTTTTAACACCATAGTTGGAATCGCATAGCAAGTAGATGATCCGTATGCTATATATCTTCAAATACTGGATATTAAATTCGTTACCTCAGTTGCTAGAGATATTTCATGGATCAGTGTCCTCATCCAGTGGATGTAATCCCTAGCATCAGAAAAATTTGGTTATGTAGTCTCCTATTCAGTAGTTATTTCCCTACAGGTCTTCATCTCTTTGTTGTCTTTTTACATGCCTTCTCATGGCAATAAAATGCTTGAGTTATTTCCGTGAACCTAATTTTTTTAGTGTCTTCTACTTGTATTTGCACGACAACATCGCTTTATGAGTTCAACCAAAGCCATGTTTTTTCTGTTTAAGTATGCATCCTGCCAACAACTGCAGCTGCATTGATATTTTGCAAAGGGAAGAAGATTGATTGACTTGGGGAATTAACTGATTTTTTTTGCTTATTCTTCATTTTGTATATGCGTTCTGTAAACCCAGGAATGCAATAAAGCTTATGTTTGAAAAAGTAAATACACTGATAATCTTTGATTGATGGAAGAAAACATCGGACTATGTGATGCCCATCGATTAAATCTGTCATACTCTATGATTTGACTAAAAAATCTCTCTGTATCTGTCTCTCCCTCTCTTCATGGTGTCTTCATGATCTCTTCACGCTGCAATCTAGCAATTTGAAGAATAGGCTGTGACATATGCATCTATATTTTTGACTAGACAGATCTCACAGCTGTGACTATGCATCTATATGCATCTATATTTTTGACATATGCAATCTAGCTATGCACATGTTGTCTTGATAAATTCTGTGTGATGTTAATTAATAGGCTGTCATGGTAATTCGATAATCTAATTCAGTGACATAATTTTTCTCTTCAGCCAACATAGTAGCAAGTTTTCAACTCCAGAGGCCTCTCTCACAGCTGGATGCAAATATTTCACAGCTTCGACATGATATCTTTGAAGAGATTGGTGTTGCCAATTCTTCGGTACCTCTCATCTGCCCACTTTTTATATGCCTGCGTGTGTGGGCATCCATGGGGGTGTGCATGCCTTCATGCCTTTATGTAGTGCATGGATGCATAAGCAAATGCAATTCCTCTAAACTTTTTCTTTTCTCAGGTGATCATTATGTCATTGGAGCCTCTACCTGCTTCAAATTGGACAAACGTGGTTTTTGGGATTTGGCCATTTCCGAAGAGTTCAAACATATCTTCTGCTGGGCTTAGCATCCTGAGATCCACTTTTGTTACACTGGTTACAGAGCCATCAACTCTCCGGTTGACTTGGTCATTGTTTGGGAATCCATTCTTCTTCCAGGTGTTAGAATTCCCCGGGGGAATCACCATCATCCCTCCGCAAGGGGGTTTTCCTCTCCAGGAACCACGCATGCTTTTTAATTTCACGCTGAATTTTTCCGTCTATCAAGTTTATGGTAAAATTAGCGAGTTGAAGAACCAGCTTTCATCTGGGCTACATCTCTCTAATTTTGAGGTTCGATCTCTTACCCTCCTGCTGTTCATGCACATTCTTCTTTTTGCAGTCCTTTTTTCTTTTAATTCTTAGATCGATTGCTGATTTATGTTTCGTATTTTCCAGTAAATGAGACAGAGTGACTGATAATTTGTTATGTAAATCTTCGTTTGGACATTGCTACAGCTCATTTGGCGCATCTAGAGATAGATTCGAGAGGCTGTCAGAATAGAAGCCCTCTGTGACTTGATAATTCTCACTTAGTGCATTTCATAATAGTGTAATTTCATCTGCATGAGAAAGATTTTGCCGCGGAGATATAACCGTTTTGTGTGAAGATAACTTCAAAAGTCTTGGCACATGACATATAATGCATTTATTTCAAAACCTTGGATCTCAGTGGAAAATTCGGTTCATCTTTTATTGTGAATGAAATATTTTTGGTCCAGTTTTAAGTCATTATTTCACTGATATCTATGCATATTTTTATTTATTATCTTGCAGAATTTGTATTTCAGCTTGACAAATTCGCACGGCTCCACCGTGAGCCCTCCGACAGTGGTGCAGACATCTATTCTGCTCGCGGTGGGGAATCACCCGCCATCTAAATCAAGATTGAAGGAACTGGCTCAGTCTATCAATCCGGCAAGGAACCTCGGCCTCAACCACACCGTGTTTGGCAGAGTGAAGCAAATTCGTCTCTCCTCCTTCCTCCGACACTCCATCAACAGTTCTGGGCCCTGCAACTATTCCTCGTCTCCGAGTTCAGCCCCTCAGCCTCACCCAACTCACCACCACCGCCACCACCACCACCACCACCACCACCACCACAGCCACCACCACCACAGCCACCACCACAGCCACCACCACCACAGCCACCACCGCCACCGCCACCACCTCAACGACCACCACCACCACCATCCTGGTTATCTTGCTGCACCCACGCCTTCCCCTCTATACAGCAATGCAGTTCCACCACCACCCAGCCGCCAATTTGGATCTTCTAAGAAGCCCAAAATTGGGTTCCACATAGATCCGGCGGTGCCGCCATCTGTGGTGCCTTCATCACCGACGCCCGACTCAAATTCTGAGTCATCTCCCATTCCATATGTAATCTTTTCTCGAGTTCATCCTCCCACTGAGAGCAGGGCATCTCCTGCAAATCCCTCCGATAAGATGGCATCCTCATGTGAGTATTCATCCTTTTTTACCATCTCCATCCATAGTTTTTACCTGTCATGACATGAAATTGAAGAACAACTTTCATGGGCTGCTCATAGATTTTGATCTTCTTTTAGTAAAAATCTTGGTGAATTCATATTCTTTCAGGGTTCATACGTTTTGGATGTTTTCTCTGCAGGTACCACGACGCGGCTCCATTTAATTCCCCGGGCCCTTGCTGTTGCGCCCGTCCTCTATTTGTTCCTCTGCTTGTGAAGAGAAGGGAAGAAGCAACCCTTCCAGCTTCTGCCAGATAAGCGGCATCCGAAGGTGGAGGCCCCTCTTGTAACCGAAGTCTCTGTATATATTTCAGCGTAGGAATAGCGACCGTTGCGGCGGAGGGAAAGAGAGAGCACGCCGCCAGGCGGCAAATAATGTGGTGGCGCTTGCTATTCTCACCCTCCTCTCTTAAACCCGTCACCAACTTCCTCAGAAGGCTGGCCAAATATTTTCAACTGGGTCTTTCTCCTTGGGTGAAACCAATCATATTAGGAAAAGCTAGTAACAGACTCTCAGGGGGGTTGGGTCGACTCCTTTGGGCATACAAGAAAAACATACAGGAAAGAGAGAGAAAGTGGAAGAGGGTCGATAATTAGTCAATCCCCTGGGTCTAATTATATCTATATTTATAGAAACCCGAACCCTAATCTTCTTCTTCTTCCTCTTCTTCGTCGTGGGGATTGGTTAGAAGGAGCAGGAGGTACCCAGCCTGGGCTTGGGCCCCTGGTGCCTCTTCCTCCCTTCCAGTGCAGCTGGCAGGAGCTCCTCGAATGCCTCGAGGAACAGCCGCCACTGCTCCTCGCTCGTCCCTCTGAACGATACGTAGCCCTCCTCGGGTACCGGGCTGATCCTGGAAACGCAGAAGCTCATACTCTTCGTCAGGCATCCCGCCGCCGGGGGATCGCCGCCGCCGTCGTCTTCTCCCGCGGGGCGGGAAGGAGGGTCAACGCTCGAGGGCTTCCCTATGGCCGTTGACTTCTTTGGCACCTTGGGGGGCTTCCTCTGCTGCTTCAGAAGAGGCGGGACCTCCACCGTCGCCGCCGCCGTCGCTGCCCTCACCGCCGCCGCCTGCTCGCCGTCGCCGGCGACCTCCAGCTCGAACTGGAACTCTCTCTCTTCACCTTCCCCTTTCAGCCCTCCTCCTTCTAGGGTTTTCGCCGCCTGCCTGCAGAGCGACTCCAACTTGCTGGGACCTTCTTCCACTCCGCAGAACTCTCTGGTCATCATCTCGCCGACATCGGCCAGGCATAGGCCAGCGGCGGCGGCGCTCTTGAGGAAGACAGTGCAGAGGATGAGGATCCTGATAGACTCCTCTCTGAGCATGGGAAGCTCCGATCTGAGCAGCTCTGCGTCTCTGAAAGGATCCAGGGAGGTGATGTACTCCAGCTCCTGCTCCGAGAAGGGAACCGAGGACTGCGGCCAATGGAGCCACTCGAAGTAGGGGTCGTCTAGTTGCTCCGGCAGGCAGAGCCCGTGGTCGATTGGTACCAGCTCACAGTCGTCGCCACCGTATCCGCCATAGCCGCCGGCGGCGGAGGAGGAAGAAGAGGTTTTTACCAGGATGTTGCCGGCGTGGCGGTCGATGTTGAGGAGGCGGACGTCGAGGATGCCGATGCGGTGGACAGAGGAGACGGAGAAGCGGGAGGGGCCGAGGTCGCCGGCGTCGAAGTGGTGGGGGACGAAGCGCTGGATGGAGGCGACCGTCCAAGGCGGAGAGGCTGCGGCGAGCTTGACGAGGGCCGTCGGAGGGACGCCGGAGAAGCGGTCACGATCGAGGATGAAGGCGGCGACCTCCCGAACGCCGGCGTCTGGTCTCTGCGGTGAGTATCGCCGGAAACTCAGGCTCTCCTGCGGGTCCTCCGTGATGGGCTTCAGCACGGCGAAGCTCTCACCGCCGCGGTTGCTCAGGCGGAAAGCGCCGCCGTGGCCGCCGGTGACGGGAACCAGCTGCGTGCCGGCGGCCATGGCGATAGCCGCCTCCACCACTAGAGCGTGGAGCCCCCGGACTCCGCCGCCGGCGATGATCTCCAGCCGAGGAATGTGCCCGAAGGCCTCGTCGGCGCCGCCGGAGCTCGTCCAGCAGGGGGAAGAGAAGCTCCGGTGGAAACTGGAGGTAGCGCCGGTGGCGCGGCCGGCGGAGGATGGCTTCAGTTGGTCGAGCTCGAACAGGTTCATGTCGGGGTAGGGGAAGGATCGGAGCCTGCATCGCCGGTTCTGAACCGCCGGCTTGAAACCGTGGCGCTGGTCGACGGCGATCGCCATGGCCGAGACCCCCTCTCTCTCTTCGGTTGTTAGATCTGCGGCCTGGACGAGATTCTGATCCCCATGGCCGGATTCTGCGTGACGATCTGCGGACAGTGGATGAGAAACAGTGATGAACCATGGAACCCTAATTTTTTTCATGATTTTGAAACAGATGATAGCGACGATGACGATGATGATGATCTTCCGATCAACGTTAACCTGTTGGTTAGCCTCTCCCCTTCATGCGCATCCTCTTGCTGGCATCGGTGTGGTTCCTTGGATTCCTGCAGATTATGAAGACGGAAGAAGTTGTTCATGTCATCCACAGGAACCCTATCTGCTATCGACGAAGATTCACAGGGTTGGGAGACAACCAGAAACAAACAGACATTCACCAACGGCCAACAATGGAATAACCAACCTGCGCCTTCTGATCTACAACATCACCGACCGGGGGTTTAAATCGCACAGATTAAAAGCAATCCTTCTTCTGCCGTTCAGAAACCGGGAATAACACTTCGAGCGTGATGGCGGGAAACTCCATGAACACAAGAGAGAAAGAGAGATAGAGGCTAGAAGATACCTTTTGCCGGAGATTTGGTGAGCAGTTCGTCACCGATATCAGTGCGGGGCCTCTCAGCGATTCAGATCGGAGTGGTGGCGCAGATCTGAGGAGGAAGCTCTGAGGGCGGCGGGGTTCCCCCCCTGAACACCGGCGAGCATTCAGGGTGGGCGAAGGGGGAAGCGCGGCAGGGGACCCTGAGCAGCAGAGGATCAGGGAAGGGAGGGAGAGAATGTAGGAGAGAGAGAGGGCGAGAGAGAGAGAGAGGGCGGTCCGGGGGAGACAGACACGTACGGTTTCCTGTGCGGACGACCGAGAGGGGCGGGGTCCACGAGGACCGCATGTCTACAAACTGTCTCCGACCGGCCGGCCCGGGTCGTACGGCGGCCGGCCCAGACAGAAAGACGGTTTCCCTCTCTCCCTCTCCCCTTCCCGCTGCACTTTGTTTAGACCTCCTATTTCCACTTGTAAACAGGTTCGAGCGTCTAAGTTGGGCAGGTCAACTATGGCTGACCTCTCTCCCCCCGCTTCAGTTATTCCGCTTCAGTGAGTATAATTTGATTGATACCCTTTTGACTGACTCAATGATAGTTATCATGTGGTTAATTTTTTTTCATATTGTTTCATTTATTTTTATTTATTCGCTTATTATTCATATTATTTAATATTTAATTAACATATTATTTTATCTAATTACTAAGAGAAATTGAATCATGAACTAGTTGTTATGAGTTTATAAATAACATATAAGTATGAATGTCCATTTTGATCATTCTAGAATACTAAAAAATATAAATCGTTAAATACATAAAAAATCAATATTGTGACATTAAGAAGAGTCCACAAGACCATAAGAGTACACAAGTAATATTGTACTAGGCATTTTTAACTATTTTTTGATCATCAATATCTAAAAAATTGCAAAAAATTCACTCTACTCTAATAAAGTGAGGAATCAATTCTTTGATTTTTTTTTACATATTTCTCCAGCATTCAAATGCCCCATCTCTAAAAATAATTCATGTACTAGCAATTTCATAACAATAGGACCAACATGCCAAAAGTGTAAGAACATTTACTTCTTTTACTCTAGCTGAAGCCTTTATATCTAGCTTTTGTGCCAAGAATAATGGATTTTACTAATTTTTATGTTAACAAGTGGATCAGATAAATCTTTAGGTCTAAGTATGAAAAACTACCATATAATATATTGAAATACACTTCTCTCCCAATCAAGATCTAATTCTTTAGATCTAGTTTTTGTTGTTGCTTACATATATTCTCAAGCCTCAAATAAATAAACTAATACGAAAAATCCTTTAGCTTCAAGCCAAGTCAAAAAAAAAATAATTTTAGATGAAAAATCAAAGGAGAGAGAAAATTGCTTGACTTGGTGTGTTGATCCACATGTATGGTCAAGAGAGATAAATTGATGAAAATTTAACATGAGACAATGGTCCATGATAGTGTTCCCAGACATGTGGCAAGAAACCTCTAATGGGGAAAAAATACAAATGATAAGTGACAATCATCTAATAGAAGATCAATATGGAAAAAGTATAAATTAAGATGACATGTGACATTGCTTGGTAACATGTGTCATATCTTGATAGTCAACTGGCACATTGGAGAGGTGAGACATAAAAGTGGCACATGACATGTGACAAGGTCAACATGCTTACTCAAAGTGTAACATGGCAAAACATCATCAAATGCACTTAACATGACAAGATCTTTGATACCACAATGTATATGTTCTAGAGAAGAGTCTAACATACACAAATAATATTTGATATGGACAACAAGATTGACATGTGGTAGAAGGATCTTTGATGAGTCAGCTAACATGTGATAAGAAATGTATCTTGACATATCATAATATTAACTATGCATTAAAAGATTGTTGGTTGACATAACTAAAATAGTGACCTAGTCAAAAGCTTGTTAAATTGATAACTTGGTTTGGTTTGATGTCCTTCCATAGAATCTCACACTAAAATTATTATACATAGATTTGAAGAATGAGATGAATGCAATTTTTTGAAGTTGATACTCTACTTAAATATTCATCAAATGACTTTTTATAAGACCTAATATCTTGATCATTAGAGTTCAAACAGTTGAAGATATGATCAGTCAAAGACTATTTAGGTCAGCACTTGGTACACCCTATAATAGATAGAATGCCACACCATATAAGTGGAAGATGACTTGTACACATATGGGCAGCAGTCATGTGTCACATGTGAGTAGCTAAGGCTATTGTGAAAGGTGCACAATGCCATACATGGGACATTGGGGATAAAGGTGCACATTGGTATTGTTCATTGATAAATACTATTAGTTAGATATGAAGCAAGACATCAGGGTATGTGTTTGGTCTTACCTTATGTGTTACTAAGAAAAGATGAAGTATGCATATGAAACATAGATATTAGAGCCTTTATCTATTTTTAGTTGAGCATAAGAATACGTCTCTGTGGACTTTATTGTTGGGGTACTATGGGTGAAGGAGCCCAATACAATCTTCATTAAGTAGATAATATTTTCAACTAAGTTGTATTTGTACTTGTTAATGCCCTTGGTTTTGATACTTCAATTGAAAATTCATTTACGGAATATTTCTAGAATATTTACTGAATATGTTTTGAATATTTAGTATATTTTATGAAAACCCATGTTAGAAGTTTAATAACTCTAAGAAGTATTCAAAGCATATACTGATGATGGTTGAGTTATATTCTTTGGCTAAAAGAATAAATCTAAAGAGTTATATTCTTAAGATATTTATATATTGAATTTAATGTAATGCCATATAATTTGCATGTGTAGAAAATCAAGTTTTAACACATGTGACAGAAGTTTCTAGAAAATTAAGAAATATGAGGTCACTTGTAAGATTCAAACTTAGGACATGAGTAATGTAAAGTTAAAAACCTCAACAAGAAAAATGCTTAAAAATCATATAGAAAAAAAGTCACTAGCATAATTCAAAACCAGAACCTAAATAATGACATGATGCAAAGCTGAGCAAAGAAATATGTGAAAATATGAGAGTATTAATAATGTCTTCAGAAAAACTCGACCTCAAGGCCTATACAATGATTAATTTGAAGTATATGTAGTAAGTCATCCAAAAGTCAAGAAATAAGAGAAGTTTTTACCACACATTCCGAATAGTGACATATTAATATAACATGTGGAGACAATGATAGAACAAATAGATTTATTTAGACTGAAGCTAAAAAGTAAAGATTATAGTTGATAAATCATGAATCTCTAGAATGCATTTCAAACATAGTAGATGTGCGAATAACAAGCCTCAAAGAAAGGGACGAGCAAATACCATTGCAAACATATTTTGGATGGTGACACACCAACAAAAAATGTGGACATAAAGATAAACTTAACAACTTTATTTGAGCTCACTCTTGGAAGAAAAATCCCAAGTGATAAGTTACAGATCTTTAGACAAAGTTTCAAGTACAAGGAGTGTGATAATAACAAACTTCGAATGGAAGAACAAGCAAAGGTCATTTGTGCACTAATGAAACAACAAGAAAAAAGTTAAATTTACTTGACCATTTTTTAGGTGGTGAAAGGACATGAAAACATTAGAGAATAAAAGCTAGGAGCTTGTGAAGAAAAATAATTAATCCTAAATGAAGACATCTCTATCATATTATTCATGCTTTATTGAACATTCTTCTCCATCAGTCAATGATTCATCTACTGAGAGCCTAAACAAAGATTTGAAAGTTACATCAATACTTTATTCATCAATAGTGATTCAAGTCAACATCTATAAGAACCCATGTATAAAGAAAGAGACCCCTGAGTAAAACTATACTCAGAACTAAGAAGCTACGTGAGAACTTATGTCAACATATACACTTATAGAAAAAAAATGAAAATAGAATAGAAATTATAAAAAACTAATTCACCCCCTTTCTTGGTGTTTCACTTGGACTAATCAAAACCCTTTGGTACTGATATGAAAAAATTACTCAATGGAAGAAATGGGGCAGCTCTTCCTCATCAATGTTGCAAAACTGTGGAGTTTTCCAAGGGACATTGCTAGTGATTGGGAAGCCCAATTTATTGGGAAGTTTTGTCCTCTTCACAAACTTGAAGTTCTCAATTGAGGTTCTCCTCAAACCTATATTTATAGATAGACAAGTAGATGGAGCGGCTGCTATTGGAAGAGTACCTTTAACATTATATGAAAACTAATCAAGAGAATTGGGTGGAACTATTAGATCCAATTGATAACACTCTAATCTTATGTGATAAATAAGGTAAAATAAATATACTAATAAACTAAATTTGTGATTGAATGTATAAATTTGAATTATAATACATTTACTTGTGTTGAAATACTATATAGAAAATTCATGATTAAATTTGTACTTTGGATGGTTTATATTAATTTATGTTGATATTTTAAAATTATATGCTAATGTAATAATCCAAGGTTTATTAATTTTAAATATGTTTTATCTTTACAAAGAATATTTTCATGAGGTTATATTTTGAATTAATATATTTCATAATTTTCTGAAAGAAATGTAATTGTGTTGAAGCATGTGGTAAGTAAGTTAAGACCATTGTTTAGGCTCCAAACCCTCTTAGCCATGTCAGCATAAAAGATGATTTAATCCACAATTTTGACAAGTCAATAAGCTCATATGTCAGCAATTAAAATCATTAGCTAAGTCAAAAAAGTAAGTCTAGGAAAATGAGAAAGGAAGAACAACTAAGTGCTATGTTTGAATCCTTCCCATTAGATTCAATTTTTTAGGCTGCTTGCTAGGGAGATTTAAGGTGAAAAATTCATGCCTTTTTAACTTAAATAAAGAGGGAATGAAAAAGGGGATATCTTTTGGCTGGTTGTCGCTTCTCCCTTCTCTTGGGTGGTGAGGAAGGCCTTATTCTTATTTGTAGTGACACAAAGGCGTATGAGCATTCCTATCTTCTTAAGTAAAATTTTGTGATTTTAATTTTTTATTTTCTTTGTCCTTCCTCTTTTGATACTAGTTCTTTTGAAGATCATTTGAATTGATGTCATGGCTTGATTTTTCCTTTAAAGCTCTCTATGTGTGATGACGGAGTTGCAATGTGATTTTATAATATTTTCTCTCTTATTTTAGAATTTATTTAGTTAGAGATCTACTCCATTTCATTACAAGAGGAGAATTTAATAGTAATTTTTTTCTCTCCTCTTCCTTTGTTTTTGTGGTTTGTCTAGGTTATTCTTCAACAGCCTTTGAATCAATACAAATTAGAGGTGATTTAGAGGCAATCAATACATCAATAAGAACATATCTTTCTCTTTCAGAATTCAATAGAGACATAGGAGAATGATCATGACAACTTGGCAATTAGATAAATCATTTACTTTATATGTTTAGTTTTCAAGTGTTCAACTTTCAATAAGTGTCGAGAACAAATATGATATATGTTTTTATCTTTCATCCATATGAAGATGACCTGAATTCACTAAATTTACTATTCAAAATATATTTGAAATTAGGTTTAAAAATTATTAAATTTTTGTTATCTCATAACACAAAAATTAAAACTCACCAATGACTCAATGCTTCTACAACCTACATTGAAGCTCAATGACATATCAGTCATGACTCTGCCAAAATTGATAAAGTGGGTGTGCTGCACTTCCTAGTTACACACCACTTCATGTTAGATTGTGACAAGTGCATTGAGGAGACATATGAGGTGCTAGCATGTGTGGCACACTAGATGAAGAAGAACATAGAATAGAGTTGACCTGATGTGGAATTCAACGTTGGCAATCAAGTGATGCTCTAGATTACCCTGACAATGTGCAAGTGCATCAGGTGGTCCAAGCAGTATCATGGCTTGGTTCCATACTACAATGGGCTATTTGAAGTGGTGACTAAGGTAGGATGGTTGACTTATCATCTTAGCTGACCACATAAATTAATATTGCATCCAACCTTCCACTTTTATTTGCTCAAGTCTTGTCACAAAGATAAAAATGATACATACATGAGTTATCCTCAATGTGTACCATCATTGGTACACAACAATTTCACAAACAACGTAGAGATAATTTTAGATCAGCAGGTCAACAAGGATTGATAATGCAGGGCAAATCATTATCTATTACCCCATCAAGTGCCAGGGCAACCAGAGGAAGATTTGACGTAAGAGTGCAAGGTCAACTTGTGGTAGTTTGAAGAGCTCATCAGGGGTACCTTGAGACCCAATCCTCCAACAAAGACATCAGGTCCATCAAGGGGGGGGGATGTGATGGCTCTCTTCCATCGAGTTAGGTTTCACCACTAGTAGAACCTCTACACGTGCTTGAGCAGTGCGTGTGCACGCGTGCAAGTGACAAGTGCACCAGCATGACACGACACCTGTGTGCTTGGACGTATTATATCTGTGCCATGCACGAATGTCATGCCATGCTTGGGAGCTACTTGGATGTATTGTATGTGTCTAAGGCCACACAGTCTGTCTCAAAAGAGGGTCACAATGACCGTGTAACAAGTGGACTAGGTCAGGTGGCCCGAACCTCTATGGCTCTTGGTTTCACAAATCAAAAGAAAACTAAAATTCATCAAGAAGATTTAAAGACAAATCATCCACCATCCAACAAGGAGATTAAAAAGAACAATTTTATCAATGAGCTAGAGAGAGAGAGAGAGAGAGAGAGAGAGAGAGAGAGAGAGAGAGAGAGGGAGGGAGAGAGAATTGTTGAGGGATTAAATCAAGGGTCATCAAGAAATGGCTCATAAAATATCCCATCAAGATAAGATTGCAAGAAAATTCAGTCGAACCATTCAGGGCTTAGATTCTAGCCCCATCCATTAGATTGACATCAAGGTTGACTCATATCCCATTATTGCTTTGAGCTCCAAAATTCTTGGCAATTTTTTGAATCTTATGCTGCTTACAGAAGACAAACGAAATTTATTTCCCAGCAACACTTTATTATTCTTTCATAGTTTCCTGTTGATTATTATTCTTCGAAATCATCAGAAGACTCTATGGAGGAAGAGCCCCACATGCACCTCACCTTTTCTGTGCTCTCATTCTGATTGAACATTGACTTGAAGAGGGATTTTCACCAACCCATTCTGGATTTGCTTCTTACATTCAGCGTCTGAATGCACGGTTCTCCCACCTGCCTCATGATCTTTGACTTGATCTCTGACAGGATACGATCTTCCACTCTCCTTGACGAGATCCTTTATGGTCCCTTTCAGTTCCTCATCGCCCAGTAAAGTCTCCAGGGACACATGCACACCTGACCACGGACAAAAATGTCAAGACGAAATCTCAGAGGCAAACCCCATGGAATCCTTTCAAATGATAGCTCAAACCGCTCAAGATGGGGAAACATTCTAATTTAAAGATCAGGAATTTATTCCCAGTTGTTGCTATTGAAGTTGTTGCTTTGTTGCTTTAATTAGTGATCTACCATTTCAGTCCTTTGCTACTGATTAAATTACAGGAGAAATTTGTCCCTCATTAATTCTCAGACCCAAAAAAGAAAAAACGCGAGGTTATCGATTTAAACAGTTGTTCGACAATGAGGCTAGTTGGATGCATGCGCTGTCTGAATGGTTTGCTGACACGTAGCTAGTTGGAAGAGTAAGCTCTCTCTCTCTCTCTTTCTCTACATATATATGTCTTTATATCATGGACTATAGGAGGGAGAAGAATAGAGGAACAGAGTAAACCCATGAACAAGCATCTGATGATATACTGGGCAAGATCAAGAAATTTTGAAAAGGATTTACTTACGAAATCGCCAGTAGTGCTTTGGGTTTGTTGGGTCATTTATCGTCTCCTCTGTTGCAGGACGGGTAGTATATTCTTCTTTCAACGCCAACAAGTCCTGGGCAGTTACACAACATTATTCTTCTCTTAGATGATGAGGATGGCTCAGCCTTCAATGCTTAAAAATGAAACGAAAGTCTGAGATAATGTAGGATGATGATGAGGGGTCAAGATCTTATATGAATTAGAATGCTACGAATGGGGGAATTGTGTTTCGTACCTGAATGGGGAAGATAGCCCACATTGAGGGTGACTCAAAGTGCTGCCGGAGGATGAACTGGGCTAGTTCAGGGATACACCGTGAGGGCGGCGCCTGGTTGGATCCCACTACAGTCCTATAAAAGCGAAACCTTCTCTCCTCATCTTCTTCCCACCAAGCTCGCATGGTGGAGCAATCATGGCATGATGGGGCGCACACCTGTTATATCAAACAATGCGGGTCGGTTCACAGAGGCTTGCATGAAATTAATCAGAAAGAGTTCTTTTACTCGATTTATATCGCTGCTTCCTGCGTCAATGGATGACTTTTTCTTAAATTAGAATTAGTTTGTCAAATGTTCCTTGCAGCTTCTGAAAGCTTTATGGCTGAGATGTGGTCACTATGGTATACCACAGGCAAAATATCTAACATCATGAGAATAGCGAGATGAGATGATGGGGGAAGCAAACCGTCATATAGTTGTAGTTAGAAGGCAAGCCGAACTCGACACCTGGTTCGGCCGCCATTCTTTGGATACGCAGACCAATTAAGCCCAGCTCTTGCATAACCTGTCCAGGAGCATGGTGGTCATGGAGGGACATAAGTTTCTCAATCAGGAGAGGAAATAGGAAGAAGTAGAGTCTCACAGGGTAAACGCAGGAAGGAATGAAGCCGAGATCTTCCCCACATGCCAGCATATCTGAAGAGTTCAGCAGGGCAGGCAGGGTTTTGAGAGCATTTTGGCGCCAGAGCTCATCTTGGCGACAGAAATAGTAATCATGGTACAGTCTCCTCATGACGTTTTTGCTACTCAAGAAAGAGCCCGGGAGAAAATTGAAGTGAATCACAAAAATGGTATGCAAAAAGCTGAGAAACAGATTTCGTTGGATTTTCCTAATTAAAGAAATCTTTCTCTATAAAGAATTTTCTTTGATGACGGTGACCCCTCCGGTGCCCCAACGAAACCATAGATCAATTAACCCAAAAGAAATCCAGAAGATGATCAATGTCATTACCAAGGCTAGCTTAGGCAATCAAAATTGATCCTCTGGTGATTTAAATGACCAAGCCAAGGTATGAATCAATATTCCTTTGAAATTAACACTGAGATATATGATATGAGGATTCAAGCAGAATGGAAATTAGGAAAGAGCGACGAAGGGGGCCCACCAGTGTTCATCAAGGTCTCTGAAACTTGATGTATCTTCCATGTTAAAACGTGGATAAAATTTACTTCCATCTTCTGGGTCTCTGATAAGAACTATGTTCTGAAGAGCACAAGAGGAGGTTGCAGAAGGATGAGATGCAGAAAAAGTTTGCCAATCACTGGAGACACTTGGAGAGTCGGTTTCACCAGGCTGTACCTGGAGGAGATCAATGAGACCCCGCAGTATCTTGTCCTTTCTGTCCAGCCACAGTGACTTGCCGGTGCCTGTCTCAACTTTGGCCACGATCTTTTTTTCTGTGTTGCACTGATCCTTGAACTAAATTAAGAAAACAATTATCAATAAAAATATTTTCTTGATGACAATAAATTGCATGAGGAACGGAATCTTCACTTTGTGAATAATATCTATAAAAATTAATACACCTAGGAACATGAACTTTGCTTTTGTGAATTATATCTATAAAAATAATAATACATAAATATGATATGTTAAAGGATTGCCGCAATTCTTAACAAAACACAAAAGTTCCAAGATCAAATGATATGTTTACGAAAATCTAAGGATTGCCGCAATTCCATGTGCATATACTAGCATATTTTTGGTTCTTAATAACCAGTTAAATTTATAATTCATGCATAAGAAATTATAAACCCTTGAAATTGCACCATAATTAAGACGCTCTATAAATTTGAACATATTTTATGGATGTCCGAAATACAGGTTATGATTATTTATGCTTATGTTTTGTTGTTTATACTTTATCATAGAAAGTATGATAATCAAATGAACCTTTATGGCCATATAAATATGCTTTCATGCTAACGGAAAACTTTCCTTATGGTCAACAATTCATTTCTCTCAATTTTTACAAGAACGAGAAAGAAGAAATCTAACCGACCCTAGTGGCTGAATTTCAAGTATTCAGTTTCAACATAGGATATGAGGACTTTCCTATTTCGAATTGCATTACAAAATATACAGACCACAAAGTCAATATGATAACAAAGCAACTGTTTCTTTTTAATATTTGTTTCCAGTCTCCAATCTACAACGGGTAGATCTATAGGACACACAAACACATAATTCACAAGCAATAAAATTATTAAATTCTAAATGGACTAAACCATCTTCACTTTGGAGAAATATACTTCAACTATTAATATTAAAGTGTCAAATGAATAATAAATACGTCAGAGTTGAAGAGAGATATCGAAACAATACGTCTTAGTTTTCAATAATCAATATACGTAATAATGAGATATTGTTCGTATATGAAAGTGTGAGGTCGACACAACTCTGAAGCAATAATGAATATTATCATCAGTTTACACATGATTTCAATGTTCTATTCATGCAGAGTACATTTTTGAGAATGTAATAAGATAAATAGATAAGGATACGCCCATTCCCGTTACTGGAAAAAAATGTGCATGGTTTAGTACCCGGACTTCATATCTAGCAGGAAGATATACAGTACCTTGGTTTACTGGAATTCAGAGACTAGCCTACACACCACTTCGGCAGACTTAAATACCAGATGGATCATAGAGGACAGTTTTTTTTCTTGAAATTAGGTGCATTGCAGTTTTTGGCCGGGTATCATCAAGCTTTGATGACATGCATCAAACCTTTTAAGGTGAATGAAGAAGATTCTATTGCTTCTGTTTTTTGTTTATTTGTGAAGACTCTTTTTCGAGATATCACATTCATATTCCCATCTATTTTCGAATTTGATCAATTGAGAACATTCATCTTATGGAAGCCTTCCATTATCAATGAGAGAGAAATCCCGAAGTTCCATAATTTTTTTACACAACCCCTAAAAGCTTATAGTCAATTGATTGAGAAATCCTAAATCAGAAATCTAATAGGTATAGCAGAGAAAGATAAGAGTTGTAATTCAGTCATCCTCAGTACCCCAGACTATATATCAACAACGAGATGACTTCCAAATGGCCAAAGAATAAGGGCTTGAGAGAAATTTCAACGAGTGCACAATACAAGGCCTAGCATACATGGCTCTAACATATCTACTATGAAAGTTTAACGCCTGTCTTTAACTGCCGTACTGCAGAAAGAAAAATCTTGAGTAGTTTCCATCATGATGCTACCTCACCTGGAAGCAGTGATTTGGATTTTCATCCAAAAAATGTGCAATAATTCCCGGCCAGAAAGTTCCAAACTTATCCTGAAACAAGTCATAAAAAAGTTATGCATTTCCTAAATGAATACAATAACTCATAATGAATAATATCTTCGTAAGAAAATAATAACCTGTAGTGTCTCTTGTCTAATATATGGACGACTTAACCGGTCAAAGTCCCATATTCCCTCCCTCTCAAGCTCATCCTGTAGTGGGAGTACAAAAATTTTCTTTACATAGAGAACAAAAAATATACACAGTGCAAAATTCTACATATTCCATGACATTTGGTACCACACAGAAAATGAGCTTGTGGTAGGATACGTGACGAATAAAAAGGCCCAATTGAAATCATTTGACCACCTTCCTACTAAATCGGATAATTCATAAAAACATATTTGGGAAGACAAAATTTCACACACATTGAGGAGACTTGCCATAATTTTTTTTCTATTGGAGTGAATTAACGAAACACACAAATACCTGACTCAAAGCAATTGAAGGTCGAAATTTTCCCACTAAACCAGTGATTGCATGTTCAGGAAGCTCCCATATTCTAAAAAAACCCAGGATGTGATCTATCCGATAGGCAGTGAAATATTTTGCCATCTGCAATGTCAAGAGAGGAGAAAAAGGGTGAGAAAAAAAATATGTAGGACCAATTTCGTAAAAAGAAGAGTCAAAGTGATCATTGGCACCTGTGTCAGACGAGCACGCCACCATGCATAGTTATCTTTTGACATTTCTTCCCAGTTATATGTAGGGAAGCCCCAATTTTGTCCATTTTTATCAAAAAAATCTGGAGGTGCTCCTGTAGATGTGTTCATTCGAAACAAAGTTGGATAAACCCATGTGTCCACACTATTCCGATCTACACCTATTGGTAAATCTCCCTTCAGGACTACCTTTCTCTTTTTTGCATATTCTGCGGCTTCTGACAGCTATCCATAGAAAATGACTTAATATAAGCAAACAAATTCTAAAGGTAAAGTGGACGACCTTGCTTAACATCTAGAAGAGGTTTCTACCTCTACCATGTAAGCAGATATGCATACATACCTGTAGATGTAAGTGAAACTGAATATAGTAATGGAAAGAAATAATGTCGTACTGCAGACTATCCTTGGACAAAATCTTTTCAAGCTGAAAAAAAGAAATTTATAGAGGTTATCAAAGGATATATTTCAAGGTTTATCAAATAGAACCTGCGGTACCTTTTCCTCAGAATAGTTAGAAAAACGTCCCCATTGGCTGTGGTCTGATGTCTCAAAGAAGTCCCTAAGGAAACAAAACGCTGCATAGGGTTTCAACCATTCCTGTTTACATTATAATCCAGGCTTATTTTCTTGAAAACTTCAGCCTTAAACTTGATAATCAATGAAATAGGAAAATTAGAGAATTGAAATTAGGAAACATATGTTTACCTTATTTTCGGAAAAGAATTTCAAGAATGAACTTGAGCTAAGTATCGTCTCCTTCTCCAGAGAAAATATTTTCTTCGCAATGAACAGTTTAGTTGCCATGGTGGCTTCATAGTCAACGCTCTGTTTTACAGTCGAACAAAATTAATGATCACCATGAATAGACTGCAATAAGTAGTAAAAAGATCACTTTGCCAAGTGTAAGATAAATATTCATGAAGCCTCTCAATGTTTGAGAAAGGTTCCCACTAATGTTTCCACGAATTTCATGGTCACTAGTCATGTTCTGTAATTATCTCAAACTTGTTCAAGGAATCACGTTGACTCACGTGCTATGAGTTCAAGTCAGTCGGATCTAACTGCCTTAACTTAAATTAACTTTCATTGACAGACCTATTTAAACTTGTACGATTTAGACTGAGCTCATCCAAGACAGTAAATAACGTTTTAGACTATTTAAATAAATCCTATAGAATAACATCCAAGCATCACAACTTATACAAATTATTTAGCGTTAAATCTAGGTAGTGTTTGGAAATAATATATATTTAACCAGCTCAGCGCTACATATATTCCAACACTGCATCTGTGTATACGTCAAGTCCAAAACCCTCTCAAAAGCCGCAATAACAAATGCATGATATGGTATAATCAAAGAAAAACATGTAACAACTTCTAAGCAAATCATAGATACTGGTACACCATGCTTATGGTAACAAAACCAAGGAAACATCGTCTTTGACCATGTTGAGACAACAGCTACTGTTGAAAGGTAAACGCATAGCCACTAAGAGAGAATACCTGTCCATTCAGCTCTTCCTTTTTTATGAAGATCTCTTGCTGCAAAAAAAGGTACACTCTCAATATAATGCCAAAAAGAAGCATCAAAGAAACTAAAGTATAAAACTTCTGTCAGGTACATCTTCGTAAACTTTATTTACACCGGAAAACAAGCACCGAATCACAAACTGTCTTAGATCTGGTACCTTAACCTCTTCTGGAATATTTTGTGAAAGTGCTTCGAGTCTCAAGTATAACGGATGTAGTGCAAATACAGAGAGAGAACTGCAAGTAAAAGGAAGAACAACTTTTCTAAGGAGCCTATAGATGGTTATATCAAAACAACTTTTGATATAGTTTCATTTTGTTAATAATCTTAAAGACTAAAATCATGATGTAACATGCAACTACTGTCGTTGACGAATTGTCAACCTAAATGGATACGATACAAACAATAAAAAACAAGAAAGGTCACGTCTGGAAATCAAATAAATAATTACAGCAAATACCAGGACACCACAATGGATATCCGAAATAGAACACGAACATTTCGAACAAAAAATTTAATGAAAAGGTGGCCCCCCACGCTGTATCAGACTAAATGAATTCTAGAAAGCACTTCTCAAGATTTTATCTTCGTTATCAAGTTATTTCTGATAGATTTGATAATACATTTTTTTTTTCCTGCTATGAACCAGATAAATATCTAAGGTTCCTCTTCGTCGCTAGTCAAAAATTAAGACTCCGAGGAACTCAGTAATCCTGGTTAAAATGTCGTCTTTCTTCAGCAAAGATGAACATGCCAAGGGAATAGGTTTAGAAGTTGGATGGTCAAAGATGTACATGGGCAGTAGAACAGTCATCACTATCATTCATCATCGCATCTGCGTTCATCTAGCTAAAGTTCTTTCAAGTTGTTGTTCATGGCATAGAAGAACTCACATTGAGCCATTTAGTGTAACAGTTCTCACCTTGTGAAGGCACCACAGGAGGGTGGTTTTGGCAAGCGATCATAATTTAATGGTAAGTCCTAATTTTCAACTAGATATGGCATGACCTTTGAGCTCTTCAAACTTAAATTCATTTCTCTGCATTTCTGTCAGTTGCATCAGCTTCAACAGGCTGGGATGTACCCAGGCTTTATGAAACCCGGGTGCTCAGGATGTGAAGGGGGTGATTAAGTGTAAGGGTAAGGTGGAGCTGGTGAGAGACTACTACCTCCAAAGTAATACCATGGAAAACTGAATTACCTGTAGGGGTATGAGTCCCACCACGTTCCATGAACGGATGTGTCATTAACAGGCAAAAGCTGAACGAGATGAAAACCAGAATCTACTGCCCAGTCAACCAGTAGCTTCAAGTCAAGAAATTCTCCAACACCAAGATCATCTTCAGATCTAACTGAAAACATTGGAACAGCTACACCAGCACCCCTCCATGGAATCTCCTGCCACATATCAAGTAACGGCGTATGGACTCCCCATTATCACCGTGAGAAGTGATCAATGGACGAGTAATAACGTCCAAACTTCTAACAAAGTCGGGATGAATAATGGACGGATTAAAATAATGCATTTAGAATTCACCCGGAAGCTGCCATCAGATAAATACACGAAATTCGGAGGATTTCCAGCTGTCAAGTCAAGTTTAAGCTCCCTATTTTGACCAATTTCCAACAAAGAATCGCCAGATTTTCTGTTTTGGCTATACTTGTATGTGAAAATAATGTTAAGGATAAAAGAGACATGGAGTGATAAAAGAACATAAATGGGTTGCTAACAAAAGGAAGTTGAATTAAAAACCTTGGATCAGCTTCTGCAATTTCATAAATAAACGGGTATCTGAAATGAACAAACACAGAAAGGATATTTTATCGGGAAATCATCCTTCCTCATCATGCACTCTCCTTGCCAGACTGATCCTCCGACATAGAAAAGCCTCAGACCATTTTGAGCGTTCCAATGCCCTAGCTCAGAGGCGTTTCCTGTTACATACACCTGCAATATTTTACCCGTTGTGAGGGAATTTCTGGGATGTAAATTCAAACAATCATAGTTTTTCTAGTTAACGAAGGACTTCTCATCTCATCATCATTTGAGATAAATTTTAAAATTAGCTTTCTGAAGTAGTGACCTTTCTCTACGAAAATGTCATTTCTCTGGAACTTTTGCAGCCATTACCATATATAATTACACATGGAAAATGTAACTATAGAATTCTCCACATTCAATTAGTCAAATGTGCAAACGTTAGAAGCAGAGGAAACTATTAATGTCTGCATGACCCGTCTTTCCTAGAATATATTATTTATTTTTGAATATATGATAAAATTTATGAGTAGCACCATAATATCGTATATTATCAGAGCAACAAGATGAAATAAGATCAACCCTCTCCTGTCCGGAAGTTATTTATAAACGATGTACATCCACTTCTCCATCAAGGGTTGACAAGGATAAAAAGATGACCTGAAAGACTTGTAGATATAATCAATTAAGTCAAGTTATCTCACCAATGTGCCTTCATCTATTCTTGGACAAGAAATCTTAAATTGAATAACTATTGAACCTGTTTCTGTGAAACAAAGGAAAGTGATTATACTATGGTAGGGTACAAAATGAAATCAATTAAGACCCCGAATTTTTCGAAGTAACCATATTGTTTTTCTGAGGGTAATACCTTCTTTCTGAGGGTTCTGACAATCGTATTCGGAGGCTTCTTCTGATTCCAAACACCATTCTTCAGCAAAGATAACATTTTTGAAAGCACTTCTGAAAAAGAGAGTCTCTGTGGCCGCCTAGAAGTTTATGAGAAAGAAGGTTAGGGCCAACTACCTTGAAAAGCATTCAGAAGATGTGCGGCTACATATCATTAATCTAGGGACATTATTGCGGTAGGCATCTCAGTTCTAATAGACTGGCTTTTGCTGAATATTTATAAATGGAACTAAATACCAGATGATCAAAATTTTCATTTGAACCAGTAGTAGACCATCTTACCAAGAAGAGATAACACCTAGATGAAATATCGAGAAAAAAACTCGAAACAATGACTAAAAAAGATAAAAATTGTAATGTTAAAATATTTCATAAAATAACATGAGTCCCTAAAACAAGATGAGCATACGTGGATCCTAAATTTACTGAAATATTACTCCGATATCAACTGACATCAACAACTAGTAATTATTACTAGTTGACCGAAAAATAATAATTATTTTGAATACATGACAAGGAATCTCCATGCCTGGGAGTTAGAAAAGAAAGCTAGAATAGGATTTTAAAATGTAAAGAAATAAACATATTTGTATCCATAGGGAAACATTTTCCTTGAGCACCTGAGTCTCATTGTTGATGCACGACTGTAAGCTTGCATTTCCCACATGAAATATTATTTTTTGTTCCACATGAAAACTGGTTGAGGACGGCCTATGAGGTTCCTTTGAGTCGTTATTTTCAAAGGCAGTACGTACAAATGAGATATATTTTACGGAAATGCAGGCCCACGCCTCATCAAGCTCTAGTTCTGACTATAAATTCCTGCAATCTATCAAGATTTCCTTGGTGTTCCTGAAACTACGCCTCTTCTGATTCCATCCTCATCTCGGAACCAGACTCCATCAAAAGCGTTCCCCAAGAGAGTAAATTGCCTGGGGATGAGGACAGGGAGGTGGGGAAGAGGAACAGCTGGAGGTGACGGGGGTTGCTCCGTATGAAGCAGCGAGCTGCAACAGCGGGTCGTGGGCAGATGCCATGGACTCCGAAGAGCTGGGGAAACTGACATAATTGGATGAACAAACCTTCCCTGATGACCAAAGTTTCATTAAACAATTGAACTACCCGTAACCAAGTGAACATGTAAGAGGATGCTGAAGACATGGAGAGGGTAAGACTTAAAAACTACAAGAGGCCTACAGAAGTTCGAAATGATTTCATTCCAAAAATTTCAAAGAAAAGCGACACACGGATAATGGTATAAGAAATTAATTCTAAAAAAATTCCAGTACCTGCCAAAGGTCATATATCTCCACTACACCTTCTTGAGTGCCTTCAGGCAAGATTACCTCACGCCTCCGTCCAGCCTCCCACCTCAGGACGTTTCTATCATCGTTGACCACATAGTAACTGTATTCAGACCTGAAGCCACTGGCAACAGTAATTTTTCCCCACCACAGAAGGTCGTCGGGCTTGTGTACTGGACTCAGAAGTAGACCCCGTTTCACATCCCAAGAGCCAAATAGCGGTTCAGAGCCGGAAATCAGTAGGCTCTGTCCCCACTGCGTATAATAAGGTATCTTAAAGACCAAGGTCACGGTCTTCAATGTACTTCTGAAAGGAGGTAACTCTGAGGTCACCATCGTTCTCTAATAGCACCAAGCCGGATTATGTCCGCTGCAGTACAGAAAACATGCCAGAAATCTATGAAATATTTAAATTGATTACGATCAAGTACGGAAAAATCGATCATTGAAAGTAGCAAAATCCGCAGAAGTGGATATTCAATCTACTTTGTGTTTGCGTGAAGATATGATCTAAGAAAAGCAAATGTCAGACGAGGCAAGAATATCATCATTTACTGAGATCTACATTCGACTTTCGCCGAAGAACGCAAAAGGACAGGGAGACAGCAGCCATACCTCGTTTCCCGGATGCAAAACCGACTCAGAGTCTGCTAAACTGATAGGTGAGGAGAACAAGAGCCTGCCAGTGGTCGGACGAAGGCAGAGAGTTCCTCTGCATTCCTATTCTCAGATAAAAACACCATCAACCACGAGAGATCCCATTCCCACCGTCACAAACTTCTCATTCGGTGTCGTGTTTCCCTAGCTTTGATCAGTGGAAGAGTACGATTGGACCGTCCTTTGATTGTCCAGCTCTCTCTCTCTCTCTCCCTCTCTATCTCTGTCTCTGTATCGCGCCCATGCATCCTCACTCTCTCTCCGTCTGTATCTCCGTCTTTATTTCGTCGCCATTCTCAGATATTTTATTTCAGAAAAGTCCTCTGACTCTTTTTCTTTGCACAATACTGTCGTTCCCGTAGTTTTGTTAACCCTAATTTGCACATAAGCCCCCCCCTCCCCCCCTCCGTCGCAAGGCTCTTCTAACGATGACGAAAACGTTATAAATTGATCTTAATCATCGAAGCTTAGACAAGGAAATTGTACAATAATTTGCTGGAACTAAAATGGGAAAGTAAAGGTTTCTGAGACATTAGTTAGCATTTATGGGTTTCATGCAAAAAAGTCTTCACAGGTGGCCGTCTTAAGGCCATACGAATCACCCCAAAAGTGTCGGAATCAGAGCAGAAGGGCCCTTACAAGTGGCGCTGCTTTACGCGCCACACGGGCTCTGAGAATGCGACGCAGCGTGAAATCTGGACCGTCCAGATCAGCCGATAGAACGGCCCCGAAGACGTAGTAACGGGCTTACGAATTATACCACTTATTACAATTTTGTCCTCTCCCAATCGATATAAAACCAATTAGCTACATTTACTCAACCATGGTAATTAGTGATTAAAAAATTATTTTTAAAATAAGTGAATTTAATGCCATTTTTCTGTTGGAAGAATTAATTTTTACTCCAGAAATAAAAGGATAAAAATGCCTCCTCCTCATCAAAATATGAACATTAATATCCCCATCAAGAATATGCAGATTACCCACAAAAAAATATACGTCAGAAGAGAAGCATTCTACATATATAAACATATATCTGGTTATTTATGGGTCACATGAAATCTAAATCATGGCCATGCTCAAGAACAATGGAAGCACGGGAGAGGCGATAGGCGGTGGACCTCATGTTCCTGACCAGGACGAGCACCTCCGGTCTGCTCTTCTCCAGCATCTCGCTCCACTGCTGCTCTCTCAGCTGGGCCAGCAGCGTCACCTCACAGACGGCCATGGCCATGGGATGAGCGCTGCATGTGATGGAAGCAAGCAAGTCACTGGCTCGGTCGGTACATTTCAATCCATTTTCTTTTTTTTCTTTTTTTTATGAGTAAAATAGAAACGTTCTTTATCCTGGGAATCAGGGAAATTAATTATTAATTAAAAATAAGGTATTTATTGTCACCAGGGAAGACTTGTTACCTCCCTCGGGTGAACCCAGATGTGACAAATCCAATCGGCCAGCGGTGAGATGGGTCTTCGGGAACCTGCATAGCCCAGCTGCCAGAATCCACCGTTGACTGGGAAATCTGAAGCTTCTCTCGCTCCTCAGCTCTGCAAGGCCAAAAAAAAAAAGAGGGCACTTTCATTCTGAAGCTTCTCTTGCTCCTCCGGTGTTGTACAGAAAAAGGCGAATACTGATTCTATTTCTGAATACCCAAAGTACTAATACAAATAATAACAATGTATTATTATTATTATTATTATGAAATTAATATTAATAAACTCCCAGATAACACCGTGATAAGCATGCAGGCGGTCACAAGAATTCCCCATCTCTAACCGATCTGTGTTCATACATGTTCATGGAGAATGAGCGGAAACCGTTCTTTGCATCTCATTAATATCCCTTCTATGACATCTCTCACTAACTTGGGTCTCTACTAGGGTTACTGATACTATTAGGATCCTACAGTCTAGCTAGTTAAGCACTGGAATGCTACGGGGGAAGCTAGCTTCTACTTGACTGGTTAAACTAGTAGAATTGCATCGAATCATTCATATGATCATACAGGAAGACTTGAAATTTTTTTATAAATAATTCTAGCTTGCTTGGATTGAACTACTGACCTGGATGCCAATGACAAGATATCAGATAGGAGAGGGGCACAGACAACAGCTCCCTCCTCAAAGGCGCCTTCCCTACAGGGACGCAAGAGTACCCTTGAAAAAAGAAGGGGTCTGCCTGCATGAAGCCTTTTGATGCTTCTGGGGACCCAGTTGACCCTTTCTTTGTTCATCAGATCAGAGAAAGCCTTTTTTCCCATTTTATAATTTGGAAACACAAGCAGATGGCTAGCATTAATATGATTCAAGCACCGATTCATAGCATCTCCTGTCCTCGCTATAGAACCATGAAAATACGAAGGAGCAATTGCCTGAGCTGTAAGGCTGCTTGTCCCCATGGATGAGTCGAATCTTGAAGTGGGCGAGGGCAATTTTCCATCATTTCGCATCTCAGTTTGCAGCATCTGAGAGCTCCGAATTATGTCGGGAAGTTTCACAATCGAAGACCTTACACAATCCCATGGAGGAGGTATGGGAATCCTAGATGGCCTCACGGAAGGGGGACGAAGCTCAGCCATTTGTTCGACCTCAGCCGCAACAGCAGACATGAGCGCCATGTACGCCTTGCAGTCAGGGAAATCAAAAGGGAAACATGGTACCCCGCCCTGTAATGCAAATTAAGTGAAAACTTTGGAGAATCACCAATATAAATGTAGAGCACTGCATTTAGAATAACTGTAGATTACTAACATCTGATGCAACCCATCGCTTCTCTCTCAAGCCAATTGCATGGGCTCCACAAGACACGAGTGGAATCCAGAAAGACTTGACCCAGCTCAATGGAAGGATGATTGACCACCTGTAGCACAAAAAAGGAGAAAAGTCAACTCTGATTAATTTTGTTTCAGAGACAAGTCCTTAAGGTGAAAAGGTAACCATGATCATTGGAATTTCTTTTTAACAAATAATACAGAACAAAAGGGCAATGATTGCCCTTGAGGCTGTATTACCCCATTTATTTAGTCCATTTGAGGACACAAATCGTTGGCATGCTTGTGAACGGATGTGATCGAAACATTTGTGAAAAATAAACTAGCGATAATAAGGCTGTATGCCCAGAACAGCTCTAAGATGGTACCAAAGTGAACTGCTATAGTCACAACTCATGGCATCTTGCTGGTCTTCTTCCAGGTACTCATACCTACTATATATTGTCATACATCATGTGTATAGATTAAGACCTTCTAAGCGTGTATGAATTAGCATGAAGCGAAGAAAAATGATAATTAACAAATGACATTTCAACACGTAGATACTCAATCAAAACAAAAATAATAGAGAAAGATAAGCTCAAAAAAATTACCCCTGATGAGTTTTATTCTGGAATTTATGTTTTAGTAGCAAGACAGGGCACGTTCTAGAACCACGTTCTTGACTTTCACTAGGCGAAGTGACAGGATTGGTATCATCCATATAGAAACGCTTCAGTCGCTTGTGATGTTTCTCTAAGCAAAGGGTACAATCATCGATTGGTGGTTTCAGGCTGTCATGGGAATCCCACAAATCTTTACAGTCAGAAATGAACTTGGCATTCCGAGCAGGATCAGGCCACAGTGGCAACTTATTCTCTTCATTCAAGTTCAGAGATGCGGGAGTTGGGATGCTGGATTCTTCTAAAGCTTCTTTCAGCAAATCAGACTGAATATCAGCAGAAGTTGCTAAAAGTGCAGCTTCGTTTCCCCTGCTTAGTGCCACATCGCGAGGATCAACGACATTTAAGGATATGATTGCACAGGATGGAACGTCCTCTGCCCCTCCAGAAAGCATCGATATTTTAGTTGTGGAGATTGAGCAATGTTCTATACTTCCAACTGATTGAAGGGAGACGGAACCTTCCTGTTCACTAAGTCCCGATTCCTTCTGGAAACTATCACAAGGAACTGAACATGGATGGCTAACCATGAAAGAATCCTTTGATGCATTAGATAACCTGGAAAGGAAAAAAATCTTCATAAGTTCGAACACAAAAGAGCCCAGTGAACCTTTTTACTCTATATAACTCGAAATAATTGGCATTTCTTACTCAGAAGCGGAATGCAGTATTTTCTGAAGAATCTGAGTAGCCTCCGATCCAATGAGTTCCAATTTGCCAAGCTTTCCTTTGAGTGAAAGGCAATTTACAGACACCCCGTCTGTGTTCCTCTGTTATAGAAAGCATAAAGAACTTTTACTGCGTGGAGAAAATGTAAAACTAGATCAGGTTTTCCTAACCAAGGCACTTGATTATGCATGCCTCCTGAACTAGTGCTCAAAATCAAATCAATCAGGCCAAGGACATTAGAAATTAGGTGCCATAATCAGCGTGGTGTCAGATGATTGGCAATTTCTGAATCTAAGATTTACTGAGAATACCCCAGCGATAGAAGGTGCATAACTACGCATTAATAAATTACTAAAAGTGCAATATCGAACGAATGGAATGGAATACTAAAATATTGTGACGAAAGAATTGATATGAAATATTAAAATCTCGTCAATTATAAGGAATTCTCACGCATCAAATGATGGTTAAGGATATTCAAGCATGGACCCATTTTAACAATAAACAACGGTCGTACAAGTGTTAACCAACCACAGAACAACTTGAAGAGAAAACTACAGCGATTAAAAAAGGAAAACCTGTGACTGCAGTTCAATCATGAGAAAACGGAATATCAAGGAGATACAAGCACTCGAATGTTGCGAAATGATTATTGATATCTTCTCATGGTGTGTACTACGATATTTCGTATGAAAGAGAGAAATAAACATGAAACCAGAGAAACAGTGTGGGATACATACAAGGAGAAGCAATCAAGGATAAACAAGGCGGCAATACTTTTCACATGAAAAAAACGAATAGTAAATGAGTTACCTGCTTTTGGGATGCAGCTGCAAGAACATCAAATGCTTCATTAAAAGCAGCAGCGTGTACCCATATCCACAACTGCCGGTATGGAATGCTGAGCTCATTGCTACAAGCACCATTATGAACAGGGTTTGTATCAACGCTGGCATCACTATGCCTTATGACTGGCCGCCACATGTAGGTTACTGGGGAAATCAATTTGGACAGGGGCCCTCCAATATGATGAAGCTGAATGAGATTCGTGTTTACAGGGCAATCAGCAAAGATACGAACATGTAAAAAAAAATATATATATATATCCTTAAAAAATAAGTCAACAAACCATAGCACTCTGGTAACAAACTCCGTGGAACACAAGCTGAGAGGTTCCTTCAGAGAAATCCAATTGTGGTTGAACCAAGACCATTCTTAATACATCCAATATTGAATCCTGATAGCGAGTGGACCAACAGCATAAGGGAAATCAAGTTCGTATTACTGACAGCAAGACACAATGGTATTTAAAGAATTTCAGTCCAAACATCTTCGTCAAAGTTCAAGTGGAAAATTTAATAATGCAGAACACCATCTATTTCTAGATGCATCAAAGAAGCCAAGCTTAGGAAGAAAAGAAACCTACCTCTGGACCCTCTAGTAGAATAGGGCTACAGTAGCTTGAATCATGTAGAAGGGCCCCAGATTTCAGTCGCTTCAAGATAGCCCTTGAGCCTCGTCCTCTACACCATAAAAACACTTGGGTTAAAAGATTTTAAACGTAAATTTTTCAGGGTAATAAGTCGACGAAAGTACTCAGTCAGTACAGGTTCAACAGCAAAACTAATGAACATCATAAAGCTAAAAGAAATATGATTTTACTTTTATCCGAATTGCAAAATCTTCAAGCGAAACCATCTGGACGATTGTAAGCAATGCCCAATGTACACCAGGTCAGACGTCTTTTTCAAATGAAAGACGGTGAACCTCTTAATCTCTTAAAAAATTTCCTTTTCTGATTGCATTGCACGTCACAAACGAGGTGAAATGATGTAAACAAGAGGCACTGATCGAGGATTACCTGCCATGTAGTCCCAAAGGGAGATAGAACCCCCACCTTTTCACCATGGTGAACCGTTTAGCATGCCAGAGGTGGGTCCGAAGCCTCTCTGTGCCATCTCCCGATACACTGAATCCAAATTCCATGTTCTTCCGCAACATCATCCTCCTACGAACCCGTCGGGGCAGCTTCTTCTTCTCTTCACCTGATTCCTCCTGCCCCTTCCCTGGAGGCGCCTCATCCCTCCCCAGTCTAGGCCTCTTTCTGCCGCGCCCACCCCTGGCGATACGAGCATCGTGGCTTGAGGTCCTTCTCCTTTTACAACGTTGGAGACGAAAGTTCCTCTCATTGCGGCTGGCCACGATGGCGTGCAGGGCTTCGAGCTCAGCCGCCCGAGACTCCGCGAACTTCTGTACGTTGAGAACTCGAGGCGGCAAGGCTGAAGAGGAAGGGGTGGAGGCGCGCCGGTTCCTCACAGAGGATGCCATGAGAAGAGCTCACCTGTAGAAAAAAATTGGTATTAGAGATGGCAATTAATTCAGTTCAGAACCTATCCCAAGCAAAAGAAACAGAGGAGGAAGAAAAGCAACACATATAAAACCTCACCTTGAACCCAAACCTTTGAATAATACTGATGGGAATCGCTTTTCCGCCGCGCGGATGACGACGAAAACGGCAGAATGCTCCAGTGACAGGGCAGTCTGGATCTCCCACAGCCACCTAGGGTGCCCCAGTGGAAAAAGAAACGGGCTTTGTCCCTGGCCGGATTGAGAGTTGGAAAGAGAGCGAGAGAGAGAGAGAGTAGGAGGAAGGAAGCAGAAGCAGAAGGGAGTACAGGGGTTTAAGGAAGCATAGGAGGAGAGCCGATCAAAGTAACGAAGCAAAGGCCGGAGTGGAAACCTGGGCAAGGGGCCTTACTGCGCCGACCCACCAACGGTCCATACCTCCATGCAGGCGCGCGAGGAAGAGAGACGAACAGACACAGGACGGCGACGGCGGCAACAAAATTGCGAGAACGGGGTAGGAGAAACAAGCGTAAAGTTCCTGTTTTAAGCGGTGAGAAACCCGTTGGTTGTTAATGGGTCAGTAAGACGAATAGCGGCCGGCCCAATTTCTAATCCTTTTTTCACCAAGCCCATTAGTCGGTAAATCTTACTCAGTCATCATCCCTATAGATCTACAGGAATAGTCATATATGCATGCGTGTATGCAGGCTGTACATGGATGCGACAAGTTATCTCAATAGTCTTTCCACTACCATGATATTTTATGTAAATGTCTCCTATGAATGAACCATATAAAATATAGATTAGTGGTGTCACTTTTTAGTTTAGGGAACGATGATATTACATTTGATAATACATGGTACGTTCAAAGGTAGGTAATTATTATGAAATCTTACTCGATCATCATCCAAAGTATGGTCCTCAAGGAATGTTGTTGGTGGTGTTCACAGGGCATGATTTGACTAGCATTACGCCACATGGAAAGTGGCTCATTAGTTGTTGAACTAGCCAAGGATTATGGTGTTTACATATTGGGGAACAAGAAGATGAGAAGTGAGTGGGCCAAAAAGGGTACCCATCATAGAGCTGTAAACCAATCGATGTTGATGGGATAAACTTGTGCAAATGTCAAGATCAAAAGGTAGTTCATTAGGATTTTAAAATTTGAAATGCTTGTAATATTTGATTAAGTTCATTAGGATTTTAAAATTTGAAATGTTTGCAATATTTGATTAAGGCTTGAGAGAACTATTTTTCATAAGTAATTTGTTCAATAATGGCTTAAAATCATTTCTACTTGTAAGCCTATATTATTTGTCATTAAAAAATGGAAAAAATGCTTGCATAGGAAAACACATAATTAGTTTGTATTTATCACCATGGTTTCCATAATTTAAAATTTAAAATTTTAAAATATTTAGGTATGCTCTTAATTTTTTTTAATCAGTTTATTTAAATGGGAAATATTAATGGCACTACTATTGGGTTTTTATTTTATAACAAAAAAAGTTGATTGAAGAGTAGAATAGTGATTTTATACTTCCAAACTATATGAAGATAATAGAAAAATACTAACAAAATATTTAACTAACTCTTAGAACAATCCCATATAGTTTCTAACTTACATCAAGCCAAAAGTAGCTCTTTCTATTTTTAAGGAAACGATTCTACTTAGGAGTCTTGACTCACCTAACTCAATGAGTTTTGCACATGATTAGAAAAATATTTTGAAATGGTAATGATTTCTGGTGGTCAGAGTGTCCCCATTTCCCCTTCTATAGTGAAAATCTAATGCAAAATGGAATGAGGGAGGGAGAGAGAGAGAGAGACATATATGTGGTTTGGAAAAACCTCTTACACGTGTTTCCCTAAAAAGAACCCTCTCTTGTTGCCCTTCAACGGTAGTACACATATGGATGCCTTTAGAACAAACGTTGTGACACTATTTCCTCTTAACACAAGATAAGGGTGTTTTTTTGAGGGTCCACTTAGATCAACAAGGGGGATTTAAATTGATATACTTCTATTTATAAATTCAGAAATTTCTCTTTGAAATCTTTGATCTCATCGTTAGAATCCTGAGTCTAATTATTTTCTTAGATCAATGGGCATGAGACTCAAGAATCTTTAAAGTGGTTTGACACTTTACCTACATTCACTCTCCAAGAACAATCTTTGTTCTTATATTTCCTTAAGGTCAAACTTTTGACCACAATTTTTGATTATTAGGTTCAATTTCTTTAGAATGTCTCTCAAAAATTATTTTTTAGATTCACAACTCTAGGTTGTCAATAGCTAATTAACATGTTTAGCTATCTCAAGGGATTAAGAAATATTAATTATACATTTATCTCAAAAATAATAAAAAATATTTTCTCCATATGATGTTTTTAAGCTCTTACATTGACTTTGAATGCTTTCAAAATTTTTATGAAGAAGATGAAGTGTGTAACTTTACTTTTCATTGTTCTATTCTTGCATTGATGTTGACACATTGTCAATGGAGTTGTCACTTGAATTTGGTCGAGGAGAGACTTTGAATGCTAAAAAATGACTCCTTGAGTTGTCACTTACGTGCAGTTTGACCAACAGCCCAAACCTCTCAACTTCGCAGAGAGTTAAGATTGTAGCACGGAGGCTGCTTAACAAAGTTCAAGAGCTATTCGGAGAGATGGTTGGAGTCTTGATGCTCAAAAGGGGTAGATGTGTTTATCAGGGCTCAAAAGGGGCATTTGTGGGGTTTGAGTTTTACAATCTGACAAAGTTGACTGAGGTTTTAACATCAGTAGTGTTTGATGTTCTTCCGCAGGAACCCCAATGAAGGGTAAGCTGGTAGGAGTTGACGACCTGGAGGTTGCTATTCCCGGTGGGGTTTTATCCATGACCTGGAGGGAAGGATCGAATTTTATGGGACACCTCACCAAAGAGGAGGATTAATGGTGTAGATAGATGTTTACAAATTAATTCATATATAGTTGCCACCGTATAGCTGGGTCCATCTCTGTGGGTGGGAGATTTTCCCTCGTCACATTTTACTCTATTTGTTAAATTTCTGCATAGATAGAAATCGATACAACACTTTTGTTACTATGTAAAGCAGCTGTCTTTAACGACATGCGTACGAGAGGAAGTTCCCATACCTCATGTGGGGGTTCTCTTCAACTCTCTCTCCATTTATATACAAAAATAGCGGGAAGAGGCAGCGGCAATGCTTTCCCTTCCCTGAAGTGGTTGGATCGACTGAATGGTACTGCGACAGAGGTGGAGGGGGCAGAGAGAGGGAGATGGGCCATGAAGAACTAGTATTTATTTACAATGCATAAGAGCACACACCCATAATTACATGAACGCTGAATAACAAACACATTTACATTAAACTGTGTCTACGGCCATACTTTGTTGAACCCTTCATTTACAGTAGACATTTTGATAAGTTGATGAACTTCGAGAGGAAGGATTAGAGTGAGTTTTGAGTGCCGACAGTAAAGAACCTGTCTGGTACAGTTGAACTGGTCCATCCCCTTCCTCCTACCTTCTTCCTACTTTCTGGGGAAGACTGTGAAGTGCACTTGGATTGCAGCCAAAGCGATGAGAACGCCAGCGAATACGGAGAAAATAGCCCAAGGGTTGCTGAAGTAGTTGTGCACCAGGATGGCCCGCCATTTGTGGGGGGCGAATTCGCAGAAGGCCACAACTTGCTCGAAGGTTTTGGCATTGTAGTGCTTCTCGTACTTGAGATGGGTGCCCTTGCAGAGATTGTTAAACAGGTCGGCGACCTCGCCGTCGCTTCCGAGCTTGCTCTCCAGGATGCCACGGCTCCGTAGGATAGCAACGTCGCCGGCGGTGTTGATGATGTTGTCCATGAAGACGCAGTAGCTGGTGAAGTGATTTCCAACAATGGTGCAGGACTGCTCCAGGGCGATGAGGTTCCGCAGTCGGGCGCTGGTGGTCTCGTCCACCGACAGGAAAGGGATCTCTAGTATCCCTTCTCTGAACGAGACCTTCATGTAGCAGGCGATATTTTCTCGGGGGACTCCCTTCCTCTTGAATTGGATCCCCGCCGCGCGAAGCTCCGTCGCGCAGGGAATCTCTCTTGGCGCCTTCGATTTCTTGGTGGCACCGAACCAGGGGGGCCACTGCCAAATGAAAATCAGATAGAGGAAGGCGAAGAAAAGCATGGAGATCAGATCGATCCATTTCTTCAGTGGGAGCATCGCCGACTGGCCGCATGAGCGCCGATGGGGCTCCTCCACGCATTCTGGATCCAGGCAGAGGTGATAGACGTGTAGAAGATGGAGCACCTTGCCCGGTTCGAGGTTTACCTTCGGCGGCTTCTCGATTTTGAGGAATAGGAGGACCAACTCCATAAGAGCAAGAGGCTCCTTTCGCTTGCCGGTGATGGGGATCGTCGTCTTATTGAATAGCTCGGTTAGAACAAAGAACGGGATCTGGTTCTCCAGCAGCAACAGGTCCCTCCGCAGGTGACTGAATCCCCATCTGACGCCGGCGAGGGGGGCAGTCTCCCTCGTGGTGCCGAAGATACGCTTGGCCAAGTACTCGATGATGAAGCAGCCGTCGACCACAAGCATCTCCACAAATTCGTCATCAGAGAGCTCGATATTCTCCGAGTACTGCGCCATGGCGGCGGGCAAGCAGCTGCGGATTACGGCGATATAGTTCTCGAGGCTGTTCTCGTTGTGACGATTTAGGAGGTCGCGCAGATACTCCAGTTTGACCTGTTCCATGGGGAGCAGTCTTACCTTGCCGTAATGAAGCGGGCCGATGGAGACCAGCTTGGGCTCGTAGGCTTCCTGCTCTACCCTCCTCATGTCGGGATAAACCCTGCAGATAGAAGGGCTCCGGCCGCCGCCTGCGTTCGGCTTCGGGAGCTTCTTCTTGATCAGAGCCACTAGAGGATCCGCATGAAGGGAGGAGCTACCATCGGCGATGGGAGGCAGATCAAGTACCAGAGGGAGGGATGCCATCTCGGAAGATTTGTCACTATAAACCGTCACCATGTCGAGGAGGACATGCTCCGATCCCCGTCCTCGATCTATCACTTCCCTCGCCATTTTTTCTCAGCAGAAGGCGAGGAGGAGATCATCTTATTTTGGCCGCAGCGGTATGTGCGCGTTAGATGGGGACACTACGCGCTCCTTAACTTTCTGAGAAAGTCTCGTAGAAGCGATCTCGTCTTCGATCAACACGGCGAAGCGACTCCAGTCGCACAACTCAGTCATATTGTCGCCGCCTGAGAACCAATCGGATCTATTTTTATGTTCCAAATCTTCTCTTCAACCAGGCATATCAGCATTAATATCTACCAAAGAGAGGTTCTCTGTGTTTCAGTCTCTCAAGGTCGCATACGACCTCCTTCCCCACAAGTTCCCGAAAGTCAACCGGTACTATCTATTGGTCGGCTCTCCCACATCCTCCTCTCCCTGTCTCCGAGCCGATCTCTAGCTCTCCGTCGAAACCCATCTGGATGAGTATTTTGCTACAAGGAGATCTGATCTGATCTCATCTCATCTCATTGACTATCGATCTATTGAGTGTGGGTGGTCTACGACTGCCCTGACACGACGAAGTGATTATTAGAACCCTAAAACGAGAAGTAGCTTCCAGAGAAGCACGTCCTCCATTTTGTTCTCGCTCTTAGCTTCTCAGCTACTTTCTGTACCATATACCTTTCGTATAATGCTCTTAAAGTTGTTGCCTTTAAGGGGTCCCAATCCATTCCACGTGAGGCATAAACTAGTTTGACTTTATTCTGTTGCACGAAAGGAGGTTGAGACTTGATAGAACGGCACTAAGGCTTTATAGAATGGTTTGGATTTCTGCTTAGTCTACAACCTTTCTAGGGACAGACCACTTACGAACTCATTATCTATAATCCTAGATTTACATGTCTCATTGGTTAAATCTTCAGCACTCAACACTAGATCATCACTATAAGTTCACAGCACTTGCTTTAATGTTATTTATTTTTTTCCATTTTTATCATTGGATGTGAAAGACATGTATTGTTCAGAAAGAAGATCTTAGTCTTTCCTTATTAAAATTATCCGATTTTTACTAAACTTATTGGACATATATCATTTTCATAGAATAAAAATAGTTACTGCACAGGAAAGAAATCTTTTAGTGATTTTCTTTGCTCATGTTTCGCAGAAGAAATTTCTTTTTATTTCTCATTAATAATCATTTTTTCTTGTTCTATGTTTTTACTGTTTTTTTTCTGTATCTCCATTGCATACAAATAAATTACTACCTTAAAGTACAATAAAACTAGCATTTATTCTGATTTTTATTAATCTGATCACCTATATCAGGTAACTCATTAAAATCTTTGAACTTCGAGTGTAGAATTATTGGCTTTCAAGTGTAGAAAAGTTATTGCGTAGAGCATATAGATATAAAACTTTTGGTGCCTATTTTTGTCCTTGATTGTCTAAGCAGTTGCCTATCTCTAATCGGTCTGTACTCGTCCATGTTCATGGGGAATGAGTGGGAACCATTCCTTGCTCAAAAACAGCCAGAGAAGAATTTTTGACAAACAATGCCATAATTGACGGCTGAGCTCTGTAACTGGATTATTTGCAAACCCATCTTCTCATTAATATCCTTACTATAACAACTCTCACTAACTTGGGTTTCCACAAGGGTTACTGATACTATTAGGATCCTACAGTCTATCTAGTTATGCATTGGAATCCTAAGGGGGAAGCTAGCTTCTAATTAGCTAGTTAACCTAGTAAAATTGCATCGAATCATTCATATGATCATAGAGAAAGACACGAATTTGTTTTTGTAAATAATTATAACTTGTTTAGATTGAACTACTGACCTGGATGCCAATGACAAGATACTAGATAAGAGAGGGGCACAAATGATAGCTCCCTCCTCAAAGGCGCCTTCTCTACAAGGTGATGAACTCAAAATTAGAGGTTAAATATGTTGTCATGATGCAATCAAGTTCATGCAAATAATATTTATAAAATTTCACTCTTCTATTTAAGATAAGGGTCGATCCTCAGAGAGTGTGGATAATGAGAGTACGAATTCTACTTATTTTATTTCTTATATAGATATATATATATATATATATATGTGAGATTGTGAAATACAGAATTAAATGTAAAAAGATGAAGACAAGAGTTATGAAAAACATGATAAAGGGGAGAGAATAGATCTAACACAATAGAATAAAAAAATAAATGATAAAACTAGTTCAAATTAATAATTAATCTATCCATGGAGATGATTATAGCAACACCTTAAATCTGAATCTTGCACAAACCTCATTGTGTGCCAGTCGTAAGTCAAGTGATGCTTGATCCATGATGATCTTGATGCGCTCCAAGTAATCTCTTCTCCATGATGATATTGGGCACAAAAATACCTTTGATTAGGCCTTGAATTTCTTCTTATTTCCTTCAGCTAGTCATTGCGAGAGAGAGCCAAAAAGCACCCTCCAAGAGGGGGGTGAGATGTCTTAATCTTTTCGTGAGTTAGGCCCCTTTAAAGGATGGTTATGATTAATAACCAACTCTCTTGGTGAACAGCCCAAATCATTCTATGAGGGTGGGACTCTAATTCTTCTCTTAATCTCATTTTAAGACACTTAAGACACTCTAAGATAGACGGCCTAAATCTTATCTCCTGATAGCCGTTTTAAGTCTAAATAGGCCAGGCCAAAGTGGTGCCTTTCTTGGGCCCATAAACATATTAAGCCGACCCTCTCTATAAGACTTGAGCTTTTTATTGGGCTGAAGGCTTGGGCTTCTTATATTACTTCCAACTCATATTAAGAACTCACTGAAGTCTTTACAATCAAATAATTATCAAGAAAGTGTGAGAGAATCATCAATTGATTTCATAAAAGTCAAGTGAGGTTAGTCTCATAATATAAATAAAATAAGTACAATAAAATATGTATTAGGACTTAAATAATAAAATATTATGAATGTCATAAAGAGTTGGTAACACATGTATAATTATATTATCTACTTATTAATTAGCATCTTTATATAAGATATTAATACATAGATACAACTATTAATTTATAATTATCACAAGGATGTAAGAGGACCTTTGAGAAAAGGATGTGTTTGCATAAAACCTTTTGATGCTTTTAAGGACCTAGTTGACCCTTTCTTTGTTCATTAGATCAGAAAAAACCTTTTTACCGATTTTATAATTTAGAAACACAAGCAGATGGCTAGCATTAATCTAGTTCAGTCACTAATTTATATCATCTCTTGTCCTCGCTATAGAACCATAAAATTACGAAGGGGCAATTGCCTAAGCTGTAAGGCTGCTTGTTCCCATGAATGAATCGAATCTTGAAGTGGCCGAGGGTAATTTTTCATCATCTCGCATCTCAGTTTGTATCATCTGAGAGGTCCGAAATATGTCGAGAAGTTTCACAATAGAAGACATTACACAACCATTGTTTCTCATTTTTTTTCATATGACCTCTCACCACTTTATACTGAAATCTCTGAAAAACGGGTTCAATTTAGTTTTCTAATTTACTTTCCAAACATGATGTTTTCCAATTTAACCTGTGTAAAAACTCTGTCAGCCATATTCGCTGCAATTTGTTGCCAAAAATTTCATTATATTTTTCTCACCTGTTACCTTTCACTTTTCCCTCTTCCTATTTGCTCAGCATTGTATGCAATCAGGGAAGATGTTTGTTGGGCCATCACTTCTCAATGAGAAAGATATTTTTAGAATGAACTAGTTATGTCTCAATGTTTCAGCTACTCTTTATTTTGTGCTTAATGTTTAAGATGACAGCTGGTCAAATCAGTATGGCTCTTGTGTTCTTCTAGGAATAGAACACTGAAGAATTTCATATTTACGAATTAGTTTGCATTGTAAATTTTAGCCAAATCACTGCAAACAAGGCAGAAACTGATGGTGAGCTTGATATCTGGTTACATTTGTCTACAACCCCACATAAAATCTAGGCTTAATTGCACAAGAGACGAGAAATATATTTGAACTTGTCCATTTATACCCTCTGGCTTAACGATTTAAAATGTATTGATTAAGGCTTTACCTGCGTTTTAGAATCAAAAGTTCTGTTTAAAGCATTAGTCCTTGCCAAAAAGCGTCATTGCCACCCTGTGTCTAACAAATTATGGCATCGTATCTGCTTTCTAGAAGGGTTATTATAATCACCAATAATAGATATCGAATGGTCAACAACCATAGGAACTTTTTATGTCGCAAGGCTTATCATTTTTCTTGTCCTAGCAATAGGAGCTTGTTCCTTGAATTCTATCTCCATTATACAACATTCCGGAAAGATACTCGAAAGTGTACTTTATTCATTCAACTGATTGTTTTTAGCCAAATATCTGCCTCAAATACTAAGAAAGGGGAATTCTATCAATCTACTTATACCTTCATGTTGTCATATAAAAATATGTAAAACTCTCTGAAGGATTACTAGCCATTATTAGGCAAACTTTCTAAGTTAGAAAATTATTAGCATAAGATGAGCAAACATTTACAAAAATAATAACTTAACATCTGAAGTAATGATCCCAAAGTCATTTGGAATTTTACTTTTTATCATTCTACATTGATTTTTTTGAGTCTTTAGGAGTTACCTCCACAAGGCCTTACTGATAAATGGTTAAATCAGAGAGTTTACTAACATGAGGATGATAATGATCCAGCTTAAAAACTCCACTAATGAAACTGAGGTCGATGGATGGAATGGAGGTCGGCAGACCCACCTAAGTGCCACAAGCTATAATTGAAATGAAGATAATTGAGGCGGCTGGGTGAGCTGTGATATCAACATTGTTTTTTGTCTGCTATGTATGAATGATTGGAAAGGCTAGCCCGGCAAGCGACGGTGGGAGACATTCAATGCTCGGGAAGTTTCCATGGGATATTCTTGAAGATAAAGCTACACAGCACATGCATAATCAAATTGGAGCCAGCAGCCGACGTCCCCGTTGCAGTATTTTATACTTCTTCGTCGATGGAGACAGCGGAGCCAGAGTTGGTTTCCGCTGGCGTGGGGATTTCACACGCTCATTAGCAGATGAAAGAGCTTTAGAGTGAAGGATGTGCCGTGAGTATTGCCAGCAAAATTAAAAGTGTATGATTTACTTCGTGTAAATGAGTCCCGAGTTTTCAGAGGTATTGTAGCTCCACATGGATGCAGCAAGCGTCGCGTCACGCACGTTTGATCGGTCAAGAATGTAAGGCGTGTGGGCATCATGACGACACTTTCACTCCACTTGAATCTTTCAACAGCCTCTTCAGAGTCCCGGAGAACCGGGTCAAATTGTAAAAGTTTCGTGACGTTGATGTTTACGATGAGTTGGAGTCATCTTCAATCAAGTTGTGGAGTGGTTGCTACTATAAAATTGACCCATGCTTCGTCCCAATGCGATTGGTGCATCGAAGTGGCCGATCTCTCTTCTGCGGTTCTCAACGACTTCCTACAAGATTTGTCTCAGGCAGGCGGCGAATTCAGCAAGTATGTATCTCTATACAGTTGTGTACACATTAATTTGGGAATTCATTCATTCATGTATCCAGCTCTCTCTCCTATGACGCCATATTATAAGATCTAGGAGAACCGATCGGTTATGATGATTTTCAACGTGGTTTCATATATAATTCAGGGATGGGATCCATCGGAGTATGCTACGGAAGGTTGGGCAGCAAACTCCCCCCGCCCGCTGAGGTAATCCAGCACTATCAGTCGCTTAACATTCGAAAGATGAGAATCTACGACCCGAACGTGGAGGTTCTACGGGAACTCAAAGGATCCAACATCGAGCTCCTCCTCGACTGCCCGGCACCTCTCAAGACCATCGCTGAGAACCCTTGGGCTGCCCAAGGTTGGGTCAGGAATGTTGTACTGGCCCACTGGCCGGATGTCCGTATCCGGTACATCGCCGTGGGAAACGAGGTGATCCTCACAAGAGGGGAAGCGGAATACATTCTCCCTGCGATGCAGAACATCTATATAGCCCTCACGGCGGCCGGCCTACAGGACAAGATCAAAGTGTCTACCTCTGTACAGTATAACGTCCTCGGGGCTTCGTTTCCACCTTCGGCGGGTGAATTCTCATCGGAGGTTAAGTCAGTGATGGTGCCGATAGCAGCTTTCTTGGCCATTACGAATGCGCCACTGCTCGTCAACATCTATCCTTACTTCAGTTACGCAGGGAATCCAGAAGAAGTCGACCTCTCGTACTCCTTGTTCACGTCGCCGGAGCCGGTCGTCTACGACCCCGATAGTGACCTCGAGTATCAAAACTTGTTCGACGCCATGGTCGACGCTGCGCACGCAGCACTGGAGAATGTCGGAGCCGGAGGTGTAGAGATCGTCGTCTCTGAGAGCGGGTGGCCTTCAGCTGGCCATTCTGCTGCGACCGTAGAAAATGCCCGCATTTACAACTCAAACTTGATCCAACACGTCGGGAAGGGTACGCCCAAGATACCTGGGAAGGAAGTGGAGACATACATCTTCTCACTGTTCAACGAAGACCAGAAGAAGCCCCCGGGGATTGAAAACAACTGGGGGTTGTTCTACCCAGATAAACGGCCTGTGTATCCCATCAAGTTCTAGATCTTATCCCTGTGAGTCCGACCCCCGGAAGCAATAAGATTTGCTTTTAAAAAATGACATTTTAGAAGATGATGTATCGACATATGACTCGAGAATATAAAGGCAGAGGTTCCCTGCTCACTTGTCCTGTTAGAACTACGGACGATTAAATACGCTCAAAAGATTCTACTGCACGACAAGACATAATTTATTGCCGGTTGGAGTTGTCCAAGGGACACAAGCTGGACCCCTATGGAGTCTTCTAGCAGTTGTTACCTATGCAGCCCAGAATAATTCTCCAAGAGTTCTGTTCTAAAAATTCGATGCAACAATATTGAACCAAAAAGAGAGAAGAACATAGAATTAACAAAAGCCTCAAATGTCATTTAAAAGAGCGTAACTTGCCAACGTTAATGTTAAACTCTAAACTTTAAGGATCTTCTCATAAAGATTATATCATTAATATATTCTTACAATGCTAAAATTTTCACGACATTTTCAACATGTTGAACTTAAGCATGCACAATTTTGAGAACTCTCTGAAGCATGAAATTCGGAAAAATGTTTTCAAGCAACTAGATAACTTTATTCTCGTCTAGGACCATAATATATTCTTAAATCTTGGTGTTGTAATGTCTGAAAAACAATTTCGAACTGTATTTCTAATGGCTAGTTGTGTAGTACTGTAACACTTTGTTTTTCTGTACTTCCTCTTATAGCCAATAGTCATGATACCAAATGACTCTACTTTCTTCCTACAAGGTAAAAAATCATGCCAGTTTTGTAAATAAAAAGTTTTCATTGCTTCAAAGACCTTTTCTGAAGTTTAGAATATAGTTGTGGTGATACACATAAGTATCGCATAAGTATGCAAATAGGTATTTTTTTACTCAATGTTGAGCCTTGTCATGTCAAATGAGGATTCATTTATTTAGAATGATTTATTGGTTGTGTTGATGATTGAGTCTTCTAGTAATAAGATTAGTTGAATCACTTTGATAACATAGAAATTGTGCGTTAAAACTTTTTCTTATCAATTGTGTAGACCAACTTATTATAAGGAAGTGGAAACATAGCACTTCCAAGCAATAAAACTGAAACGCATCAAAGACTTTGTCCTGTACATACTACGTTTTTTATATAAATTTAATTTTCTATCCTCATATGCTTTCTTTCTCAATACATAAGTGTAAACTCGCCTTACTAAGTGACTTGGTTTATTAATCAACTATCTTCCTTGAAATAGAAAGAGAACTGACGGGTTTAGCAATGAGTCCCAAAGTACCAAATTACTTTTATGAAGGCTGTAAACTTATTTCCAACAATTTTATAAATGCACTCATATATTTTGCATAGAAAAAAAATATTATTTTAATCTTCCACATATCTTCTCAGAATTAAACATGAAAAGGTTCCAAAAATGAAAACTTTAGAATCCATAAACGAATTTAACTTCCTCTTTTTTTTGGTACAGAAGAGGTCGAAAATAATTGATAACTGAGAGAAAAAATATTTTAGTCCACATATCAATAGACTAGTCATGGAAACTTGGAAATTATAGTACCAAGAATGCAAGTCCAAATCCTTACAAATAAAAAATGAATGACTCATGTAGAGTAGAAGGGGGAATAACAATAATTGTGAGTAATACTTAATGAAAATTCCTGACACAGTTGATCTTAATATTTGGACTAAACCTTCTAATTTAGTTGACTGACAGACTAGTGGTCCATATGTACTGTGTTTTGAGATGCAGTGAAACTAGAATAAGCATAGTTTAAATAAGGTGACTATTGTGTGCAGGAATGGAAGTAACCCAATGAGTTAATTATGTTATCAATAATTCTATCTGGTGCAGAAGATGTGTGAGATATATAGAATTACATAAAAAGGACAAATAACAGATAAACAGATTTTATACTGGTTTGGGCCCCTAACAACATCCACCATCCTAAGCGCTCACACTCCTTCATGTTCTACTTATCTTCCCTATTGATTACACAGGTACTCACAACTCTTGGAACTCGATCGTTATTAGGCTATCAACCACTCTATTGCTTAAGGTTACTAGTTACATGAGCATGAAAGTACTTGATAAGTAGAATCTTTTTGCAAGTAATCAATTTCAAATATTAACCAGACGTAGTTAATATGATATGGTACTAATATATTATATGTCACAATATGACATCAGAAATATTAAATTACCATCTTATCCTTGTTTGGTGACTTTGTCCACTGAGCATGAATCCTTGTTTGGTGACATTATTTGTACGATAAAGGTATTGTAGTTGACTACTATATGCCGTTACTTCTCCAGAAAGTAAATTATTTTCTTTAGTCTAAAACCAAACTTCATTTGTATTCGAAAAGGTTACAAGGAAACAAACTTCCTTCATTTAGAGAAAAATGACACCATGAAAAAATTACAAGGAAAGTAAAGGTGGTCATACCTTAATGAATGCACTATGTTTAACAAAAGCCATCTTTAGCATGGCTGAAGAGAGTATCTCTTGCATAAGATATTAAAGCAATGTTTGGTCTGATGGTCAGCTTATATTTGTGTGGAAAATTACCTAGCTGAAATTCTTTGGAGAAAAACTAGGAAAATAAGGCTCAAAACGACAAAGAGATCGCTACAAACAAGAAATGAGGATAGCAGAGGATCACACCATGATCAGAAGAAACTAATGCATGTAACCGCAATAAAGTAGCCAAAGCCTTGGGGATGAGTATCGTCCTGGTTTTGATATAAATTGACCTCAAAACAACAGAGAGTGGCGATTGGCGTTTACTGGTTTTACTGCAGTCCCTGGCACCCGTGTGATCTGCTTCATGTTGACAATATCAATTACATTATTTTATACCTTTTCGAGTCTATATTTATATATACCGCTTGTACTGAAGGAATTTTTTATATATTTATGCTCTCCGAGTCACGCTCACAGTTCGGTGCCTAGTTGGGATTGTCACGTCAATCATTAACTATGAAACATTTGGTCGGAGTGGGAAAACTGGAGAGAGATAAAGAGAGAGAGAGAGAGAGTTGCAAACAATTTATCTGCTGCTTATTGTTTCCTTTTCAGCATGAATGTATACGAAGATTTTATTATGAAGGTTTGAAAGGTGATCGGCGTTGTGCTAGCAAAAAATACTCATGATAAAATTCAATGTAGATATACAGTCCGTACCAAAGCAGGCGAAGGTATCAATTTTGCTGACGAAAAGGGCCTTACGGTGCTCCTCAAAGGCTCAGCACCGACGCCCATGCTTTCTAGAATTTCTCATTTCTAGTCCTTGTTCCTCCAACTCCACTAAGATCGTTTTCTCTACAAACGAGAAGCCAACTCTAAGACCCCTTTACGGAGTTGTTCCCCGTTCCAGCATCGCCATCGCGATCCCCACGTTCCTTTGGCTGAGGGTTCTCCTCTTCAGACACCCACCATACCCTCAAGTTCTTGTCCGTCGCCCCGCTATAGAGCCAGAACCCACCACCCTTCCACGAGGACTGCAGGCACTTGACAGGGCCTTCGTGCCCCCATAGCACCCTGAGCCTACACAGTCCCCCATCCATCTCCCTCCAGACGCCGATGCTTCTATCCGCCGAACCGCTACACAGAAACTTGCCGGTGGCGCAGAGGCACAGCACCGACATGTCATGTGCCTTGACGTCGCACAGCAGCCTCCACTCTCTCCCTCCGGCTTCCTCTCCCCACCCCATCACCCTCCCGTCCGACCCGCCGCCGTAGACCAGCCTTCCCTCCTCCATTAGGACCACAGCGTTCCACGACACCAGCTTGCGCCCCTCCATGACACCTTTCAGACGGTGAGAGTCACTGGAGTTCTCCCACGCCTTTATCTTCCCATCTGCAGAGGCAGTGTAGACCATGCCATTACATACAGCGAGCCCATTAATAGCGTCGTCGTGCGCTCTAATCGACTCCAGACACCGCAGGTCTGCGGCCCTCCACACCTTCAGTGTCTTATCCCAGGAGCCAGAGTAGACCTTGCCGCCCTCTACGGCCAAGCACGAGATGCTGTCGGCGTGCTCGACCCACAGTCGCCTGTGGTTCCGCCGCGTCTGAACGTAGTTGCTCCGCTTCAGGAGCTTCCCTATGCAGTCTTTTCTGGTGGGCAACGTGGCGACTAACCTGAACAGATTCTCCGATCTCTTCGACACCTTCCACACCCTGATCCTTCCGTCCTGGTGCGCCGTGAAGACCCTGTTGCCGACTGCCTCTAGGGCCTTCACCGATCCATCGCCATGGCCGAATCTGGCAAAAGGGCTGAGATCGGGCTGCCGCCAGACGATAATATCCTTTGCCTGGGAGGCGCTCAACACGAATTCGCCGCACAAAGCGAGGGACGAGACCGGGCCGGTATGAGCAGAAAGCGCCGCCGACGGCCCGTTTTCTCCGGTGGCGGATGATTCATGGCGAAGACAGAACTTCCAGGCTTCGCTAGGAGAATGAGAGAGGAGGCTCTTGGAGGGCTCTGGGCGATCCATACGGGCGGAAGAGGAAACTCTCGAGGAAGAAGAAAGGCGGCCAATTTGGAACAAGAGCACTGGCGCTTATTTATTGCTCTTGAGAGATGGCGGTCGCCCCCGGTGGCCGCCATGTCGGGTCCCGCTGAAAAAGCTTGAAAGAGAGTGGGGGGGTGGGGGGTGTGGGGTGGGGGATGGGTGATCTTCAACGGCTACTTTGAAAGTGAAGCGCCGCCGCTCTGGCCCACTCGAGGAGGCTCCTTTGCTTATGGGTGCGGACAACGGCGTCTCCCTTAATGACTCTCAGAAAGCTAAACCAGGAACATTGAAGTTTTCTTGTACTGATGGTTCACAGAGCGACGATTACTCAGAATGCATTTCACAAGCCATTGGCTAATGCGCTCCCACGCAACGCATCCCTCAAGAACATTTCTGGTAGATGGCTTAGGAACTCGAAAGAGAGTCCCGCGCTTGACCGACGGAGAACGAATGATGGCCTGCCACAAGCCCTCCTTGAACTTGATGTGCACGCCTGGCATCCTTCGAGTCTCTGAAAATCTCGCTGTTTTCCTGGTCCACTGCTCAGAAAACTAAAACTAGAGTCCTTGACAGCAAATTCTCACTGAAGTCCTCTTGTTCCACTAGGCCGTGATTTCTTCTCTCCTTCCCTAACGTTCGCCTGATATCTTCCACCCTGGTCTCCAAGACCAGTTGAGTAGGTAGCAACGTCGTTCCAAAGATTATCTGGTGACCAGACCAGCTGAAGCTCCACCCTCAGCTTCGACCGCCGACTCGCCCACGCAAGGCAGAAGTATCGCCTCACCTGTCAACAGTTCTTCTCATCCTCCGGTGAAAGTTGGCGATGCTCCCTCGTAAAGAACTCCTAGAACCGATTCCAATGCACGCTACCACTTTGCACTTTTGGAATAAAAGAACCACCAGTGCGAAACAGAACAGAATAATGATCTATCTGAAAAGACGTTTTCTCATTAAAAAATTTCCTTTTTATTTCTTCACTTCACGACCTACCTGAATTCAGAGTTTATCCATCTTGCTCTAGGACAACAGTAATTCACCATAATACATGATTACCTTAATGCACGACCCACCAATAATGTCTCTCCATAGAGACCTATTGACTTCGTCCATAAGGATATCAAGCTTAATCCTGAATGAAAATGAAGAATAATCCTGAAAACCTCAAATAAATCTATTTCGAGCCAAAAAATAGCTCATCATAATTCAATGTGGGATGAAGTCCACTTTATGAGCTTCATTTTCTTGTTGGAAATAATGTTTTGCAAAGGCTAGAACGGGCTCATATTCCAACCATCATTTGTAACATTATGTGCGAGGAAAAAAGCTATATAACTTGTATGTTAATATTTGAAATCCACATTAGTAGTAATAATTTTAATTACTAAGATATGAAAAATACACTGTGGTATCATCATCACCTTTGAAGTAAGGATATTTATTCTCACACATGTGACAAGCATTTCAGTCTGAAAAATATTTGATTGGTTGGGTTTTAGTCATACACTTATAGAGCAAAATTCCATGAATTGAATTCATTCTAAATTGATAACTTAGTCAAGACTGTAACAAAACAAGACAGCTCTGAAAATATTTCAATGATCATTATTGGGAGTTTGCATTGATACAAGTTGGTGAACCGGTCACAATGATGTGGACATGAGATTATCAATTCCTAAGTCTAAAGTACATGTGGTGGATTAAACTCTGTAAAATCTAATGATGGAAATATTTAATCCAAGACTGCTAAATTTTAAATATCATTATATGTTCAATCAATATCGTTATCAAAATCAAGACTTCAAAAAAAGCTATCTTTTGAACTTGATTAGTAGGCATAAGAAGCTTCGAATCTTCAGAAGCCAGCACACAATAGGTTAAAGAGAACTCATATGAAAATTACTAAATGAGAAGTACGAAGTCCAGACTAAGTTGAGGATCAACCTAACCATTATAAAATCACACATCCCACTACAGTGTGCATTTCTATTTTATTTTAGAACAGGATGCAAAGAACTACAAACGTGAGCATCAACGTATGAAATGAGAAATAGACATCCCTTTCACCCATAAATATTTTAAAATTGAATATTAAATACATCTAACCACACAAAGTTGTAGAAACTTCTAAGTGATTTAGGAAAACAACATCAATGAGTTATCCTAGGAGATTAATCGAGTTTGATTAAAAAAACGGAAGATCTTTAGAAAGAGGAAATACTCCAATAGAATGCCCTCTCAATAGTAGTCTCCTCTACCGAGTGTGCATTCCTCTCCTACCTTTACAGTGAATTCAAGTGGCCACGTAAGATGGGGACGAAGTATTACCTGAAGATGTATAGTAAGAGTTCCCAAGAATGGGATGAGATTGTGTACCATCTTTCTCAGAGGAAAAGAGACTGTTCATCAATGCATATTTCTTATTCTTTAACCTACGAAAGGGAGACATTGCCTAGAGTCACCGTAGTATAACATAATGCTTTCGTACGGCTTGGTGCCTGTTATGACATAATCACTGCATACCAGACACGACTAAAAGAAAAATTGTTGCCTATAGTGCAAATTAAATGTTTGTCATTTTCAGTAATCATCAAAGGTAATAGACTAATGAGTTTTGTTTTTGTTGCTTGAAATATCTGAGAACAAAGATCCATAATTATATGACTGCTTTGGCATTCAAGAAAAAACCAGGCACCAAATTTCGTATACCAATGTGCTCTAATGATAGCATGATATTTTAAAGTAAAAATAAAATAAACGTGAACTATTATGATTATTTCAAGAATGAATAATATATAATTAATTATTTTTATATTGATATCAACTTATTTAAGTTTCATAATTATATTTTCATTTGTAATAATTTTCGGAGCTTAATCATTTCCTTTCTATATTTACGATACAAAAGAGACTTCGGGAATAAAAGGAGGGCACTTAAGTCTCTATGGATTCATCAGCCAGCCTTAGGTCACCACGTCTCCCTCTACAGCCGCCAACATTATATATATATATATATGTATATATTTCATGCATCTTTTCTCCCTAAGAATCTGCTCTTCCCTCTTCTTCCACCTCATCTCTTCTCCCTTCTCTTTCTAAAGTTCTCCCTCTTTTTCTGTGTTCCTTTATTCTCCCTCAATTTTTCCCATGTGATTGGCAGGAAATCATTCCCCACTTCTTCCTCAACGTTTTAGAATTTTATTTTCTGAGTTTTCAGTTTATTTTCGTCCCTTTTCGCTCTCCCTTTCGCTCTCTTTTCCCCGTAACAGACGATAAGAGTTATTTTCTTTTCTTACGTTTACTGCATGTCCTTCTCTTCCTCCAACTTCCACTTCTTTCTTAGTTTTTCCACGTTCCTAACATTTCATGCAGCTGTTTTGAAGCCAATCCGTTTTGTTCTCAATTTTTCATTCTCTCTCGTGCTGACGTTCTCTCCTGCATGTAAGTTTTCTCCCCCTCCGGCAAGTTTTATCCCCCTTTCCTTTCATTGTTATGATTTGTTTTCATTATAAATTATTATTATTATTTTTTAATCCTCCTCCGTCGTTTTTACTCACCAGAGCGAGTTCTTCCTTTTCCTCATCTGTAGAACTTGAGCTTTACGTTAATAATAAAATAAATGATCCATGTGGAGTCTATCTAGACTCACCTAACATTTTATAATTAAATTTAACAACTTCAGTTATAAATTTAAAATTGAGTACAATGATTGGTGTGCATTATCCACACTTGGAGGTTGATATTTCTATGCTGGAAGAGATACCTCTTCAAAGATCTTAATGTTTTACTGATTATAGGGGATCAGATAAATAACAATCAGAATCAATACTAGTTTAAGTGTATTTTAAGATAGTGTTTTATCTGTATGCAATAGAGATACGAAAAAAGCCCTTGAAAATGTACAGCAAGGAAAAATGATTATTAATGTGAAATAAAATTTCTTTCCTAGTACGGAATGTAAGCAAAAAAAAAAACAGTCAAGGTTTTTTTTCCTATGTGTAGAACTATTCATATTTAATGAAATATTATACTTTTGAAATAAGTTAAGTAAATTATAGACACTTTAAATAAGAAAAGACTAAGATCTTGTTTTTAACCAATACAACTTTCATTGCAAATGATAAAATGGCTAACGTTTTTTCTAAAATGACTTTGTCATTAAAAGTGAGTGCTGCGACTTGAATTTCTCTTATGATTGTGAGCTTATAGTGATGAGCTAATGTTAAGAGCCAACCATTTGAGTAATCAGATATGTAAATCTAGTATTAGACAAATGAGTTTGCGAGTGATTTATCCCTTGAAAGGTTGTAGGATAAGTAGAAAACCAAACCACTTTTTAGATAGTCTCAATTCTGTACAATAAAAAACTGGGCTTTACACACCTTTTTTATGGTAAGAGAAAGTATCAAACTTATTGCATGGAATAGAACCAAGTTAGACTAATTTATGCCCTACATGGAATGGATTGGCTCTCTTAAAAGCAACAACATTAACAGCATTATACGAGAGGGGTATAATCTAGAATGATGTTTAGAATCCAACAGTGAGAATAAATTGTAGGATATACTTTTCTGGAGGTTACTTCTAGTATTAAAGTTGTAATAATATGTTCACTTTGTCAGGCCGATTTTACTTTTCTAATTGTGAGTTTATAGTGATGAGCTAGTTTCAAGTGTCAACCATTTATTGAATCAGATAGGTACATCTAGAATTATACAGATGTGTTCATAAATGGTTTGTCCCTAGGAAGCTTGTACAAAGTCAAACCATTTTACAAAGTCTTACTATCGTCATGTAAAAAGAGGACTTTACTCACCTATGTTACAATAAGAGAGTTTCAACCTTCATGCATCCAACAGAACAATGTTAAACTAGTTTATGCTTGGCATGGAATGAATTGACTCTCTTAAAAGTATTAATTTCAAAAATATTATAGGATGTTAGGGAGTGAGACAAAATTTAAGACTTAATAGGCCTGAGATCCTAGAGTAAGAAGGAACAATGAGGAAATAATTTCCACAAAGTAATAAATGATAGAGAGAGTGATAAATAATTTGAATAAAAACACCATGACTAATCTGGTCTGAAGAGGATAAACATACTTTAGGACTACTAAAATAGAATATCTAGTGTTAATGCAGAATGAAATACAAAGGTAAATAGAGTTAATGAAGCTCTAACTCCAGCCGCCAGAGGGGAGAGGAGGAGAAGCCGACATCCTGATTTTTGTCGCTCTCTCTCTCTCTCTCTCTCTCGCTCTCTCTCTCCAAACAGCCTCTTTTGATACCTCTTTTTTTGAGAATCATGTAATGAAAGTTGATGAAAAATGATCAGATCAAGCTGAGCATATCCCAAATAGTGTGGGGCCAAAATCACGTCCTTGAATCCTCAAAAAAACTATGATTTTTTCAAAATTCCTTTGGTTTGAATCTATAGAATAAAGAAAACTCAACCCTTGAATCTACAAGAGTTCACTAATGGAGGAGGAGAACCTCAAACGGTATTGATCCTGAATCCTTAGATCATTTTGTAGTATTGATTGAATACCTTTTGGGCTACAAGGGGGGTCTTTAACAAAGTGGAAATCAGTTATTTGGGTGCTTTTAATTTCCAATTAATTTTTAAATGACTAAAAGAGGAAACAGAAATTAAGGTGGAAAAATTAAATTTGGGCACATTTAAAATGTGTCCTAAACTCTTAATTGGCTATCTCAAGTTGAAATTGGGCTAGTTTGTATCCATGATGCATCTTTGGCCTTCGGTTCGTTTGGACTAGGTTGAAACTTGGCTGCATCATATGGTCTACTTAAATTGGGCTCAAAACAGGCTGCATCAAGGACAAGACTAGTTTAATGTCCGAAATAATCCCTAAAATAAAATATTAAAAATATGAGATGAGATTCACATTGACCTCTCCTTGAAATAAGTTGACGAGTCATACCCTTACATACTAAAAGTGTCTAATCCAGATCAGATCAGATTAGATCTCCTCATAATCGGCTAAATAGTTTCAACGGAGAGGTGGAGATGGGTTCAGACAACAAGGAGAAGAGGATATGGGAAAGCCGATCGATAGATAGTACGTGTTGACTCTCGGGAACTTGTTGGGAAGGGCAGCGTATGCGAGCTTGAGCAACCGAAAGTCAAAAGACCCCTCTATTATAGATATTAGCGATGATTTGCCTGTTGAAAATAAGATTTTGAACATAAAAACAGATGCGATTAGTTATAAACACGTGAGAACTTCTAGGAGAGTTCCATAAAAGTCAACAAACGCGTGGGGTTCTCGACTAAACGCGTAGGGCTCTAGACTAGGACGCGGGTTCGGAAGGTGGAGAAGAGAAAAACTGTTATCCACAGTACAAAGCCGGAGGTAGAGCTCCTCCCAACTGAGAAAAATGGCGAGGGAGGTGAACGACCAGGGACGGGGGTCCAGCCATGTCGTCCTCGACATGGAGATGGCATCCCCCCCCCTGATACCAGATCTTCCTCCTATCGGCGATGGTAGGGCGTCCTGTCATGCGGATCCTCTGGTGAATCTGATCAGGTCGAAACTCCCGAAACGGAACGCAGGCGGCGGCCGGAACCCTTCTATCTGCTGGGTTCATCCCGACATGAGGAAGGTAGAGGAGGAAGCCTACGAGCCCAAGCTGGTCTCCATCGGCCCGCTCCACCGCAAGAAGGACAGACTGCTCCCCATGGAACAGGTCAAACTGGAGTATCTGAGCGGCCTCCTAGATCGACACAACGAGAACCGCCTCGAGAATTACATCGCCGTAATCCGCAGCTGCTTGCTCGACGCCAGGGCGCAGTACCCGGAGAAGATCGAGCTCTCCGACGACGAATTCGTGGAGATGCTCGTGGTCGACGGTTGCTTCATCATCGAGTACTTGGCCAAGCGTATCTTCGCCACCACGAAGGAGACGGCCCTCCTCGCCAGCGTCAGATGGGGATTCGCTCACCTGCGGAGGGACCTGCTGCTGCTGGAGAACCAGATCCCTTTCTTCGTTCTAACCGGGCTATTCCGGGAGACCAAGATCCCCTTCACCGGCAATCGAAAGGAACCTCTGAATCTTATAGAATTGGTCCTCCGATTCCTCAGAATTGAGAAGCCGCCGAAGGTAAACCTAGAACCGGGCAAGGTGCTCCATCTTCTCCACATCTATCATCTGTGCCTGGATCCAGAATGCGTGGAGGAGCCCCACCAGCGCTCTTGCGGCGAGCTGGCGATGTACCCACTGAAGAAATCAAAAGATCTGATCTCCATGTTTTTCTTCGCCTTCCTCTATCTGATTTTCATTCGACACTGGCCCCCCTTCTTCGGTCCCACCAAGAAATTGAAGGCGCCGAGAGAGATTCCATGCGCGACGGAGCTTCGCGCGGCGGGGATCAAATTCAATAAGAAGGTAGCCCCACGAGGTCAGACCGCCTGCTACCTGAAGGTTTCGTTCAGAGACGGGATACTGGAGATCCCGTTCCTGTCTGTGGATGGGACCACCGGCGCCCGTCTGCGGAACCTCATGGCCCTGGAGCAGTGCTGCGGGAAAGTTGGAAATCACTTCACCAGCTACTGCGTCTTCATGGACAACATCATCAACACCGCCGGCGACGTTGCTATCCTACGGAGCCGCGGCATCCTGGAGAGCAAGCTCGGAAGCGACGCCGAGGTCGCCAACCTGTTCAATAATCTCTGCAGGGGCACCCATCTCAAGTATGATAAGCACTACAACAAAGAAATCTTCGAGAAAGTGGTGACCTTCTCCGAATTCGCCCACCACAAATGGCGGGCGAGCCTGGTGCACAACTACTTCAGCAACCCATGGGCTATGTTCTCCGTGTTGGCTGGTTTTCTCCTAATCGCTTTGGCTGGTATTCAAGCGTACTTCACAGTCTTCCCGAGAAAGTAGTCCCCGGCCGCCTCTCCCCTTCCCCTTTCACCGACAAGAAGGTAAGGAAGAAAGGGGTGCACCCGTTCAGCTGTCCCAGACAGGTCCTAACCCAAATCTCACCCTAATCCTTCCTCTGGAAGTTCAAAATGTCAACTGTAAATTAAGGGTTTAGCTAAGTATGGCTGTATACGCTTAGTTTCATGTAAATCTGATAGTCCTTCTGTGTTCATGTAATTATGTGTGTTTGCTTTTATGGAATGTAAATAAATGCTAGTTCTTCATTTCCCCTCTCTATCTCTCTCTCTCTCTCCCCTCCATCTCTATGGCAGCACCACTCAGTTGACCGAACCCGATTGAAGGGAAAACAGGGTCCCCTCCCTCTTCCCGCTATATATGTATATATATGAAGAGACAGAGATGAAAAGAATCCCCAGATGAGGTTAGGATTGGCGGCAAAGATATGGGAACTTATAGAGGCAAAATCTCCCACCCGCAGAGATGGAGCTAGCTATCCGGTGGAAACTAAATCTGAATTAATTTGTAAAACCCTACAAGCTAATCTTCCTCTCTGGTGAGGTATCCCATAAAATTCGATCCTTCTCGCAGACACCACGAGAAAACCAGAGCCTTGGATGAGACCCCACCGGGGGTAGCGAACTCCAACTCATCAGCTCCTTTGAACTTTCACCCCATTAGGGATCCTGCGGAAGAACATGAAGCACTAATGTGAAAATCTCAGTCAAGGCTCTGTCAGATTACAAGCATTAAACACACAAGGCCCCTTTTGAGCGTTGATAAACACTTTCAAAACCCTGAGATACAAAAAATTAAAATATGAACCAAATGGGGAAGATTTTCAACCTTACCGAAGGCAGATTCTTAGATATTTCGAACCCTGGAACGAACCCTAATGATTGGCAGTATGATCCTCGTAAACAAGCAGCGCCAATTTTTCAGAGTTCCTGAGATAAGATACTCCATTTGGGGGATGGCCCAATAGTTAGTATACTTTCAATAGCGGCCGGCGATCCTGAGGACAGCCCGCGTCTTCGGCATATGACTTGGGCATCAAGAACTTCTCGGCCATCTCCCCAACCAGCTCCCAGGCTTCACTCAGCAGCCCCCTCTCGACCATCACCGTGCTGTGAGTGACCTCATCGGGTTGCCCTCTGAATCATCCTCGGAGAACATCCCCCATGCCTTAGCAGCTGCAAAGCCAGGTTAGTGTTGCCCGCCTGACAATGGCCCTTCACAATGGTGTCGTACGTGTTGGTGTTCGAGGAAATACCTGTGTCAGGCATTTCTTCAAACAGCTTGACGGCATCATCCACGGACCCATGCTCACATAGCCCGTTGATGATCGTGTTATTGGTGACTACATCTGGCTTACAGAAACTCTGGCTCGCTGGTAGGCTCCTGAAAGATCTTCACGTCCACCGCAAAGAGCGTCCATCACAGGGCCACGACACTGTCGTCACTACCAAACATCTCAAGCAGGTATGGAGGGAGAGTCGTGACGGACGTGACCGCATCCCAGCAGCCCCACGAACCAGAAGTGCCAGCAGACCTTCAGCTACGTTATAGGATAAGGAGGAGACCGGTATCAGGAGTGAGAGTCCACTCGAAGAGTCTCCCCCTATTATGAGTATTTTCGTCTTCGGTCGAATCCCAATCTCTCTTCGAGGGCTCTCTCTCTCTCTCTATTTATCTCTCAATCTCTATACGAGTCAGTCGGCATTATTTTAATTCAAGTTGCTGTTCAAGTCTACGGCGACTACTTCTCTCGCTATCTCGCTCTCTCTCTCTCTCTCTCTCTCACACACACACACACACACACACTCTCAATCACTATCTCGAGTTAGTCAGCATTATTTTAATTCAAGTTGCTGTTCAAGTCTACGGCGACTATGTCTCTAGCTATCTCTCTGTCTATCTCTCTCTATCTATTCCACGGACCAATCAATCTCACCCATATAGCTTAGCAGCCTGAGGGCCACGACGAGGTATTTATTTCCTGGACTTCATTTCCTCGAACAGTCTGCTCGCATCCTTGACTGATGCGGATGAAATGAGCAGGGAACACAATGGGCAAATAACAAGCCACGAAACTCGCACACGATCGGATTCGAACCTTTGAAAACCGACTGTGATGAGGTGAGAAGACCGTTCTATTCCTCGATCGAGGGCGGGAGGACTTTCTCAGCTCACCGTGATAAAACAAAGCTACACGTTTCAAAATTTTAGTCGGCCTCCAAACAAGGAAATCGCAGCCCACTCGGCTGGTCTCGAGCCTACACGGCTAAATCCGATGGTAGTGAAAGCACGTATGAGGAAAGACGGGATGAAATCAGAACACACGACCACCAGAGAGGGTTGAGAGGGGACCTTCGGCGTTTGCACGCCACAATGTTGACGTCTATGGTAGAGCAGAAGAGGACGAAACCAAATTCCGTTGATGGTCGGAGAGGGGCGCGCAGGGTGCACACGGTGGTCGTCGGGGCTGGAGACCGGCGCGCAGGGCGGGGTGCCGTGGCACGTCCGCTAGGTGTGCTGGACGCTTCAGTTCGCAAGAAGAAGGACTGGGTTCGCGAACGTCCGTGGGAGGTACGAACGCAAAGCGCTGCCAGCGCTCCGATGGACGATCGTCAGCACGTCGTCGGGCGAGCGAAGGCTTGCAGAGGGGGCGTCTGGCCACCGACACCGACGAGAGAGGGGAAGAGTTGACGGCTACAGGCGGCGGCGGTCACAAGGATCCCTTAGGGCACAGTCTTTGTGTTTGATATTTCTTAACCAAAGTTAGCCAAGCCGCTTCATAGAGATCTTAGGCCTATTTCTAGGCCTGGGGAGGAGAGAGAGAGGATGACAACGTAACATAAATGAATAAAGGGAAATTAAACATAATAAAGCCTAGTAATAATAGAAATTCGGATCCTTCACTTGAGTCCGGCGGCAGCGACGTGGGGTGACTTCGATAGTTGGTGTGGTTGCTGGAGGAGATGGCGTGGAGTCCCTGACATCGTGATCTTCGGTGGTGGGGCTTGGGTACATGCTCCACTATGAAGACGTCGGGCTTGCAGCACCAGTTGTCGGCAGTCATCCACCTGAGGAACTCTGCCACCACGTCGGCATTGCCCTTCTTGCAGAAGCCCTTCCTTGACGAGGATCTTCAAGGTCACGGTGTTGGGTGGGATGCCGACGGAGGCCATATCTCCGAATAGAGCGACGGCGTCGTTGATGGATCCTTTCTTGCAAAGCCGGTCGATCGCCGTGAGCCGTACTTTCATGCCTATCTATGCCGCCGCTTCAACATGCTAGGCAACGCCTACTTGGAAGTTAGTTTCCGCTTCCTGGGCTGATCTCCTGCAGTTCAACATGCTCGCCTACGCCTGCTTGGAAACATTTGTTAGCGATAGTGGAAGACAGTCTGTTTATGTGGCCGAAGTATTATGAGAAATAAAAACCTATGAAAGGCTGGACCTTCTTTGTTAATGTTATGCACTTCACAAAGTCTTTTACTTGTGGTTGCTGTTATTTTATCTTCGTGCTGACATTCTTATCAGTGTGTCTCAAACTATGAGTTACAATCTGTCATACTCAAATGGGGTGCAAATATGAACTATCAACTCAGAATCAAGATACCAACAACAGCACTCTTAAGGGGAAAAGTCTCTGAGTACCAATAGAAGGGAGAGAAAACCTTTCTAGTGGTATCATCCAGTAATAGAAACCTTGAATATCAGAACTCAACAATCACTTAGTTGAAAAGCTTCCAGTAAAAAGACTATGAAAGAGTGTTAAATTTTCATATCAGGATAGGCTACATGTCATCATGATATGACATCCATAGGAATTTATTTCTTTTCAAAAAATATTCAACCCACATTCTGAAGGACTCGAAAAATAGTTTCAAACTTGTTGAATCATAATAAAGTTATAATAGAAATCTTTTTTTATGGTAAAATTCCAAAGCTTATATTTTGACGAGAGTAATGAAATCTTGAGACTGAGACATTACTTAAAAGCTAAATGTTTCAAGTAGTTTCCAGCATAATGGGGTACATAATCACTTATTGGATTTGAATAAAGAAAAAACAAGTATTGGTAATGATCTTCATATCTCACTAAAAACGATTTTGTTGTTGTCAAAAAGGGGAATATTGTTGGGTTATTAGACAATGTGATGACAAAGGAGTTTTGAGGTATCTTGAAAGATTGACGATGGCATGAGCCCATAAGAACATTCATTAAAATTGCAATGAGATCAGTAACTAAAGGGAAGTTCTCATCAAGCCAAAATTGTCCAAAAAGTTGAGACCTGAAAAGAAAAATAAATTTTATACATCAAATCCTTCAACAACTGCCTACATCCAACCAGTTATTAGAAAGGTTATTCTAATACGTTTATAATTGCAAATTAAAAATCAGAACCCAAAGCATTCAAATTGTTATTAATTTTCTATCTTTGTCATGTATTTTCTTGAATATTTTAATGTAAAAATAATGTGGATGCATATGCTCATAGGGTGGAAGTAACCATTGAAACAATCAGCAATCAATCTAATAATATGCATAAAATATTCTATTCCACCTAGATTGGCATTTGAATGAGATTTTGAAGCTTCTTCTCTGTCAAAGTGCATTCCAGTTACCTTAGAGTGAAATCATTAATCTCCAATATATCTAACACTTTCAATATGAAGAAATTAACATGTGCATCCAACCTCAATGACTCTAGACAAAAGTTAAAACTTTCCAACTTACTCTCCATCGATTTCAAGGATATAGAAGGTGTAAGTGTCTAATGTAAGCACTATTCAAGTCATTATTGTTCTAGGATAAGTGGAGGCCTTAAAACATAGCAAAGAGCAAGTGAGGTCTATGATTCTCTACCTCAACTAGGTAGCTAACACCAGAAATTTAGAAAGGACTGCTCGAATCCCTGATTTCCAAGAAAGTTGACTCATTTTGTAATTAGTACAGTCAAAAAGCAATAGAAGCCTCTAATTTTCTGTACTTTGGCTTGTTAAGCTTTAAAATCTGAGTCAAAAGACCACAAGAAGTATTAATTTTCTCCTACTTAACCTGATCGATAGCTATATTCATAGTTGAACGATATATCATGGTGGAACTCAAGGACAAGTGGTTGGGGAGGTGGATATAGGTCTAAGGTTAAAACACTATAAAATCAATTTTTTTGATTGTGTAGAGTACGCAGATAAATTTATGAAGCTCCTTAGGCTTTGATTACATCATGGTTGAAGGACTTTAAGTCAAACTATATTAGTTAAATTTTAGAGTGATTCCATCATTATAGGCCTTATGATCAATTCAACCCCCTCCTAGTGAAAAGCATAGTTATACTATTAGATTCAATAACATTAAGGTTTTGATGGAGAAGACCACAGAAACTTAGATCAATAAAATTATTTTGATTATTCATTATATATGAAATATGCATGAATAACTTCCTAGACATGCGGAGGAAGTTAAATTAAGTATAAATTCATTGATAATATGATGAATTTTAAACTTCTGAAATGTACTCAAGGAATATATTTGAGACTCTTTTTTTGAATTCAAAAATTATTATGAATTTATATTTAAATAATTACTCTAATTACTACTGGAAATGTAGTTAATTTAGAAATTTTCCATTGATAGAAAATAATGTTTCGCACAATAGGTCTCAAGTGAATAGTTGAAGAAAAATATTGGTATGAGTGTTTAATCAGTGTAATAAATATTTTTGATTGAAAATTATTACTTTTGGTTATTCTTGATAGAGATTTAACTCATTAAATATGAATTATGTTGAATGACCATTCCAAGCTTTCTACATATCTTTAAATATTCATTGAAAAGTGATTTTGTGGAATCAAGGTAATGATACCATGTATTGCAACCCTGATTAAACGTATCTACTATACATTGGTGTTTTATTTCAAGTTATTGGGATTTAATTATGATTCAAATTTATTAATTTATTAAGGGACGTAATTATGGTTCTATTTAAACAATAATAGATTCTAATCAATCACACCGAAACTTTAAGGTTTTGAGATATATGATAGTACTTGATAATTACATTTATTACTTTCATCGTAAAGGATTTATGATTTTTAAAAGGATGTGTCATAATGGTTTCCAGCCATTCAAATTTCTCACTAATTTCAGAAATTTAACATTGATTAGTGGCAGAAAATAGGGAAATGTTCCAAATCAAATTTGGTCTATATATTTAGCCTGTTTACAATGGTGAAAATATTTCAAACATTCGTCCTTGATTTCGCTACTATTCCAAATTCTTTCTAACCTATTTTATAGAAAAGTGCATACATATTTGAGAGATCTTTGAAGCTTTATCCAACGGTAAGAAGACACTGAGGACCAGAAATTGATTCAAACATGATCTTCCTCAACTGGATTGAAGTGTCAACAGCTTTGTCAATCAGATAGCTTCTCTACTTGCCGAGGAAAGATAGATACGATCGGATCTGAGTGAGTTGTGGGATTGCGGTCCGTTCGCTGTGCAGCTTCGAGGATGAGGTCGCTTCCAGGAGAGTTCCACCCAAAGTCAACGCACATTGTGAATCCCCCCACCGAACACGTTCATACCGCTACGGTCGGTATAGAATTGATCACAGATGTGTCGCTTCATCGATGAGGACCCTTCTAGGACACTTCTTCACAAAGTCAACGGACGCAGCGAAGTCCGAACGCTGAGCGAGAAACTTCATACAGCTGCAGCAAAAAAATAAAAGGTTCTTCTACTCGCCGCTGGAAGCACAGCTCCTCTCAATTGAGAGAAATGACGAGGGTCGCATACAGCGGAGGCGTGTCTGAGCATGTCGTCATCGAGATGGCGAACGTTTCTGGTGATACCTCGCAAAGTATGGCATCCCTCCCCACGATGCCTGATCTGCCTCCCACCGCCGACGTTAGCTCGTCCCCTGACTTTGTGGTTCGCCTGGTGGATCTGATCAAGAAGAAGCTCCCAAAACCGATCCCAGGCGTGGAAGGTCTGAGCCCTTCCATCTACAGGGTCCATCCCGACATGAGGAATGTAGAGAAGGAAGCCTACGAGTCCAAGATTTTCTCCATAGGGCCGCTCCATCGCGGGAAGGCTAGACTGCTCCCCATGGAACAGGTCAAACTTAAGTACCTGCGCGACCTCCTAAATCGGCACAAGACAACACGCTCGAGAAATACGTCAACGTAATCCGCAAGTGCTTGCCCCTCGCCGAGGCGCAGTACTCGGAGAAGATCGAGCTCTGCGATGACGAATTCGGGGAGATGCTCGTGGTCGACGGTTGCTTTATCATTGAGTCCTTGGCCAAGCGTACCTTCCGCGATAAGGAGGAAACGGCCGTCCTCGCCGGCATTAGATGGGGATTCACTCTCCTGCGGAGGGACCTGCTTCTGCTAGAGAACCAGATCCCCTTCCTCGTTCTAACGGAGCTATGGAAACAGACCAACCATTTATCCGGCGACGGGAAGAAACCTCTGGATATCGTGGAGTTGGCCCGCTGTTACCTTAAGATCGAAATGCTGCCGAAGGAGCCAAAGCCGGACAAGATACTCCATCTTCTTCACCTCTATCACTTGTGCCTGGAACCAAATAGCGCGGATGACACGTCCTGCGGGTGAGAGGCGATATACCAGCTGAAGAAATCGATCGATCTGATCTCCGTGCTTTTCTTCAGCCTGCTCTATCTGATTTTCATTCGGCGCTTGCCCCGCTGCTTCGGTCCTACCAAGAAGTCGAAGGCACCGAGAGAGATTCCCTGCGCGACGGAGCTTCGCGCGGCGGGGATCGAATTCAAGAAGAAGGTAGCCCCCCAAGGTAAGACCGCCTCCTACTTGAATGTCTCGTTCAGAGATGGGACACTAGAGATACCATTCCTGTCGGTGGACGAGACCACCAGCCCCCAGCTGCGGAATCTCATCGCCCTGGAGCAGGGCTGCGGGAACGTTGGAAATCACTTCACCAGCTACTGCCTCTTCATGGACAACATCATCAACACCGCCGGCGACGTTGCTATACTACGGAGCTGCGGCATCCTCGAGAACAAGCTCGGAGGCGACGCCGAGGTCGCCAACCTGTTCAACAGTCTCTGCAAGGGTACCCGTCTCAAGTATGAGAGGCACTACAACAAAGAGACCTTCGAGGAAATGGTGGCCTTCTCCGAATTCGCCCACAACGAATGGCGGGCGAGCCTGGTGCACAACTACTTCAGCAACCCATAGGCTATGTTCTCCGTGTTGGCTGGTTTTCTCCTCATCGCTTTGACTGCTATTCAAACGTACCTCACAGTCTTCGCCAGAAAGTAATCCCCCTCCCCTAACCGACAAGAAGCTTGGAAGAAAGGGATGGACCAGTTTCTACTATCCCAGACAGCTCCTCTACTGTCGGCGCTCAAATCTAACTCTTATGCTCCCTCACTCAAGGCTCTGACAAATTACAAGCATTAAACGCCACAAAGGCCGCTTTTGAGCCCTGATAAACACTTATAACCCTGTGTATGAAACAAATGGGGAAAATCTTCAACCAAACCGAAGGTCTTCGCATCGTAATAATCTAGCATTAAACTAGCGTTTGGAATGATGATCTTCGTAAACAAGCAGCACCAATTATGCACCCGCACCCTGAGAAAAGTTATTCCATTTGGGGGATGGGCCATTAGTTAGTATACTTTCAACAGCGACCAGCGATCCTGAGGGTAGCCCACGCCTGCAGCGCAGGGCTTGGGCACCGTGACCTTCTAGACCGTCTTCCCAAACAGCTCTCTGGCTTCACTGAGCAGCCCCCTCTCGAAGAGGAACCCCATCACCGTGCTGTAAGTGACTTCATCGGGCTGGCCTCAGAATCATCCTCGGAGACATCCCCCTGAGCAAATCTACCGCCTTGTATGTGTTGCCCAACTTGCAATATCCCCTGGCGAGAGCATTGTAGGTGATGACAATCGGCTTGATGCCCATGGGTAGTCATCTCCTCGAAGAGGCTCTGGGCGTGCTCAACCAGGTCTTCGTCGCAGAAGCCGTTAATGACGGCTGACCTTGTAGGAGCTACAGGCTGGAGCGGCCTGTTGAATGATACATCTTTCACATCCAATGATAAAAGAGAACATTTTTGTAACACAACTTTGTCAGTAGAAGTGAGAGTGAATAATTTGATTTTCCCTTCTTATTATGAGTTATAGCAATCAGCTAATTTTAAGTGCTATCATTTAACCAATGAGATCTTTAAATTTAGGATTATAGAGATGAGTTGGCAATTGGTTTGTCCCTAGAAAGGTTGTAAGTTAAGTTCAAAGTCAAAGAAAATCTGAAAAGTCTAATGTTATTCTATCCAAAAGAAGACTTGACTTTGTTACAATATGGGTGAAAGTCTCAACCTTACGGCATCCAATAGAACCAGGTTGGAGTATTCTGTGCCTCACGCGTAATGGACTGGCTCTCTTAGAGTCAACGACTTCAAGAGCATTATACTAGAGGGGGGTACGATCTGGAAAGTGGTTGAGAATCCAATAGCGAGAATAAAAATTGAGGATAATACTTCCCCCGAAGCTACTTCTGGTATTCGCATCGTAATAATCTGTTTGGTTGACGAGTCGTAGACCACCCACCTCCGAATAGATTGATAACCAGTCAGATCAATCTCGTTGTAATTCTCTATCACATGGTTACGTAGAGATCGATTCAGGCAACAGGGAGAAGTGTCGACCAAAATAAAAACTAGCCGTTGACTTTCGTTAACAGTGGGGAAGGACAGCCGTAAGACCTTGAGGGAATGATGCAGAAAAAACCTCTTTTGTTGATATTAGGGATGATACCCCGGTTGAAGACAAGTTTTTGAACGTTAAAATAAATCCGATTGGATCTCAAGCGATGATAAAATGAGTGAGTTGTGGGATTCGTCGGTTCGACGTGTTCGTCGACGGTGAACTCCTTTCTAGGAGTATTTTTTTCACAAAGTCAACGCACGTTGCGGCCAGAATAAAATGATCTTATCCTCGCTGCCAGAGGTACAACTCTCTACTGAGAAAAATGGCGAGGGTGACAGACCGTGGACAGGAGCAGGGCATGCCGCCGTCGCCATGGGGAACGTTTCTGGTGAGACCTCGCTAGAAATGGCATCCCTCCCCCAGAAGCACAATCCGGCTTCCACCTCCGACGGTAGTTGGTCTCTTCGTATGGATCCTCTGTTGGATCTGATCAACATGAAGCTCATGGAACCGATCGCCGACGACCGTCCGCGACCTTCTATCTGGAGGGTTCATCCCGACTTGAGGAAGGTAGAGGAGGAAGCCTACGAGCCCAAGCTGCTCGCCATCGGCCCGCTCCATCACGGGAAGCCCAGACTGCACCACATGAAACAGATCAAACTTACGTACCTGCGCGGCCTCCTAAATCGCCACAAAATGAACAGCCTGGAGAAATACATCGCCGTAATCCGCAGCTGCTTGCGGGACGCCGAGCTGCAGTACTCGGAGAAGATCGAGCTCTCTGACGACGAATTCGTGGAGATGCTTGTGGTCGACAGTTGCTTCATCATCGAGTACTTGGCCAGGCGGGTCTTGGACACCCCAAAGGACGCGGCCTTCCTCGCCGACGTTAAATGAGGATTCAGCCACCTGCGGAGGGACCTGCTGCTGCTAGAGAACCAGATCCCGTTCCTTGTTCTAACCGAGCTATTTAATAAGACGACGATCCCCCTCAAACGGCCCGCGAAAGGAACCTCTGAATCTTATGGAGTTGGTCCTCAAGTTCCTCAACATCGATATGCCGCCGGAGAATCGCCCCCAACCGGGCCACGTATTCCATCTTCTCCACCTTCGGCACATGTGCCTGAATCCAGGTCGCGTGAAGGAGGAACCCCATCGGCGCTCCTGCGGCGAAGTGGCGATGATCCGACTGAAGAAATCGTTCGATCTAAGCACCATACCTTTCTTCGGCTTGCTCTATCTGATCTTCTTTTCCCCCTGCTGCCGCATTTTCCGTGCCGCCGAGAAATTGAAGGCGCCGAAAATTATTCCTTCCACGACGGAGCTTCTTGAGGCGGGAATCAAATTCGAGAAGGTAGCCCCCCTAGGTCGGATGGAATGCTACTTCAAGGTTTCGTTCAAGGCGGGGACGCTGGAGATCCCTTCCCTGACAGTGGACGAGACCACCAGCGCCCTGCTGCGGAACCTCATTGCCCTGGAGCAGTGCTGTGGAGGCAACATTGGAGATCACTTCACCACCTACTCCGTCTTCATGGACAACATCATCAACACCCCCCGCGACGTCGCCATCCTAGAGAGCATGCTCGGAAGCGGCGCCGAGGTCGCCGACCTATTCAACAGTCTCTGCAAGGGCACCCATCTGAAGTACGAAAAGCACTAGAACGCCGAACTCTTCAAGGAAGTGACGGCCTTCTGCCAACTCGCCCGCCATTGAAGTGACGGCCTTCTGCCAACTCGCCCGCCACAAATGGCGGGCGAGTCTGGTGCACGACTACTTCCGCAGCCCTTGGGCTCTGGTCTCCCTGTTGGCTGGGTTTCTCCTCCTCGCTTTCACTGCTGTTCAAGCAATCTTCACAGTCCTTAGAAAGTAATGAAAGTAATTCCCCCCCCCTCCCGCCCCGAGAAGAGGCTGGGAAGAAGGGGATGCACCAGTTCAGCTATCCCTCTATCGTCGGCATTCAACTCTCACACTTAGGCTTCCTTTCGCAGTTCATCAACCTATGGAGTTGTCTATTTTGAATGAAGGGTTCGGCTAAGTATGGCCGTATACACTATACTGTAATGTAAATCAGTGTTAGTTCTTCAGCATTCATTTAATTATGGGTACATGGTATTGTGCGTAGTAAATAAATACTAGCTCGTTATGGCCCATCTACATATATATACATCTACAGTGTAGAGCGAGAGAGAGAGAGAGAGAGAGAGAGAGAGAGAGAGATGAAAAGAATCCCCAGCTGAGGTTAGGATGGGAACGAAAGATATGGGAACTTCATAGCCAGATCTCATGTCACAGATTTTCGTACAGCATGTCGTTAAAGACAGTTGCTTTACATAGTAAAAACAGCATTTTATCATTTCTATCTATGCAGAAATTTAACAAATCGAGTGAAATGTGTCAAGGCAAAATCTCCAATCCACAGAGATGGAGCCAGCTATCTGGTGGCAACTATAAATGAATCAATTTGTAAAACCTCTACACCACTAACCTTCCTCTCTGGTAAAGTATCTCATAAAATTCGATCCTTCTCGCAGAAAACACGAGAAACCAGAGCCTCGGATGAAACCCCCCAGGAGTTGCAGCTTCCCCCCATTTTAGGGTTCCTGCGGAATTACAATACGCAATAATGTTAAAATCTTAGTATGGACTACGTTAGATTGTAAACACCAAACCCCACAAGGCCCCTGCTGAGCCCTGATAACTACTTCTACCCTTGAGGTACAAAAAAAATAGACATTTCGAGCTTACCGAATGCAAAAAATAGACATTTCGAGCCCTGGAACGAACCCTAATGCTTGGCAGTATGATCTTCATAAACAGGCAGTGCCAATTATACACCAACACCCAGAGAGAAGATATTCCATTTGGGTGATGGGCAAGTAGTTAGTATACTTTCAACAGCGACCAGCGATCCTGAGAGCATCCCACGTGTTCGGCACAGGACTTGGGCATCAAGACCTTCTCCGTCATCTCCCCAAACAGCTCCCGGGCTTCACTCAGCAGCCCCCTCTCGCAGAGGAACCCCATCACTGTGCTGTAACTGACCTCATCGGGCTTGCAAGAATCATCCTCGGAGAACATCCCCTTTAGCAACTCTACCGCCTTATCAGTGTTGCCCACCTTGCAATATCCCTTGATGAGAGCATTGTATGTGATGACGTTCGGCTTGATGCCCATGGAAGTCATCTCCTCGAAGAGGGTCTGGGCGTGCTCAACCAGGCATTCGTCGCAGAAGGCATTAATCACCGTACTGTAAGAGACAACGTCCGGCTGGCAAGGGCCGCCGAGGTCTAGCATTTTCCTGAGCAGCTGCAAAGCCAGGTTAGTGTTGCCTGCCTGACAATGGCCCTTCACAATGGTGTTGTACGTGTTGGTGTTCGGGGAGATACCTGTCTCGGGCATTTCTTCAAACAGCTTGACAGCATCACCCACGGATCCATGCTCACAGAGCCCATTGATGACCGTGTTATAGGTGACCACATCTGGCTTACAGAAACTCTGGCTCTCACCCATGGAGCTAAGCAGCCTGAGGGCCACCACGAGGTCCCCCGCGCGGCAGTGGCCTTTGATGAGGGTGTTGTAGGTGGCGACGTTGGGGGAAATGTCCCTGGACTTCATTTCCTCGAACAGCCTGCTCGCGTCCGTCACCGCCCCTTCCTCACAGAGCTTGTTGATGACGGTGCTGTAGGTGAACACGTCGGGCTTGCAGCAACGGTCGTCGGCGGTCATCCACCGGAGGAACTCGGCCGCCGCGTCGGCGTTGCCCTTCTTGCAGAGGCCCTTGACGAGGATGTTGTAGGTCACGATGTTCGGAGGGACGCCAAAGGAGGCCATCTCTTCGATCAGAGCAACGGCATCGTTGATGGATCCTTCCTCGCAGAGCCGGTCGATCACCGTGGTGAAGGTAACCACGTTGGGCTTGCAGGCGCTCCCCTGTGAGCTCAAATCTCTCAGCAGTTCGATGGCAGCGTTGGTCCTCCCCTTCCGGCACAGCCCGTTGACGATGGTGTTGTGGGTGACGATGTTGGGAGAAATCCCTCTAAATTTCATCTCCTCCACCAGCGACAGAGCGCCATCAAGAGAGCCCTCCTTGCACAGCCCATCAATGACCGCACTGTACATGAACACGTCCGGCTGGCAGGGGGAAATTCCCGTCGTCATTTCTTCTAGTACCTTGAGGGCGGTACCGGCGCGGCCCATCCTGCAGAGCCCCTTCACGAGAATGGTGTATGAGAAGACGTCAGGGGGGCAACCCAGAAGGGGCATCCTCCCGAGAAGCTCTCGCGCGAGGTGGGCTCTGTTCTTCGCGCAGAGGTCGCTTATGAGGGGGTTGAACAGCGGAGGTCGCAGAAGAAGACCTCGTTTGATCGTCCCCGCCACAGCTCCCAAGCTTACCGGCGCTCGCGCGGTGTGGCGGGGGCTGAAGCTGAAGAATGCGAGGAAGATGAACCCACCGGCACCATGGCTCCTCCGCTTAATCCATCTCATACCTCTCGCCGCCGCCGGCATACACCCGCAGAGTTCGGTTGAACCAGCCCCCGGAGAAACGGCACAGCAGCAGGAGTCTCTCCTGTTCTTCCAAACCCCTCGACGGAGCTTCTCATCACAGGAAGTTTATCTGTCGCCGACAACGAGGCCCTGCCGGAGAGGGGTACAGGTGCCGCCGACGGCGAGGCCCTGGCGGAGAGGAGTTTTAGGTGTCGCCGACGGCGAGGCCCAAACGGAGAGGGGTTTTAGGTGTCACGGACGGCGAGGCCCTGAGAGGGTTTTAGGGCTCAGAACGGGGTGAGAGAGGTGTGACATCAGCCATTAAAAAGGTCTTCATTTTTTAACTAGAGCTGATTTAGGACATGGAAACCTGGAAGATCATGAGAGAATTTTACGGATTTGATCTTCAAAGGTTACCATTTTTAAGATTAAGTAGTTAGAAGCTTACCACCGTCCGTAAGGAAAATGATTTTCTCAATTATTTCATTATTTATGATTTTGATGCTAATAAATACAGTTATTGAAATAGACATACAAGTTTTATTAGGATAGTTATTTGAATATCTCATGAAAATAAAAGGACTTTGTAATTTAAAAATATAATGAAAATAGTTTCAAATTTTAATAGAGATAAAATAAAAGGACTTTTTAATAGATATAAAATTTTATAAATACCATACAAAACGTATTGTTTGTATATGGACTACTAATTAAGGAATAAATCTTCTAGCATAGTTAAGAGGAGAAAATGTAGAATTAGAATTAAACATAATGAGAAGCTAACTTGGCTTTGGATGTTTTATTTTCATATTAGTGTTTGGCTTTGAGAAATCACTAAGTAAATCGGTGAAATTACCCCATTAAAAACATGTCAAAGTAGTCAATTAAGGAGATATTATATTCTACAATTCCAAGAGTTTACACTTTCTGAAAATTCAAATGCCTTTTCAATCCAAATCAACTCTCATATTTTTGGAGTTCTCTATTCACTTGAAAACAAAACTGACTTATTTCTGAAATTGATTTAAACATTGATAAATTACTTGATGTCTACAATGCCAAATCTTGATGACATCAATGAAAATTAAACTCTTTCATTGCAGAAATGCCCATTACATTTGAAACGGATTTGAAACTTTATGAACTCTACAACAAATCAAGAATTAGGCCTGAAATATATGGATTAGTTATCTCATAAATTATGAGGTTTTCCTCCTACCTTCTGGTTGATATAGATGTCATGGAATATTAATATTTTGAGGTTAGAAGAAAATTTATAAATCACACACATCACTGAAAACATTACTACTCTGAAACTATCTTTTAAAATTGTACAAAACTTGAAAACATAAGAGTGTCTTTCAGATTATTTATATTATTCTTTCAAGAAAATTCACGATAGTACTGATAAGACTACTTGATTTAAGATTATAATGTTTATAATTGAAATGTTTTTATCATTTCATACATAATCTTTTGTCCCAATTGAAATGTGAAGATCATTATGTTGGAATAATCAAACATAAGAGTGTCCCAATTCTGCCTATTTGTCATACTTACATCAAACTTTTCTACATGTTAGTAGATGTGTCAAAATCACATGCATTGTGATAAAACCACTTAGTACCCTCTCACTAAGGATATTGAACTTTTTATATTATTTCACACATCATCTATCCATTTCTAGTCTTAGAGGAAACTACCCTCAAGTATTAAATTACTTTTCTCAAAAATACATACTAACTTTCACAAAATTAATTGTCCACCTCACATAAATTTGCCTCCTCAAAGACAGCCTATCTTGGGTCAAATATGATTACCAACACCTCATGTCTTTGACTAATACATTTTTCCCCCACCACCCAATTACCTTAGGGTATATGAAGAGCAATGGTGGTGGTGAATGAGTTGATTATTCTCTGAATTGAGTTCATGAAGAGAATGAAGTTTTCTCATTCATTGTTGATGCATATGATTCAAAGAGAATGATGATGAGCACTGAATCTTTATGTTTTTCGATCAGTTTTTAATTTAGAACTATTTTCTTATAAGTAAACCTTCACCTTCTTTTGGTTTTCTTGTTTTATCAAAGCTTCAATATTCACAATCTTATCCAAAAACATGACAGTTTTTGGAACATGTGATAATGAAGTTCAGACCTTTCAAAACCTTCAAATCTCATATTATCGTGGCTATTTTTGTTCAAGTTTAAATAAAAACTTCTTTAATTAATGGAGAACATTTGGATTGAAGTCTACATTGGATTCAAATCATCAAACTTTTCTTTCATTTTTGCCAATGTAAGCAACTTATGTGTCACCATTGGGTTGCTCTCTTCAAAACTCCAATAGAGAGCTTTTCTAACATTATATCAAAATGATAAATACTGTATAATATGAGTAAATCAGCACATAATCAAAGATGAAATAGTCAACAAGACGTGTTAACTTATAGCAAATAACCTTATACTTAACCTTTAATTTGTAGATGTTCCTTCAATTAATAATCTTTTACCTTGAATAGTCCTAAGATAGAAAACCACAATCTCAAAAAGTAAAGTCATTGATTTGATCATTAATAATAATATAAAAAATATTTAATAAAAAACGATATAATGACTTTTTGAATATATTAAATATTTGAAACATATAAGTGACGCATAAAGTAATAATATTATATAATTATTAATCAATAAAGTTTATTCATAGTGATCAAAACAATAGACATCAACACATAAGTCATAGGTTCCTAACTAATTTTGATGCTTACAAAATAGAGAAGAAGAAAATATTAAAATTTAGAAGAATTATATATATATGATAAAAATTATGATTATTAAGAAAATTATTAAAACTGAGAAAATAAAGTCGATATAAAATGGACACCTTATATCATGAAATGGTTAGAGATACTTTGAAAATTGTAATACTTTACAGAGCATGTCATATCGAATTTAAGAGAGAAATTTTCACTTCTCACTTGAGTTTCACTTGCCAATTTTAAGGTCAATTAACTTGAATATCTACATGGGTTGACTTGCCAGACCTAAATTTAGGAGTGGTGAGTCTCCTAAATTGCTAATTTGTTTTATTAAGTCACCCACATCGATTCACCTAGATCAACTCATGGGTCAACATTTTTGAGACTTGATTTATGTCCTTTTAATGACTTTTCTTTCAAAAATATTTTCATTTGTTTAAAATTAAATTTCTTTTCATTTGAATATCGTCCACTATGATACACCTAAAAATTTATGTCAATCAAAATGTATCATATGAAATAATTTAAATATTTATTCAATCATTAGAGTGACAACAAGATATTTATGATAAAAGTTGAAGCTTATAGTAAACAAGCCCATATACTTAACAGCTTTTGAAAGAAAAATGTGCACATTGGATGAAAAATGAAATGAAATATTTTATTTAATGATGTTACCAAATTGATACCACCCACATCAAATTTAAATGTAATTTAACAAAATCTTGATGGTGGATTACAATGCTCATTCAAGAAGATCCCTTTGTAACTTTCAAAAGTAAAGCATTGTTTTGAAAACATGCTGATTATAGGGCATCTTTTTCCATGGTCCATGTTTTGCTCTATCCACATTATTTTAATTTTTTTCTTAATATACACCCACAACCATATATATAAACTTCTCAATAAACTGCTCTATCCACGTTTCTTATTAGTCACCCACAACCATTTATATAAACTGCTCTATACATATTACTTTATTGTTTTTCTTACTATACACCCACAACCATATATAAACTAATCATTATTATTTTTTTCTCTCCCTCCCACCCAACATGTTTCATTTTTCTATGGTTTATGTTGTACATTAATACCATGGGCATTTCATAGACAAGTAGATGAATAACTCAAACAGATTTTAGTTAAAAAATATAATTTTGAGAGATAATTTATATCCTTGACATTTCTCTAATTTAGGAGCACAATTATTATAGTTACTTTTCTGATTTGAATAGAATAGTAAATAATAAAGTTTGTTTTGTTTTAATCTAAGTTGAAGCCTAATATGCATATATTTAAATTTCTCCATAATAATATTAAATTTTAGTCTAAAATAGTGATGGCATGGGCATGTTTGAGATCTAAAAATTCACAAAAAATTCAATTTTTCTATCTTAATTTCCTGGTTGTTTTAAATTGTAAAATAAACTATGTTATGTGTCACCAATTTTAAGTACACTTATGGTCATCTTCAAACCTTCTACATAGTGGATACTTCTCTTTCCTCATAACATTTGGTTACTTACTATATCATCAGTATCAACATCTAGAAGATTAAATTGGCTTCCTTAGGTGATTTTATTACGAAAAAATCTTAAGCATTTGTTTGTGGTAATAACGTTCATGATTGAAGCTCCATTACATTTTTTGAGAAATAAGCAAAATCCAATTCCTGTAAGGGATTTAGCAAGGATTTTTAAAGAGAAGATTGCATGTTGTATTGTTATGAGCTTGTAATCCCCTTTAGAATTCCCAAAGCTCTTATATCTTTTCTTTGTAGTTGTTTTGTAATATTTTCTGATTTCTTGTTTTCTATGCATAGGACAATTGCATTTTAATCTTCATTACTCATTTATGGTATCCTAGGAAAAAGAGTATATCTTTAATAAGATGTCAAGACTATCAATGAGTCCTTGATTGATTAATAGTTTAGCGGTCCAAAGTCCATCTTCATAAACTTGAGTGGAGCCTCATAATTAGCCATTAAATGATTTTTCCAACATAGCTAAGGAACCTTGAAGTAAAGAATTTCTATTCATAATATGATGAAACTTCTAACTAGTAAAACTAGGTCATTACTCGAGGAAATTGTATAATCTGGTAAAATAACATAGTCAATAAGTGGCCACTTGATGGTTCAAAATGAGTTGATTTGGCTACAAAATTTTTGATATAGATACCAAATCTCTCAATATGCTTGATATTTAAAGGTAAAAACTCTTAAGAAAACCAACCTAGTTGAATAAGCCGTGGAACCCAAATGGCAGAGCTCTATGGCATATCAGCCCAAGATTAAGAGAAGCCCTATCACTCACACACTTTGCATACCACATTCCAAAATTGGGATAGCTTATTACTAGATCCTCATGGTCAATGAACTGTTCATCTAATTAGCCACCATTTATGTGAGATGTTCCTAAAAATGTATATCAATGGAGAATTTTACTAGTACAAAACATGAAGAACCTTTACAAATATAAAGTAGATGCAAAATCATTTATTTTAGGATAGACCTAGTTACTATCAAAAAAATTATATGCAACATTGTAGATCATGGACACTATGCTTTTAGGAATGGTAGCCTAGAAATCAGGGCTTAGGATAAACCTCAAAGAAGAGATAATGTCATGTTGTGCAAGCTTGCCTACTCGTCTATGCACACACTGGTGTTGGGTACCACGCACTTGGCATTCTCACGTCAAGTATGAGATATACCTTGTCCCATTCACAAAAGATGACGAGAGGGTCCTCGTTGCATCCATACTTGTCATAAAGTTGCAAGGTTGAAATCATCTTTTAACCCCCCTATGCTACTTGAGCTCTTCTTATCCCCAAGATGAAACCTAACCATATTTCATATATGAGGAAGATATTGAGGCAATATGGAAGATAATTACTTAGGCCCTAACAAAAAATCCATCCCTAATATGTGTTTGAAGTCATCAATGGGCAAAACCATGAAGTGCACCATCAATGGACATAGCAAACCACCTCTAACCCACAGCAATGTCTCACATGGCATCCCAATCAATGGACACACCTTCAAGCATATGTCATTGATGTGATGGTCTCATTTGAATAGTGACAACCTCAATCATGTAACCTCCTAGTCTAATAAATTGTGGTTATCTTCACTATTCACCAAAGCAAAGGTTAATAACAAGTTGTGGCTTGCCATTCATAGTGACCTCCAAGAAGATGAGCCATCATAATGTAGCCCAAAATACAGCATAGCAAGTGAAGCTTACACTAGAATCCCAATTGCTTCGGAGTTAAGCCAGAAAGAAGAGGGAGCTAAAAGATGACCTGAAATCTTATTAGGGCCCACTAAAGAGTGAGAAGACTAATTCAAACCCAGTTTGTTGTTTAGTTTATTTTTTTATTTTTCAGTTTTTTATTTCTATTTTGTGTTTTTTAAAATATATTTTGATTATATTTCATAATCTATTTTCTTTTTCAGAGCTTGTATCCTTCTAAAGACATCCATCCTCCTTTTTAAGCCTATATAAAGGCCCTAATTATAATCAAAGAAAAAGAAAAGTAATAGGAGTTTTTCTTTCTTATGAGATTATCCCTCCTCTCCTTGTAGATTCAAGGGTTATCCTTGATTTTTGAATTTAAGATCACCTTCTTGTAGATTCAAGGGTTCAAATATTTAATTATGTTGATTCATAACATGATTCCTTCTTTAAGGTTCATACTTTGTTGGTTTAAGCCTAGATCTTGGTATTATATAAAAATTGATGTTGTGTCACATCATCCATCTATTGCCATTAACTCAATGCATTATTGTAGTGTTGCCAATGTTTGAAAGGAGTTCAACATAGGAAAACCACTCTTAACTATTGATGTCCTTTGCTCAGCCAAACCACTTAACACATACTTTGTCCACTTAATTTGAGCATTCCTTCACACAATAGATACATTTGAAGATGAATCATCCCATCTTAGGAGGGGCCCTAGATTGTCCAATTCCTCTTTGTGTGACTACATAAATTAGTTTCTTCTTCAAGATGTGTGCTTTAAGGATTTAAGGCTAAATCTTTCTCCCATTTGCATCAATGCTATGTCATATCACCCAATGATCCCTATTGGCTTAATGTATTGTTATAGTGTTGCCAACAATTGAATGGGCTTTAGTATAGAAAGATAGTTATCAACTACAACTGTCTCTTGTTTGGCCAAGTCACCAATCATGTGCTTTCTCCACTCAATTTGGATATTCTGATCGTCCAATCAGTGCCTTTGTAGATGAATCATTCCTTCTTTAGAGGGTCCCTAAATGCTCCATTCCCTCAATACCCACTACAATTGCACTCCACGTAGACCCTTCTACCCATGTAGTCTTCCTTACTGCCCATTGTGATTGCCCTTGTGTCCCCCACTGTTGCCTCTCTTCTTACCTCATCTCTTGTGTGAAACCTTAGTAGAATGTGATTAATAGTCCCCCAATGCTTTGGCTGCCACCATATCTGATAGTACGTCCCCCATTCCTGGGCATGATAACTTTGCATGTGATCAAGCTTTGAGACCAACCACAAAGTTAAACAACTTGTCTTTGTTGAACATATTATGTATGTTAAAGAATAATTAAGCAAAGCACTCCACGTACTCTTCCATTGTGCCTACATGATGAAGTTTTCAAAGTGCATGTTGGCCATCCTTACAATGTTTATGGAGAGTAACTACACCTTCAACTGCTTTATGGACTTGTTCCATAAATCACTAGGAGTTCTTATTAAATTTTCCATGTAGGTTCTATTGGATTAAATAATTTTTATGTTAATAAATTGAAAACATAAATTTATGTATAAAAAAACTTCATAAACTATGTTGAACTGTACGAATATCTAAGTAAAGATTTTTTTATTTACATGTTTTATAAAATATATTTTATAGGCCCTAAATAAACAATTACCTCAAAAATCATGTTTGTAGTGCTGATTAAAACCAGATCAAAACATATCATTTTGGAACAGAATTAGAGAAGTGAGAAAATGAGCCCAAAAATATGTCAATTCATTCTCCCATCCACCATAACAAATCTAAGATAATTACTTCAAAACACATCATTTATATAAAAGTGTGCTCAATTAACACCTCAATTTGAGACAATCTCATCTATTTGATCATTTATATCCTTAACGAAAAAGTTTACTACAAGCTGTTACATGCTCAAGGCTCTTCTGCTGAACTCATCTACATCATCAAATAAGCTTCTATTGCAACATATTATGTCTTAGGAAGTGGTTACAACTTATTATCATACCTGAAGGCACTTTGGAAGGAATTGTAACATGGGTAGATAGGTCAACTAGTGCCTTTGTGTTTAATGTGAGGTGATGGTCACATAAACACTATCATGTAAAAGGGAAATGCTGATCTACTGAAGTAGTAACCCCCTAGAAAGTGGACATAGGCTTAAAACATGTTAGAACTTAGTGTGTTGAGCTAAAGAAATAGTGTGTCAACCCACTAAACAATTATGTAGACTCAAAGGATTTAAAACATGTTAGAACTTAGTGTGTTGACCTCAGGCAAGAGTGTCAATCCTGCCCAGCCCTCCAAGTATACCTTCTTGAAGTGGAGAGAAAGAGAGAGAGAGAGAGAGAGAGAGAGAGAGAGAGAGAAACGGATCTGGAGAGACCACTGGGGAAATCAGAATGTGTGTTTACGAGAGACAGCAGGATCAGCCAAATGGCAGAAGATATGGGGACCTGAACTTTGGAGCTGCACCCCATTGAAGCTTGGATCTGCTTGGGAGGGAGAGTTGAGGCCCATTTTTCTTACTGACCAAGATTTTGAGACTCACTCCATATATAAAAGAATAAAATTTAATCCACAACATAACATCATCAGTGGTCGCATAAAACATAGATCAATGCTTCATGAGTTCTCCCATTCAGGGCTAAGAATGGATCCAACACCACTTATACAAGCTGAAGATGATTTCAGCGAAGATTACATCCGCAGCTATCTTGCAGAAATCATCTTCATGCTCTGACTCTCCCTCCACCCCTCCACCCCTCCACTAAGGATCGTCATCATCTACCAAGGTTAATGTCAATAATAAAATGAGGTTTAGATAAACAACTGGAGATAATCATAATACTAAAAGAAGGAGAGCCAATGTGCAAGTCTAACAAAACATAGAAGAGGGATTGCCAAGAAAGAAACGGCATCCGTCATTTGGGTGAATAAGCTAGAGGAACATCCATGAACGACCAGAATCTTTGCAAGATGGTTGCATCAGAAACATAGAATGTGGAAGTATGAGGCAAATTTTCCGTTCATAGGATGATGAACAAAGTTTATAATCCATCACAACGAAATGAGTCAGAGGCTGATTAGAAACTGTCTGGTTTTGTACATCTACCTGTTTTCGTCTCCACAAGATGTTCAAACTCCTTCTGGACCGGTGGGAAGGGGTTGATAGCCATTCCCATCACCGAGTGAACGATTTCCTCGTTCAACCGGGATGCATTTTAGGATAACTGCGGCGATCATACTTACAGATCCGATAAGAACGCTAACTAACCATAATTGCCAACTCAAAGGTACTGTGCTTGCCAGAGTGCCCAGAAATTCCACTATTATCACTTGAAATACAACTGTGGAAGAAATAATAGCCACAAACATCCAGCTGCGGAAGATTCCGGGGAAAACGTTAATGCTTTCCATTTCGAGACTATTTATTTCGTTAAAGACCTGGTGGATGTGATCACAAGGTGAGAAGACATTAGTGAGACAATGAATCAAAAGAAGGAAATAAAAGAATAAATACAGTAAATGAATGAATGAAAATTTGACTACCACGAATTATAATAAAAACAAATCTTAGTAGCTCATTGATGTGACCCAGATTTTGGAATGGAGAGAGGACGAGGATGGAATAAAGAGAAATTACTAGTCAAAAGTATCGTAAAAAGCACTCCCTTCATCGCAATCCTGTCTCTTTTATATCAGAAGAGAAAGAGGCCTACTCGAACTGACTCTTAACTCACTTGCCTCTTAATGGACAGCTTGAAATGTTGACCCTCCACTATATAGATAACTGCTAGTACAAACCATTACTAAAATGTTATTCTCTTCTAAAATAAAATAAATTAGGACAGCTAAGCATATAACTTAGATAAAATTTCTTCAACCATCTGGCTGCATCACTCACTGCTAGATGAACCAAGACAATAGAATAACCAAGCAATGAAGAATCTTCAAGGGTGAACTTCATCTTCATCTAGAGCTAGCAGTCGGATCCTGTTATTGGATTAGCTTGTAACCAAAGGTTAACCACAGGAATTGGTTCAAGGAATGTGGACTGATATTTTCCCTATACGAGGTATGTGCACCATCTTCTAGGGAAGAAAACAAGGGAGCAGAGAGAGCATGCAGCCAGGAAAGGAAATTACTGTTATCTCCCAAACAGTTCATCTTATACTGATGATATCAGATCTCCCATGTTGCAATACTGGAGTCCTCTGTATTCTCCTTTTCTGCTTTACCATGGTGGAATTTTCTGTTTCTCGCAGGACTAGCACACTGAAAGTCAGACAATATAACCTCCCTCACTTTTTTCTGGTTATCAGGCCACCAAGTTTACAGTCTGGCCATAACTCAATACGTCATGCAAATCAGGTGCACAATACCCACACCCCAAACTGATATTTTTCATTTACTCACATCTCTAATAATGTACCTAAAAATTTGTTTTTCTTCCTCCATATGATCCTTCCAAGGGGCATGCCAATTGAAAGAGCTGATTCATTGCATACAATAAATCCTGAAGAAAGATTAATCAGTATGCTGCATTTTTCCATTGAGTCCGTCAGGGATGTTGATTGTCGATCTCCTTCAACTCATTAAGATAACTCTAAGACTATTTATATGACACTTGTTGGGGCAACAAATTCCTCAGTGAATTAAAGCCTCTAGATCCCGCTTACAGCAATATGGTTTGTCATCAAAGCAAAAGTATGAGCTTAGGATCTCAGTCAACCATGAAAGCTTAGTTTTGGACTATAGAGCACGGGTAACTCACCTGGTATCTGTACATGGTTTCAAGTAGCCACCGGAGATACCCTAGTGAGATTAGCTAATTTCCTTCCAGATATACCTTTCGTAAGAAATTATTTAAGTACATAAGAGACCAGACCCCGTCAGTCCCCCTGAATTGAATCAGACTATCCCCAGACCAATAATAAAATAAATAAGTGGCTAGTCAACAGTCAACATGACCACAAAAAAAGGAACTACGGAGTTAAAGAGAGAATATTAACGCGAAAATACACATTAACCATGAGCATTTACCCAAAAGTTTACCTGGCAAAACACAAAGGTATTGAATATGAATGTGTTCAGAATAGAACTTGCATCTGAACCACTTATATTAAGCAGTCGCTTCCCATCAAACATTAAAACTCCAAGAACAACTAGCTGGTACACAACCTGGCCCAATATGTTTCTCCACATAATCTTCGTAATAAAATCTGCACCTCGTTTAACTGGTGGTTTTCTCATCATTTCTTCGTTTGGCGGCTCTGTTGCCAGTGCCAAAGCACCCAGAGTATCCATAATCATGTTGACCCACAAAAGCTGAACAGCTGTGAGAGGAGTAGTTCCTGGAGTTTATAAAAATTACCATTAGAAACAAAGTCACCATACAAAAAAATGACACTACGTACAAGCCATTTGTTACCGTTACCTGTTACACATGCTGAGACAAAATTGAGAATCAATGCAACTATGTTAACAGTAAGCTGGAACTGCACAAATTTTTGGATGTTTCTGTAAACTGCACGACCCCATTTAGCTACATTGATTATTGTTGTAAAATTGTCATCCATGACGATTACGTCAGCATTTTCTTTAGCTACCTGCAAAATAATTCGAACTATAAGAGTGAAACAAACTGAAGAGAAATACTATCCAAATGTGAGACCAGGTTCGAGAGAGAAGAATAGAAAATCAAATATATAAAAGAAAGCAAGTTCCATTACACGAACATGAAATTTAATTAATAATAATACTGAAGAGAACATCATACCCCATAAGAGGTCAATGTTTCTTCCCAACGAGAATATTAAGTTGCTTAAACATATAATATATTCAGAAGCAGATAAAAGAGTGTAAACATCAACGCGAGAAAGACTCATTAAGGCAGCTCACATAAAGTTTTGTTTATTTGAGGCACTATGGGGAAGTTTTATGAAAGTTATTTCAGCTGTTTGGCACTAGTCCAGATAAATGGCCCGTCTCATTTCTTCAATGAATATGAAATGACCATAATTCGGATTTGTATCCTAGTATAACCTCCTCAACATGACCCAGTCAACCATATGACCGATCCAGGGGCATTTTAATTTTGGTGTGGGGTATGATAACATTAACAATATGTATTATCTTTTCAGTTCACTGAAAGTTTACATTGGTGTTCATCTCACCCAAAGCATTATCCCGAACAAACAGAAATATTATACATTTATTTTGTTAGACGAGACTGTAGGATATCAAAATCAATTTCAAGAGAGTACCCTTTTCAGTTTATAAGGATTCAGCTAATATGGTAGTGTGATTGGAATACAGTTATTTCCCATTTTTTACTTTAAAATTTGAGTAGATTTTATGCGTCCTTACTTCCAGCTTGAAAAAATAGTCTAGAATGTAAAGGGTAAAACATTCCCTGTTCAAGCAATGTGGAAGGAGTTCTTGATGAATGGTTTCTTATGTATGCCATTTATGATTTGCTGGGTCTCACTTAATCCATTCAACGAAGCATTTTAATGCACAAACTTGTGTCATACAGTTATTTTCAACAGATTTCTAGCAGCTTTACCAAAAGCTCAGACGATACTTCCTGATGAAACCGTTTACAAAGGCCTGTCCAAATGTTATAACTGTCATGCTGCAACCAACCGGCTGAGATAAAACACGATACCACAGAAACCAGCAGCTAGGAGTAGCCTACTGGCTAGCCATAGTCCCAATTAACGCAAAGGGCAAAGTGCAGCTAGTGATCTGATGCGCTCAGACAGGCCCTTCTGCAACCATACACATTCCAATTACATACAAAGAAACAAGATAGGATGAGGCAGAAATGATTCAGGAATATGTCCAAAACCGTTGGTGCTCATATTGATACTTTTTTTCCAGCCCTCTTAAACTCTTGTTACTTTAAATGTTATGTTTAATTGCGTAGTATACGTTCAGGAGTAAAATTTCCAAGAGGACTGATATTTAATAAATTTATGTGAAAACCCTGGCATCAGTGAGGTTTGCTTGACGATGGGTTGAGGTCAATGGCTGACAAGGAAGTGAAGCGCACACAGAAAGAGTAAAGGAATAATGGAAGATTGATAGAATATAACAAGAAACCATAATGAAAAGGCCCATAATATGAACGAATTCATTCCACATCTGGATGAGCGACCAAGGAAGCCTATTAAAGAAAAGGACTGAACAGGCAACAGACTGATGAATATCCCTGCATACATTGTACATCTTTTGATATCTACAAGGCTTCCATAAGAGCATTATTATGGCTTGATATGTAACTATTGTCTCCCATGGACATAAAATGCAGAAGTTACGACTCTGATATTATGCTTTATTGAGCTCCACATTTGATTCAGATGATCAAATACTATGAAAAGTGTTACAACTTTCTTGTTCTGATGTCACCTTCTCACAAGGTATTAACCATGACCAGGAATTTTTCCACACACATAACCTCCAATGATGGCCCAAATGCACCAATGTGTTCCAAAGACTTAAGATCCACAATCTCAAATGTCGTTAGGGCATTGAGATTCACACTAAAACCACGAGAAATGCTCCCTAGAGAAGGGATCAATGCTTGAATTCAAATCAAGAAAGTCATTGTCATTAACAGTAGATTTTAAATATTCCTCCCCAATTGCAATTTCTCCCTAGAAAAGGATTCAAAGGTCCAGCACCCTCCATCAACTCAAGTAGCAGTGCTTAGCTTGCCCTTGTGCCCATCATCATTGTGCAGAGCAGCCCCACTGGATGCGAGGCTCTTTTCTACAAGTCCATCAAATATATCATACACCACAACGCCAAAGCACTGTGAAACCTTCAAAGCTGCCCCAATCTTTGTGGTAATGCCCTCACAGGCTCTCACTTCATATTACGTTCACCAATAAGGCTTACAGACCGTGGCATACCCTTTTGCATCACACCTTGCATGGGAATAGCCCTGACCCAGCTTTCATTTGTCCTGCGCATGCCTCTTGAGGTAACACATCCAGCCCCTACCGGGCATCCTATTAGAAGGTTTGTTCACCAAACTTTCCCATCTTGGCCATATCTGGTAGTGCAGAAGCATTCCTACTACGGGAGGGCATCTCAGATAGCCAGATGGAGTGTTTTAATCCAGCCCAAAGTAACTATTTTTTATTCCAAGAATTCAGTCCATTCCTCAGAATCATGGTCAATGTTTTATTTTTCAGCATTTATCGGCAAGTAGTCAGTCTACTGTTGTCCTTGTGAAAACACTGGAGTCCTCAGAAGTTTGGAGCTTCACAAGGATAAAAAACAGCATGGCGTATGCACTGGCTAGCACTAATTTACAATAGTTTTTTGACGGTCCTCGAGGTATCATTAAATATTACCGGGGCATCACCAAGGGAAAAGGCTTCCTAGGAGTACAGTGATTGGTTGCATACAAGAACAAAACATAGAAGGTACTTAAGACACATTATACAGAGAAATGACCTTTTGGATTGATAGAAATATCATTGGAAAATATAAAGAATATCATGCTTTTCCTTGGCATATACAACAAGGCAGTATAAGAGGGGATGCTGCCTTTATAACAATGCAAATATGCTTAAAATTCAGCATAAAACGAAAAATATTGGTACATTTTATTAAAATTTATTATTCAATGTAAGCTGATCAAACATCAACAACATATTTTATTTCACAAGAAAAAAATATATCTTCACCTTCGAAGTCCGCCAATATTGATATCAAAGAGGCTAGAAAAAATCTAATGTGAAATATAATCATGTACTCAAGAAACCAGTACAATCAAATTTCGGTATTGATGTCAAAAATGTTTCTTTATCAGTGAAGACATCACCACCGTGAAAATGTAGTTCTGACAGCAATCATGATGAATGTGGAGAGAACTCTGGACGACACTTACAAACATAAAAATGACTATCATTGTTATCGCATGTATTGTTCAAAGACGTTGTTGGATCCTATTAAAACAGACAGTGGCGTAATGAGGAATTATGAAATTTCCTATTAGTTTGGAAAATCATGCATAATTTTTGTATCATGCACTTTTACCAAAAATGGTAATAAAGTTCAGTAAAGCCTTACTAAACCCAATCATGACCAATCAAGTTTTTATTTTGTTGTCACACACCTATGAAAAATGACTCCTTTTCAACCATGAAGATCATAGGCGATGAGTGAAGATCATTTTCAGAGTTCACACGAAATGAAGAAAAATGAGAGCAAAGGATATATCACTGGAGAGGGAAAAAGCGCCTAATGTAAGACTTGGGATCCAAAGGATCTGAAAAACAAAACTTGGCTACATGGAGGACGAAACTGCTGGATTTTGTATCATTACAATTACTACAACAGAGGATTAGAAAATGATGTTGAGGGAGGGAGTAAGAAAAGACATGCAAATTTTACTTGAGTAAATGTTTACATAAAACAGGGCATAGCCTGCATATACCAATTGACTATCGAGATTCATGAGTCATTATATCATAACTTTGTTCAGTAATCTATTAAGCAAGTGAAAAGAGGTGTCACCTACTACCATGAGGGAGACTATGAAAAGCACAGAGATTGCAAAGAAACAAGCAAAATATGCTGAATTAGTCAAAGTTGCTGAAAAGACTAAATAAAAGAAATGAGGTTAAGATGAATCATAAACTAAGTTCAAAATCCACAGACTCGGATTGGGTAAGCATTGATTTTGATCAGGATGAGAGTTATCCAATCTCCAGCATCATGCCCCCCCATTTTGGATTTTTTTGCTTCACCAAAGGTGTACATCTTACTTTAAACGGTCATGACAAGTGAAGCATTGAAGCAGGTTCAGTTAGAACAAAAACGTTAGGGAGTACAAGCTATGTATGACTAAAATCGTCTATCCCTGTGAAATCCATAGATTCCTTTCTCAGATTAAAGTGTCATAGGCTATCTTCTAGAACAAGAAGCTATAATGCATCGAATTCAGGGAAAAAATAGACACTACAAACCATGATTAACCGTTTAGCACTAAATACCATTCTGCATACTACATATGCAAAATGCAACATCTATGATGTTAATAAGCATAAACCAGGATTTACATCCTGATTTTTTTGAATTGTTGAGGAAAAAAATTGGCATGGACTTGTTTAAAACTTCCAAATTTTATACACTGCCATGAGGAAATGGAATCGCCTAAAATTCATCTACCTTTCTCCAAATAGCAGATATCACTTCCAGAGAATAACCCCCTAAGAATTTTCCCATAGGTCATCCACATAACTTCCAAAGCAAAATAGGATTATTTAGAAGGAATTTCTAATCAATACGCATACTGTAGAGAAGCGCACCTCAGTTCCTGTACCCATAGCCAGCCCAATGTCTGCTTCATGCAATGCAGGTGCATCGTTCGTTCCATCTCCTGTCACAGCTACAACTTCCCCATACATTTTCCTTAAATGATTGACTAGCAAATGCTTGTCTGTAGGTGAAGAACGTGCCATGACCTGAAGCAGATACAGAATTAATTGTTTAGACTCACAGGTTCATTGTTACCAGGTATGCAGAGTAGTAGAATGCAACCTGAATTTTAGGAATCAGCTCTTCCATGTCCGCAGCGCTCTTTTCACGAAAAACTGGACCTTCTATAGCCAAACCGCCATCCGTTAGGATGCCACATTCTTTAGCAATAGCCTTTGCAGTATTAATATTGTCTCCAGTCACCATCCTCACAGTAATACCAGCAGAAATGCAAGTTTCAACGGCTTCCTTCACACCAGGCCGTACTGGATCTTTAATGCCAAAAACTGCCACCAAGGTATATCCATTAGCAGGAATATCATCATCTTTAGTGGTTCTTTCTATGTCCTTGAAGGCTATGCATAGCGTCCTCAGAGCTCCACAAGCAAAACTATTAACAACGTCCATTATTTCATTGGCTTTGTTTTCTGACAAAGGCACACAATTGCCGGCATTATCAGCAAACCTGTCACACATTTGCAAGACAGTTTCAGATGCACCTTTGCAGAATGCTCGAAAACCTCCCTCTTTCAGAGACACAAGGACAAACATCTTTTTCTTAACTGAATTGAAGGGCTCAACCTTGATAATCTCACATCCCTGGAATCGTGCATCGAAGTCACCACCCAAATTCAAGGCAAATTCCATCAACGCTTTCTCAGTAGGAGAACCTAAAATGGTCATTTTACCTTCTTTGCTTCTACATACCTCTGAAGAAGTGTTTTGAAATATGCACTGGATAAGAATATTCAAAACAGTTTCAGACATCACAGAACTCAAATCTTTACAAACATCCATTGAAGACTTTATTACGTCACAAATCCATATTTTATTTACTACCATGTGATTAGTAGTTAGGGTTCCAGTTTTATCAGTGCATATACTACTAGCAGATCCCATTGTCTCACATGCAGAAAGATGGCGCACAAGAGCCTTGTCATTCATTAATTTTTTCATTGCAAATGCAAGGCTGAGTGTCACAGCCAAAGGCAAACCTTCAGGAACAGCAACAACTATTATCGTCACTGAAATGGAAAAATAATTTAGTATTGACAGAGCATCATTGAATGACCAGTGTAAGATACCACCGTGAACTGCTTTTCCTATAAGAAATCTAGCCAACAGGACTAAAAATGTCAAAATGGCAAAACCCAGACCAATTTTCCCAATAATGGTCGCAACGCCATTCAACTTAACTTGCAAAGGGGTCTCATCTTCCCCTCCCTGATTCAAAGTTTCAGTTAGTCTTCCCCATTCAGTCTTCATACCAACAGATGTCACCAACATCTTGGCAGATCCATCCTGTACTTTGGTCCCTGCCAGTAGAAATGGTTTCTCTGTAGATACATTCACAGGCTCACTCTCACCAGTCAAGCTTGATTCATCTACTGACAGACTGTAACCAGATATAAATAGCCCATCAGCTGGTACTTGATCTCCTATTGATAGATGAACAACGTCCCCAACAACCAAGTCATGAATGAAGATTGTCTGTCGGTAACCATCTCGTGTAACCTGAACAAGAATCTTCTTCTTTTCGTTGTCTAAATCTCTAAATTGCAATGATTGTTTATAGTCACTGACGGCAGTAACTATGATAACCAAGAGAATACAAAGTACGATTCCCAACCCATCATACAAACCTTCGGGCCATCCGTCAGTAGCAAGTCCAACCGTGATAGAAACAACAGCACAGATAATGAGAATGATTAGCGTCAAGTCACGTAATGCATCAATAAAAAACATAAATAAGGTTCTGGATGGTTTTTCCTCATATTTGTTGAAGCCAAACAATTGTTGTCTGACAGATAAATCATCTGTGATGATTCCCTCGCTAAGTGATGAGCGAATTTGTTTGCATATCCCATCCAGATGGCCATGAGTCTTCAGCCTTCTGAAATCATGCTGGCCTACAACTGATGCTAGTTCATCTGGATGAATAAGAAATCGAGCTCTTTTGAACTCTTCCGGAAGAGTGTACTCTTCTCTTCCAGATGGAACAGCTGAACAGGAGAGATAAAAGAACAGTTACAAGATGTGCAAGCATATTATTTGCCTTAAGGAAAACATCAACTTAGGGGGGGTCATACCATCTATAAAAGTGAGAGCTGCCTTGTGAACATAGAGACAAACTCGAAGCCTTTCCTGTAGAAAGCACCACAGACGTGAGGGAATGTAAAAAAAAATATTTTACATGACTCCATATTATACGTATATGGTCAGATATGAGACTGAAATCCACACTAAGCTAACGAATCTCCTCCTTCACAAACATCTTCACAAACGAATAATTGCATCATTACTTCTGCTTAAGAAGAGAACATTTCTTCGGCAGAGTTTCTAGAGCTATTTCAAAAGAGAACTAAAAATGGTCCAGAATCAGGCTTTACAAACTGGTTCCGAATTATTTCCAACAGGGAAAGCACGAATGATTCTCACTAGCCCAAATTGGACATACGAAACAAATCTACACATGCACCTGGTGTCAAACAATATTAAAGCCAAAAAAGCTCAGAAGCCTGTCAACTAATCTTGTTCCCTAAATGAAAAATAAGGCCACTGGTTGTCATAAGATTCTGACTGGTTATGAATGTTCAAGATTGTTTCTAGCCTGTGAAGACCAGAAGGCAACTGGTACAAGGTTAAGTGAGAAGCCTCATTTATATCTTTTAGGCGAGTAAAACAAAGCACCACTTGGAACCCGACTTCAAACGAGCCTGGAATCACAGGAATCTTCTCTATCGGTTTCATATTTAACGTCTTAGTGAACCGGTTGTCGTTGGCTTGCACAGTCCAAACTGGCCGCTTTCCATGCAGAACACCAAGCCGGATAAGGTCTGTCCCGTCTCAAACCTTGTACTGGCGGGATGTCTATTAAGTTAGATATGCAACTGCTCGCTGTCCTACTCCAACTGATCCCTCAGCTCAACCGAAGAAAACTACAGTCAACCACAGACCAGGCTCTCGCGCCAAGACTCTTAAGAGCTCCCAAAGCGCTACTCTCAATAAAGGCCTTGCGAACTTTGCAGGGTTCTCTTTCTCCCCTGATGCACCCCGGGTCCCAAGCCCTGATAAAAACAGTCATTAAGTCAAGGAGGAATCTAACACCATTCTGAACCCGCTAACCTGATTACAGTGGCCTCAGAGATCTCATGACGAGGAAATTGATGCCATCCACTTCTTAAGGTCAGATGGAGGAAGCCCTCACCCTACATATCAGGTCAAGAATGGGCATCGAGGTAGTCATCGTCATCAACAACCAACCCCAAGAAAAGGACCTGAAGAGGAAACACGTGCCGACCTAGACACCCTCTCGGAGTAGAGGAAAGTACAAGGTGAGACGTGGGTATCATATTATAAGTACAGATGAAAATAAGACGACCGCATAATAAATAAGGCCACAGCAGTCAGAAGCGTGCCAGAGAGCCTTCTCAATGTCATCTTCAAACACAGCTTCGCAGAAGCTTCCTTCTCAGTTCTTCGTAGAATAGGCTAAAGGTTGTTCGGCGTTCACTGAAAGCCACCCCTGGTTTCAAGGGCCCCGACAAGATTTTTCTCGTGTTTACACTAATCGAGATTTGGAATCTCGTCCGTCTCGAGAACCAGAGTCCCGGGACGCTCGACAGCGTTCCATTGGGGTTGAAGATGGGGGAAGAAACTCCTCCGATCATTTCAATCGAGTCACGCCACGAATTCCCCAATGGGGATCAGAAAGATAGCAAACACTGCTTTTTTCCTTCCTCTAAGCTACTGTTCCGTGGTTCCATAAGTGAGAGAACAGAGACGACATTGGGACGTCGCTTGATCTTCGACACCTCAGAAAAATTAACCGGAAGATTTCCGCATACAAATTTCCCGCCGAACGAGACAATTTAGAGAGTTCTTCGGAGTTTCCACGGCATCGAATCATGACGGAGGAGAGAGAAACATAGCTTATCAAAGAAGAAACAGCCACTGAACATTCGACGGGAGATCGAGAACACGACGGGACTGAACGCGAGACAGACGCCATAGACAGGGAAATAGAACGGACCTGGATCTTGAGGCGCTTGGCCTCACCCTCGCTGCGTTTGTCTAAATCTGCAACAAAGCGATACCTCCTGGCGGGGTTCTTCACCACCCACGCCGCCTTCCGCCATCGGCGCAGCGCCTCCTCCGACGCTTTCTTCGGAGGCACCTCAAAGTCCTTCAGCAGGTTCTCCATCTCCCTCACCCCGCGCTCTCTCGCCCCGCCCCCCCGCACTGAGGAACCAGAGCCTTGTGGACGGTCCTCCCCGTCTCAGCAATCCAAAAGCGCCACGCTCGAGGCCTGCCGGCCGATCGACCTACGCGCAGGACCATTGACCGAAGGGTAGTGGTTCCTTTTATGGTGGGCCCCACCACGATACCCAGAAATACTTTTCATCATTCTTGTTATAACATAATAAAACTCCCCGATAAATGTGAAAGTTTACAAGAATAAAATGAGCCACGTGAGTTAGATAAGGCGTTGACTCGTGTCTCGTCGATTATTCGAAGTGTCGACACACTCGCTGGCAACGTCTATATAGAAATTAACGCAATTTATTAAGCTTTTTCTTATAAAAAAAAGAAAAAAACTGTCAATAATGGCACCCACCGTGCGAAGCAAAACCATTTAAAGTGACGGTTAGATCACCGGCTAAGAATTAAATAAAATATTAGGAAACCATTTAGGACCAGCATCTATCCTGGATGGAATATTCTCCGAGAAAGGGCACAAGCTGAGGGCATCTCTTTTGAGAAATGCCCATTGACATAAGGAACATAAGAATCATTAAAATATTACTATAATTGCAGCATTGAGTTGGTCTGATATCCTCACTACGTGGCTTCCTCCCATTGGATGTCTCTAAACGAGATGGAACAATGCTTTCTTTAGAAAAGAGAAATTATGAAGTAGATTTATGATACAAAGAATTTCACAATGGGCACTTTCTCATGGGACAAAATAGTATGTGTAATGGGAAAATTGATTTTTTTCACAAGGAAATTATTTTTTTCTACTAGCATCCATATTTAAAAGAAGTTAAAGAGAAAATATAGCTTACATAAAATCCATGTGAACCATATTTCAAATCCGTTTACCAATTGACTCACTATTTTCAGACCTTTTATTATTTTGGGCTTTCCTTCTTTGTTGGAATACTTAAGGAAACAAATCAAGAAGCTCCTCATGAAAAAAAAAATGCAAAAAATGGGCATTATAAGTGCATTAAAGAAAAATAGGAGGTTGCATCTTAACAAGCTTACATTCAAGTAGAACTCCGCTATATATGTTGAATTGGCAACACTTACATCTGTGTGACAAGATCTAATATTAGAACATATGCCATGTTTGAGTCCAACAAAACATACATAGTGTAGAAGTCTCCTTAGTGCATTGGTAGACATTTGGATGATTTTAAAGTTGCACCAAGCATTATCAGTAGTTTAAGAAGGGAGTAGAGTATGTCAAATAAAGATTTACTCTATAATTTTAGAAATATTTCAATTACGAGGAGAGCACATTATAGGATTATAAAATTTTGAAAAAAAGTAAAAAAAAAAGTGTCATCAAGTGAAAGGTAAATAAATAACTCAAAAAAACATATTAATTTCTTGTTTAAATGTGCTTACATGGATCTTCAATTAGAGTTTTAGTATATAGATGGAAGTAAGATCGGACATGAATCTTAAAGAGCTCATATAGACAATATCTCATCACTTGCCATTAGTATCTTGAGACCACAATGAATTAGTAATTAGGGCAAAAGGTTTGATTGGTCATATCTTGAGACAACACATGATAGCTAAATCACTAGCCAAAAGGGTTTTATTTAGGTTTTTACTCATATTTTTTTGTCTCCCTATTATGAAGGAATTTTTTCTCCATCTAGTAGTACCAGTTAACCTCTATGTACATTCCTTCATTATCTTAATATGGGTCTACACCTTAAGGTTTGATAGCCATGTTTACATGTTTTTACTTATTGACAAAGCGTTGGTCCCTTTGATTTATATCAAATTTGTACACCCATGAAAGGTTGTTTTCTCTATATATTTTCTTATAACTTTGAGATATTAATTCCTACCAGAATTCCCCGATTTTTTTAGCTAGTTCGTTTCTATGAAAGGGTTTTGCTTCTTTCCCGAAAACTCATACAAAATACTGGACACATAAGTTAAGAGTTGACATTCCGTAGTCATTGATCTAAATTTATTGTACTTAATAAGCCATTTTTGTGTTAAACCTTCGTCATAAAAAGCTAAGAAAATAACTATTCACAACTGCACTATAAAAAAAATGCATAGTTGCCTTAAACTAAGAAGGTTTTGATAGAAAGAGGATGCAAAAGATCGTAAGATGATCTTGACGGCGGAGAGGGAAACAGTGTATCAGAGAAGAAACAGCCACTGAACATCCGATGGGAGATACAGAAGACGACGGGACTGCAGGAGAGGCGGACGACCATCTACAGGGAAAAAGAACAGACCTGGAACTGGCGGCGTATAGCCTCAGCCTGGCTGCTGAGTTTGTCTAAACCTGCAACAAAGCGATACCTCCTGGCGTGGTTCTTCGGAGGCGCGTCGAACTGCTCCAACGGGTTTCTCCGTCTCCTCCAACGAGAGTATCTTCCTTCCCACACTCCCCCCACGGCGGCGGCGCCGCCGTGAACAGTACCCGCCGCCCCCTTCTCCGGCGTATGACAGGAATCGTGAAGCGCCGCGTGTATATATATTCGACTGATCCCCTGGTGGGCCCCGCACACTCGAGGCTCAAACAACGGTCGGCAAAGACGGCGGAGAAAACAACCCCCCCCCCAACCCACCGGTCAGCGGGTGTTGGTGTCCATAGGATTTGGTGCTTCATCGGTTATTAACAGAACAACCCCCTAATTAGAAATTGGCAACGTGAATAAGATGCGACATTGACTCACAGGAGAAGTGTCGGCAAACCAACTCCTAATATCTACAGAGAAATTCATTAAATTTATTAGGCATTTTCCTCTATTATAAAAGTATAAAAATTTCCGATAATGGTACCCACCCAATAACCAAAAGTTGACTCTTTTAGTCTAGAAACTAGGGTTATGTCGCCCGCCACAAAAAAATAAAAGAAAATGTAGAAAAAAATATTTCAGTCTAGATTATATTCTTGGTGGAATATTCTTCATGAAAAAATGCCCATCCTCATAGGGAATTGAGATAATAAAATAATCATATAAATTTTATGTAATTGAAACATTGAGTGTGTATGAGATCCTCACCAGGTAGGTTCTCTAAATGAGGTGGAACATCCTCCAAGGTTCCAATGCCTTCTCAGAGGAAGAGCAACTATGAACTAGATTTTTGACATTGGTGAATTTCGTAATGGGCACTTTCTTGAAGCACAAAATAGTATGATGCAATAGGAAGATTGGTTTGTTCATGAGGATGAACTTATGTTTGTTTATTGGAATATAGATTGAAAGAACTTAGAGGGAAATATATAGCTTATGGAAAATGCTTGTTGACTTTTTCAATTGTTTCTCACTATTTTAAGACTTTTCTATCATTTTGGGCTTTCCTTCTCGCAAGCATCTTTGATCAACAAATCAACAAGCTCCTCATGAAAAAATGAAAAAAAAAATGGAAATCACCAGTGCATTCATAAAAAGATGAGATTGAATCTTTAGAGGATCACATTCAAGTTGAATTGGGCAATTTGTGTTAGAACAACAACACTCATATGTGTCTGTCATGACCCATAATAATTCAAAACTAGGTATTTATGAAAGCTTGTGTAAAATGTAGAAGTTTTGTGAATTAAAACTTGCACCAAGCACACTTAATGGTTTAAGATGGCAGCAAAATATGTTAGATAAATGTTTCTAGTGAAAATTACATAAGTGAACTAAATTATGAGCAAAGTGACTTATTATAAAATTGAGAAGGAAATTAAATCAAAAGGGTCATAAAGTAAAAGATAAATTAATAACTCAAAAAAAATTGATAGAAAATAAATCTAAGCTATAACTAGTGCAAAATGATATATTGGCCATCTTGAGAAAACCCATTGTAGCAAAATCATTGACCAAAAATGTTTATATTTACACAGTTTTTTGTCTCCCAACTACAAGAATCGATCTCAAAAAGAATGGGGTCAAATGTCTACAGTGTGACATTATTTGATGTTGGGCCTATTTTACAAGGGCTAAATTCTTCTCCATCTAGTGCAATTTGAAATCTATGTACACTTGTTTATCATTTTGATATAGGTCTACATTAAATTTATGATAGCTATGTATACATGTCTCAATGTTTTGCAAATGGTTTTTTTGACCTCTTTGTCTTACATCAAATATCTTCACCCATAAAAGCTTGGTTTTCCCTATATTTTCTTATAACCTTGTGGTATATGAATAAGTATAACACTACCCTGATTTTTCTAGCCAGTTCATTACTTCTTTCCCAAAAAATTGTACAAAATACTTGACACATAAGTTAAAAATTAACATTTTTTAGCCATTGAGATCAATTTATTGCACTTAATAAGGTCATTATTGTGTTAAACCTTTGTAAAAAACATAAGAAAATAATATTTATACTATCATAATTGCATACTTGACTTGAGCTTAATAAGGTTTTGAATGAAAAAGGATGAAAAAAACTGTTTTAGTATTTTATCACATTGCTTGTATGAATACTATTTTAGTATTTTAATGATAATGACTAAAACCCTTGGAAGAATTCTAGGAGAATTTAGAATCAAATGAAATTTATTTTGGACCTTTGTTTATTGCAAGGAGTGAATTATTGGGGGTTGATTTAAGCAATTATTGCAAGTAGCCATTAGAAGGCCTAGGAACAAGTTGCCATTGAGGCTTAGTGCATTAAGAAGAGCTTTACAAGTAGCTTGAAATAGAAGTTCCCAGGGCTAATAAAACACAAACATAATTTCCCCTTCCACTAAAATGATTGGTAAATATCTTGAAAAGATGAAAACAAAACTACATAGTAGAAACTCTTACTTTCATTACCTACTATTGACTTTGGTCAACTTAAATGATCTAACATTATTTAATAGATGGCATGAGTATTTAAAAGAAAGTACAAGAAAGAGAGTAGTATATAGCTCAAAGATTAACTGTAGGATGTAATTATTGATTTTGTGATTCCATCAACATCATGAAACTTCATCAAGATTGCTTGATTATTTTTCATCATGTTTTCTTTTTTTAGTATTGTGGGATTTGATTAAAGCCATGATGATTTTTTAAAAATTGGATGTAATTCCAAATATCTTGCATGTCAACTTAGATTAAATGATTTCAACAAGGTGATCAAGATTTCCTGAGATTACATAATGTCATGAAATTCCTCCAATGTTTCAAATGCTAGAATATTCTGTAAGATGATTTTGTGATTCAATCAGCATCATGAAACTTCAACATGATTGCTTGATTATTTTCGTCATGTTTTCCTTTTTTGGTATTTCAAAATTTGATTAAGCCCAGGTGATTTTTTAAAAATTGGATTTAATTCCGAATATATCTTATGTCTATTTAGATTTGAATGATTTCATGAAGATGATCAAATTTTCCTGAGATCACGTACTATCATGAAGTTCCTTCAATGTTCTAAATGCCAGCATATTCCATAAGATATCATGTGGTTTATTAAAATCATGCTAATTTTCTAGTTCATGAAATTTATGTAAAAAATCTACCATCCTTGGAGAACAGCTTCCGAAAATGGACTTAGTCCCCCTCATAAGCCGAAACAATCTGGCCACCGTGAAAGTTTTGGTGGTTACGTACTTTTCATCTGCACCGCTCTGCTCTTCTCGCGGGTAACATCGCGGCCGCATTCAAACTCAGCGCCGGACGACAAGCCAGCACATTGCCCACTTCGGAGAGCATTCATCTTCCGGAAGCTATCTTCTGCGAGCATTTGCAGCAGTTCCCACCTGGGTTCTTTCCCTCTGATGATGCCCATCGCTCGCGCCGCCTTCTGCTTGACGTACGCTGTTCTTGCATTATCCTCTCCATTCTTGGGTTTTCTCATTCGTGCTCTGGCGTGGGTTCTCGTTTTTCACCATGGTAACGCCATGTAGGAAGCTTCACAGTCACGGGAAGTTTCCTGCGAACTATTTTGGCGAACCAGGCCGTCTGATTTCTCTAGATATTCGCATGCTCCTTGGGGCAGTTCAATGCCGGGATTATATCGTTCCTTTCCCTCCAGAACTGTGGTCAAATTTCTTTCTATCTTCTAAGCGTGCATAGCGAATGAACTGGCTCTGGATCTTTGTTACCATCACAAGTATGGAAAAGTCGATATCCGTCCGAGATGAACTCGTCCTCAGGAATTTCTGCCTTTATTTTCGTGAAACCATATAGTCGTTGAAATGATGAGCGATTCGGCCTGAGCAATCATCGAAGATGATAGTTTCTTCCTGAACTCCCATGGAGGTTCTCATCTTCGAGTTTTAGTTCGTTGTAGTTGGGTGCTGCCGCAAAAGAAACTAAGAGCGGGTGGGCTTACGGCATTGAGTACGAGAGGGATGGGAAGCAGGAAGCGCGCTTCGGACTCTGCCCTAAGGAAATCTACCGACTCCGGGCAACCAGAAAAATGCACGGTTAGTTCTGTCTGATCTCTCTGACTGCAATGGTCATGTCTGGTCATTCTTCTTACTGTTTTAATTAAATGGTTGCTTTGAAGAGTTGGTATGGGTACAGGAGGCGGAGGCGAAGAGCAGTGATGGGATTAAGACGCTTCGAAATGACCCTGGCAGGCTTGAAGCGATGACAGTGAAGGAGCTCAGAGCAGTGATGAAGTAAGCTTCATCATACCGAAATATAGGTTTTGTGATTCTTTGTTTCTTTCACGAGAATGATGCTGAAATTTCCCCATACTCTTTAATGGATGTTTGTTCTTCATCATTTGATTTAACCAATGTTTAAATATTTGATTAGTGGTGTTTATGATTAGGGATGCTGGAATCAGTGCAAAAGGTAGAAAGCAGGACCTCGTCTCTGCTTTGGGGAGCTTCTTGGAGAAGCAGGAAGGTAGTATTGGAGTTTCCAATTCGGGCTAAAGTTTCATATTCATCTGAAACAACCACAGGTTTCATAGAGCTCTTTTGGTGTTTTGTGCAGAAGTTGGGCATCCGAAGAGCAAGGAAACTTTGTCAGATGTTAAGCCCATATCAGCTGATACTATACCTTCAAAGACTAGGAAAGGGGTCCCCTCTGGTGAAGAAAAAAATCAGGTTCTACCCTCTGAATCTGATTTTTCTGGGTCTAAAAAGAAGAGAAATATGGGTAAATCACAGATGAATCAGGATGACTTCAGTAATGGAGATTCAGGAGCTGACATGAAAGTGTACAAACGTCATAAAGGATCTGTCAGGGCAGAAATCATAGGCATGTGTAACTCTCTTGAGTGTGTACAATTCCGGATCTTTTATTTTTTACTTCTACTCATTGGACACATCTCATGTCCAATCTGATGAACTGATTAATTATTCATTTATACTAATCCCAGATAAATCAGCATCTCAAACATGTTTGGAGGTATCTACAGAGACATTAGTACCTGAAGCCTCTGTTCCTGCAATTTCTGAGGAGCCATGGACTAGTCTAGCCCACAAGAAGCCACAGCCGGGATGGGTTCCCTATAATCCGAAAACAATGCGTCCTCCACATCTACCTGATGGAACCAAATATGTGAAGCTGATGTCATGGAATGTAAATGGTCTAAGAGCTTTACTGAAGGTAGAGGGGTTCTCCGTACTGGAGCTTGCAAAGAGGGAGAACTTTGATGTTTTGTGTTTGCAAGAAACGAAAATGCAGGCAAGTCTGCAATTTCAGTTTAAAAAGAAAATTATATCCTTCCCTCATGACTTTTTTCCACTGTTCTACCTCTTTTGCCATCTGTTGAGCTGACCTTCTCGGCTATATCTGATATATGAATAGGAGAAGGATGTTGAGGAGATTAAGAAACGTCTTATAGAGGGCTATGACAACAGCTTCTGGAGATGCAGTGTATCGAAACTGGGATATTCTGGAACTGCTATTATATCACGGGTATGCTATCATATTATGAATTAATTATCGAATTATCATTGAAATGTCATCTTGAAATGTATTTTTCTGGGGAATTTCTTGTTGTCTAAATTGGTAAAATCCGTAGTACCTGGTGAAAAATCATATTTTGTTCTTACTGGATGGATTACTTGAGGATATTCAATTATTGATTGTGGGAAAGATTTGCCTTTTACAGTACGCCACTAGTTTCAGTTGATCCGAAGTGATAAAAAGTGGCAATTCACAACTTGAATATCTACAATCATTACTGGTCCCAAAATAGTTAAGACTCGTGCATATGCATGACATAATCTGTGTATCACTATTAACAGTCCAAATGATTACAACTCATAAATACACTGGGAAATCTATTTCGTTGTGTGGTCTTTTTTATCAATGATGATGGAATGCAGAGGGATTTCTGCCCCTATGTTTGGGATTTGCCATAAGGTGATGCAGAAAAAAGTCTATTATGGTGTCAGATGCTTGTGGAAGGTAGAAGATACAAGAAATCAGCGTTTACAATTTTGAGCCTCGCATGAAACAGATGCTGAAAATTCTAAACCTTCTTGCTATTGGATTCTGTGGTGTTCACCACGGATGCAATCATAACAAAGTGCTCTGGTTCCACCAGGGACTATGGGATAAGGAGAACTCAGAGATCAGAGAAGCTGTGGATTCTGTGCTGAAGAACTAGGGCCATTGCATAGTGATAAGGGATTGTGAAGGTGGGCCATCATGGACAAAATAGAGGTTACTCCCTTCCCAAGAAACCATCAGCTTCGTATTTCAAGTTCCTGTTCTTGTTGGGAACGGAAGATAAAATTGTGTGGCTCACCGTGATTATTGGATATCCTACTGTGCTGGAATGATTTAGTCCCCTGGAAACCTCATTAATTCAATTGGGTTGTGTCTCTGGTGGTAGACTGTGAAGATAAAGGAGAGTGCCGCAAATGAGGACAGAATCTGGCCAGTGGTATCTCAGAGTTTGAGTAACGGTATGGAGGAGACTAGTGATAGATATAGTGAGTGCAGAAGTTGTGGAGATGAGCAGCAGTTAACATCTTGTTGCATGCAACATGTAAATGAGATAAAGGAAAGGATTAGTCAGAATGGTGCCAAGGAGGTTGTGTAGGAGGTTCGTGGGGAGTTGTTATTGGGGGAACCCGCTAAGTAATTTTGACAGTGTAAAACATGCTGGTGATGGGAGTGGAGGACTCTCCATTGTGAATAAGGCTGTAGGGTGCGCAATTCAAACCTCATTGGTAAATATCACGTGAATCGGATGGCTTTTCCTCATGATTTCGTTGTTTTAGCTGGGCTAAAATCAAAGATAGTCTCTAGCAATAAAAGAGTTATGAAGTGATCAGGGTCATTTTTGGAGGCCATTTTTTGGTCCATCTTCTGGAGGACTGGAGCATATTTTGTAGATTCAACTGGTCAAATTTCCGAATGGATTTTATTGGCAAATTGTTCTGATGTAAAATGCTGATGAAATTCTGTGACCTTCACTCTGTTACAGTGTATGAGCCTAATATTTGGCACCATGACACGTCTTTAATTTAAGTGCGAGAGCAGAGTTCAATTTATTTGAGAATCCAAGTTACCTGTTCTGGATTCTAAAATAAAGTAGACGAACTGTTCAGTTCCTTCTAGATCCAGCGAAAAACTGATACATTTGAACCGCTGGCAAGCATTTATTTTCAACGTGTATCAGCAGCTTATCGCTTACCAGAGTGTTACTTACCTTAATCTTCCTGATTGTTGCTCTTTGAAGAAGGGTTACGATAAGAATAGATCAAATTTTCATGGTCTGGTTTCATGAAATCTTCTATTCCTACAACAGCCCTGCTTCTGAAGTATGCATTTCACTTTTCGTCAAGTTTCATAAATTTCTTGGCCTATGATCCTCATTGGGGCTTGCTTGACTGTAAGTATATGTTAACTGCTGTCTTTAGATAAGATGAATTATCCGAAGGAGATCACTTAGCCATAGCAAGATGCTGAAAAAGTTATAATTTCTTGACCTAACCTTTATTTGTGTCGGAAGTATTTATTGGCTGATGTCAAATATTGTTGCTCGCGGAAGTGGGGAGCACTTATATTCCTTTGACTTCTGTTATAGTAATTTGAATCAGTTGTAAAGCCTCAATATATGAAAGTTAACAAAATTCACGTTATAACCTTTCGTCATTGTCCATCCTTGTACTGATCTTGACGAGGTTTTACAGATAAAGCCAATCTCTGTGAGTTATGGACTTGGCATTCAAGACCATGATAGTGAAGGGCGACTTGTGACAGTGGAGTTCGATAAGTTTTACGTTTTGTGTGGATATGTACCTAACTCCGGAGATGGGCTGAAACGATTGGTGAGTTTTCCCCCTCGTTTCATCTGGTTTATTCCTCTCATCTACTATTTCTGCCTTCTACAAGTTACGATGTCAAAATACGCTTGGCTAATGAAAAGCTTTTTGGTGTTAGACTTACAGGATTACACAGTGGGATCCCTCACTTAGCAGCTACATGAAAGTGAGTGAACACTCAAAACTTTGCCTAATAATATGGAAATTGATCATTTCATTTCTCTTATAATCGGAACTCTTAGGTATGATGTGGTTCCTTCTGGGATTGATTGTAGATGGACATTTCTGACCGATTTCTTGTGAATAAACATGAACAGAATCACTGTTAGACACGTGTGTATGAAAATTAGCAAGTGTGAAATTCTGAAAGGATACTTGCCCCGTCTGAAATATTGCTGTTAATGCTTGAAAACATTGACATTCAATGGTGTGCACCTCTTTGGAATCCTAATGTTTGCTACAAAGAAGCACTGCCTTGGTGTGAACCATGTGCAACTGTTATGCACCTTCTATTGAGTTATTGAGCAATTTCTGAGGAAAAATTTATTAGTGCATGCCAGATGTTAGGTGCTGCTAGAAGGTCTAAATTTATTCAGTGTCATCTGATTCTAACAACCATTTCTATTACAGGACTTGGAGAAGTCCAAACCTGTCATACTGACTGGCGATCTAAACTGTGCTTATGAAGAGATTGACATCTATAACCCAGCTGTAAGATAACTCACAATTTGCTTGTGTTCTCATCACTTTTTGTTTACATAGTAATCAGACTTCTTGGGTAACATTTCGAGATCATGTTGAATATATGCCGTCTTAATTATTTTTGTGCATAAAAATTCAAAAGTATTTACTATTGCTTCATCTGCATCATTGGTAATGTGAATGAAAAATGATTTATGTTGTGCATACAGTTGGCTCTATGTTAATTTTTTCTATTATGGGCTGTGGTCGACAATGTAAAATTACGTTTGAAGGAATGCTTTCTTCTGGGTCATTGAATACATCTGCGTTGAATGGTGAATTAGAACCATAAGTGACGTTGATAAATGAGACCAACCAAGTATATCCAGGGGAAAATCGTAGCTTCCAATATTTTCTTTAATTTTTTTTTCTGGTCAGAAATTTGTGGCTGGTTCATAATCAAATGATTCTGGCTACAACTCGACCATACTGATTTCTCTCATAGCTATCCAACTCAGAAAATTACTAAACCTTTTACAGTTCCTTGCCGGAGCCTTTATTACTACATGGCTTCTCAAGTTTCCGAAGTCTGTTTGTTAATAATATAAAAAAGTCTTGTACAGAAAAAATATAATGGAAGAAAATATGACTGCAATAGAACATGCTATTTTGATTTTCTTTGGATGTTTCTGTGGACGTCCAAAACAAAGGATCTTTTCAACGTCCTCTGGATTTTTCATCATTTGTATATATATATTCGGAGATCAAAATATTTACCTAGTGACAATAGTTAACGTTAAGGCTCATTATTCTCTCCCTTGATTTTTCTTCATTTCCTATTCTGTGTCCTATTTTATGTCATTTTCCTCATTCAGCTTCCATCCTATAGTTATCATTATCTTCATGGGCTCACTGGCTCCTATATTTTCGAAGCTATTGGGTCTTCTGAATCTAATGCAGAAAAATGGTAGGCAATCATCGTTTTCACTGTGTAGTTTTTATTTCTTCATTGCCTTTGATATCCTCCCCTCTCCACATTCAATGTAGAAAAGGGGAATGGACAGATCTTCCTTATTTGAGCTTTATAGCATCACTACCGTGTGTAGCTTCTACGACTTAGTCGCCACCTTTATTTCTGCTTCTTTGCTCATTTGTTCACCACTCTTTCCTCCATTTATGTCGTTTGCTCTCTCTCATTAATTTCTAAATGATGCCATGAAATCGTTCTCGAGTTGGCCTCGAAATCCTCTTTGCTCTAATGCAAAACGTGGGATTTTTTCATCATTACTTCTTTCTTTTCTTGTTTCTCTGTACCCATATATTTGGAAAATATCCATTGCATCTTTCTGAAGTTTCATGATGGCAGCATTAGATGAGACTGATTGTCATTAGCACGGCTAGCTCTGCATTTGATGAGGCTTATTGTTATCTGTTACACATTTTGGAAGTTAAATCATCACAAGGTTTTCTCAACGTTTGATGAAGCCACTTGTCTAAACAAGTTGTGGTCTGATGCAACTACTTTAAACCTTTTTTTTCCTTTCAAACTCTTGCCATTATATTCCCATGAGTATGAGGAGCATTGCATCAGTCACATTCGCTTAAAGTATTATGTTTTTAAAACTTTAGTATTTAATTTACCATGAACTTGAGGGAAGTGGGGGTGATAAAATTGGTTATCCTCTCCTTCAATGCTGTCATTTTCCTCGTTTGTCTTCTCTCACTTACCCTTGCCTTCCAAGTTCTATTGTAATACTTAAGTGGTTATTCTTGTATTCTTCTTCACAGATATTTAGTCATTTAATCATAACGAGTTGGAACACTGAGGAATGCAGTATCTTGTAGAAAAAACAGTTGCTATGTCTAGCAAACATTTTGTCTTTTGGAATTTACAGGGAAACCGAAGAAGTGCAGGTTTTACTATTGAAGAGAGGGAATCCTTTCAGAAGAACTTCTTGTCGAGAGGTTTTGTGGATACCTTCAGAAGCCAGCACCCTGGTGTTGTTGGTTATACGTATTGGGGTTATAGGCATGGAGGACGAAAGACAAATAAAGGTATTCCATTATACGATTTCCTTAGATTCTATTTCCTTCAATGACTAAGAAATCAAGATCAGGAGACTCTGGCGCATGTCCTGTCAAACCAGTGTCATATTTTCAAGCAACAGTTATGGACTAAAGCCCAATGCGAAGTCGCAAGTGTTACCTAGTTCTTTGACAGTTCTGATACCTGATGGGCAAAAGGATCTCCTTAGACATGTAGATAAGGTGTTAGAAAGGATGATTAGTCAGAACTAAGTTCGCTTGAGTTGCAATTGAATCTCATCTGACTTTACGTGATTTGACTCGATTATTAACGCGTATCTCCGTTTAATTATGAGTAACAAAAGTTGTGTGAAAGATTGTTCATATTTACGTGAAATTTTAAATCTTTCTGTGATTCTTGCTCGAGTTTCCCCAAACCTGAAACTTAAACGAATTCTATGCTACAGATAACCATCAATGATGCTTCTGTGGTTTCAACAATAGTTTTATTTCAACTTATTGCTTTGTGATCTGCATCAGATCTAAAAGTGGTCTTTAAGCATTAGGGTTGTGTTTGCTAAATTTAAACTTGAGCTCTCCATTATTATTCGTTTACTTGCCATTAGTGTTGTAGTTTAATCCCTGTTCAATAGAAACATTTATCGTGAATTCTCGTATAAAATTGATTCTTAGATGAAGAATGCTAAAGGTTATTGGGCGTGGTAGCTGCTGATTTCAATTAATTTAAGATCAGCTCTAAAAACTTCCTAAACTTTGTTTAGGTAAATTGCTTTTGGAAGATCTTAGCACACCTATCATGCTCATAACACTGTAGTGTGCGAAATGATTGACAAACAATGTGGAAGTTTATCAGCATTACTGATCAATTGCAAATTATTCCCGTTTTGACGTAGAACAAGGGAGGTTACCAGATTCTAGGCCTGCTTCAACGTTTATTTCTTTTTCCCCTGAAATTTTATATTTTTCCTTGAAACTGTCTCTTTAATGACAGATACTTGAGCTCCCTCGAGTTATGAGAGCTAGACTCCAACACGGATAAGAAATATTTTGGATGGAACTGTAAATCAGCTTGACGAACTGTCAGAATGGTTCTCGTGTTTAGGATAGGTTTGGTGGGTTAAAGTGAGCTTTCAGATTTTAATTATTTTTTTAGTATTAATCGATGGTCAGATAATGGGAATCTGTTCCATACTGCCTTTCTCTGCTTCACAGACTCAACTAGCACTCTTATGGTACCCGTTCTGGTGAATCAATGGATGTAGTTTTGCGTAAAATATGCAGTTAGACATTAAATATGAAATATGAGAGGGTAATGGTGAAATAGGAGGTTCTGTATGATATGCCCAAGATGGTCACATTTCCTGGATAAGCCTGAAAGTTCAGGTGTTGTCCTACAATCAAGAGTGTTGAATTTTTTCTCTTCTTTCCTTGTTTCAAGCCATTGAATGTGTTGACAAAAACTTTGATCCGGGTGAATCACCGATGTTCCTGTTGTTTTTTTACAGAACCTCCATTGTTTTTCGTCATTCCTCTTCACAGTGACATACATTTGAAGTAATTCAAATTTTAAATTTCTGATGCACTTTGCTTCAGATTAAAGTTCAGATTTACCTATGGAAACATATCTAGGCGCCATGAAAAGAAACCACAAAGAAAATTCTACCCATGATCTTACACGCAGATAATACATTTTAAATTAGTAGACCCTGATATTACGTTAGTTTTGATTTCGGGTAATAAAAACAATTTGCAAGTAGAAACAGCAAATCGTTAGAAGAAGACAGAATGGTCGTACCTTGATGTTCCTGTAATGGTAATGCTGAATTGAGCTTTGTATACAAACACCTTGGACAACTTCATCTGCCTTTGTTCTTGACAGGGTGGAGGCTTGACTACTTCCTTGTTTCGGAATCTATAGCCGGCAAGGTTCATGACTCCTACATCCTCCCAGATGTCGTCGGCAGTGATCACTGCCCCATAGGCCTCATTTTGAAGCTTTAGGCATTCGGCATTCTCGGTATGTGCAGGCTGTTGCTCATTTATTTTTTAATATTTTGACTTAATTTGGCTTCTAAAAAGGACTTCAAAACCCATTAAATTATCAGTAATATAAAACTCTAATGACATAACCTTCACCCAATCTTGTAATCTGGGAGTTTATTTGATGTGGGTTTTATTGGGGTTTATCATTATGCAAAGGACAGAACTGGAGGTCTGCTCCTGCCCAAAGTAGCCATGATCCTCTTTGTTAACCCGTTGACTTCTCTTCAGATAGTTACTTCAGGCCCGTCTAATGTGGGTATAATTGTGCAGCAGCTTATTTTCTGTCGGCATCAGGAGCTACAGAGGTTTTACAGGGATGGAACAGTTGATGTGCGTCGCCCTTTCTGTATTCGCTTTTTGTTTTTGGAGTTGCTAAAGGTACAAGCGACTGGTTTTGCTGGGCCAGTTGGGTTGGAGGCAATGATTCCCTGATTGGGTAAGGGGACTTGGGCGGTGAATTTAATGTCCCTATATAACTTATGCAAATGATTATGATTACATTTATTCGTTTTGCCTCTTGAAAACTGGGTTAAGTGCCTCCCTTCAGCTGTGGATTTTTTTGACTCAACCCTCTACATCTTTTTGATTGATTGAGAGAGAGAAAGAGAGAGAGAGAGAGAGAGAGAGAGAGAGAGAGAGAGAGAGAGAGAGCAATTGGTCTGATTAGTAAGCTCACCCATCTACATATTTGTTCTGACCCTCATTCTCCTGTTGGAGTGCATCCCACATTGCGTTAAGTAGAGACCCCTACCATTCATTGTTGTAAATATATGCTGAGAATTTGTCATCCTGATATTTGGCAATACATGCTAATCATATTGTTCCCTTTAATTTGCTCAAGTCTCTCATGAAAGGAAGATTAATAAGGATAAAAATAGTCACTTAGTTATCATTAATTGCAATCATTAGTAGTTTTAGTCAACAACAAGGTTCTACATAAGTTTTAGATACCTCACATTGCTCGTCGTACAGGACACTATTCTTCTCCTCCCTCAATAGTCAACCTTGTGTAACACTCCTGCTTCTTAGTATGTGATGATACTAGGCTACTTTCCTACAAGTGTATGGTATCTGCTAATATATATATATATATATATATATTTGTGTGTAATCCACATCATAAAATGTAACAATATTTACATTTACTATTTAACGATGCAAACACATTCAAGAACCCAAACATGACATTCCAAATTGTCTTCTTATAGTGATTGACCATTTGATTTCCCCAATCAAGTAGTGTGCTTCTCCATGCAACATGCTTCTTGTAGACATATAGAACTACTACATACTTATGGACAAGCACCTAAAGAATAGTTGAGGATGGTTATGTTAGAAACCTATCTAGGTTTGATTATAACTCGATAGGTTGGAGTTTGAACTGATAAATATAATATTTAGGTTAATTTTTATAGTAATGATCCACCAAAGTATAATTGTCACACCCCTCAACTGAAGGAGCAGGCCATGCGTTTATAGAGTAGCTTGTAGAAGGGAGCAATGCACACTCCATGGTGCTATGGTGTGACATGGCATGCATAGAACATGTGGCTAAGTGCAGCACAAGCAGATTTTTAATGTGGAATGAGGATCATGAGAACCCTGATGATGGCAGGATGTGGCAATAGCATAGTGCAACAACTTGAGTGCCTGCAAAGGCATGTGGCATAGAATGGGATGATGCAAACTACATGGGCACGTGCATGCTAGCACATGACTGGTGTGGGTGTGTAGAACACACCACATAATGGTGCAAGTGTGGTGGGGGTATGACACATGGTGAGCAAGGTGTCAAGCACAACATGTGAGGGAAGGGAAAGTGGTGATATGTGTATGTGTGGGGTGCCAATGAGGCATGCGAGTGCCAAACTACTACAAGGCAATGCAGCATCCATATGAGGTGAAGTGTTGTGTGACGCTTTGCTTGCCTCATTATCCCCTCCAACTACTATGGGTAGTGAGTGACATAGCTTGTTTCCTCTAATCTATGTATCCTCTTAGCATGAAGAAAGAAAGTCTTCTCTTTTGGGTTTGTTCTTCTCATAAAATCTCCATAGAGATAGGTTGCTTGACATCAAAGAGATGGCTAAGGCCCTAAATGAGTGAGCATTTGGAGATAGTCGACAACTGACTGCATGACAATAATGTTCAGAGCAATATTTTTCCTTTGCAAAGTATTCAAGTCATAACAAAAAAAATGACATGGAAAGTTGATAGTAAACATAGCTAAGGGGATCAAATGAATTGATAAATGAATTAAGATACCAAGAAGAAAGTTAAATGTGCTTTTGAATTGTCATGGGCACCTCAAGATCCCTACTAGGGTGGGAATTTTATTTCTATTAGACCATTCCATCTGTCAAAAAGCTATCAAAGCCTTGGAAGATATAGAGTATTGTAGGATCTTTCAATCTATAATAATGTAGATCATATTCTCAATATTATCCAGTGTTCAACACATCTATTACATGGATATTCCTCATTCATGAAAACGATTTCATGGGGTATTCACACGTGAATTTTGATAAATTATTTAATCAAAATATACAGATTTTGTTGCCATGTTGCATGGCTGTAAGGTTGTTATTATTAGAAAGGCCAAGAATGCTAAGAAAGAAACTTGGCAAATGACTAATTTGATATTTATCTTGAAACTAATTTCAACTCAACTCCTCCCCTTCCTGCTCTACTCATAAGGATTGATCATAGAATTACTAGAATTATGTAATGTCCCACACTACTATAATTATTACGATATTAAGTACTAGATGTATGTAACCTCAAGCTCATGTCTCCCATGACTCATTACAATATTAATTATGAGGGGATGAATCTCTTTTTCGGTCCACTTTAGATCTTAGCTTAATTCTTTTGTAGTATATAGCTAATTCACAACATTAACTAGTCATCTAATAGTCGATGACCTTGTAGGAGAGAGAATCTTTTCATATAATTTACACACCAACATACTACTATCATTTTGCAAAGTTCATCATGTGAAATAAACTCTTGATGTCTTTAGTGACATAATGACAAATTAATACAGGAAAGCATGGATTTGTTGAACATTGAAAGGGAGAGATGTGACTCCACTAGTAATAGTAATAGAAGTAAAAACTTTGTTTGACTTTGTTGGAATCTAGTTCTACTAATTATAAAAAAATAAATTTGAACTAACCTAGATGAGAAGATCATTGAATGCTTCAAAGAAATTAATTCAAATGAACATAATATAGTATATAATAGCTCGTTTACCATGTATACTCGTTGGAATATTGATTCTACTATTGAATACATAATGATTTTATTAATTGAGATAAACATTTTAATTAGTGGACATGTTTCCTAAAAGTTAATTAAAATTAATTTTACAAACTTTAATTAACTGTACATGGCATGTAGTTCGAAATGTTGATTATGCTGTCAAATTTATAGTATTTTATCGATCATTGATTAAATATTATAATCCGTTTGCTGATGGTAAAAATATTATTATGGGATGCATAAATTTACCTACAGTGAGGTGCTTTCCGGGAAGTTGTTTCTGGTGAAACCTAGAATGAGTTTTGAGAATGCATTCTAAAGGTTCTGTGGGAATTTCTAGAGGGGATTCCTTTTCAAAATTTTGCGGGGAGCTTTTGCAAGCCCTAACTAGCATCAGTGGGGTTCTGGAGGTGATCGCCTGCTTCCAGCCATGGTCATGGAGGATGATCTCCAAGCCGGCGACGGCACACTGGCGCCGGCGTCGTCGATAACGGCACCTCCCATCGCCCCCATTCCGCTTCCACCTCCAATGCTCGCCGCCATTCCCAGGCCGCCAGCCGCTCGTCATGGCTCTGTCGATGGCTCTGAGTCCGACAGGGAGGGGTCTGCCCCGCCGCATTCCTCCGCCGCTGCACCTGACGAGTACGAGGTCTCTGAGGAGAGCAGAATCGTTCGAGAGAGGCAGGAGAAGGTACGCCAGGAGTTGCTGCTGAAGCGGAAGGCCTATGCCATGGCTGTCCCCACCAAGCCGGAAGCTGTTCGCGCCCGCCTCCGTCGCCTAGGAGAACCCGTCACCTTGTTCGGGGAGAGGGATATGGAGAGAAGGGACCGGCTTCGGGCAATTATGGTCCGGCTTGATGCGGAGGGGGAGCTAGAGAGGCTACTTAAGGCCCATGATGATGAGGAACAGGCCGCTGCGGCCGCCGCCTCGGAGGGTGTCGAGGGCGAGGAAGGTCCGATTAAGTACCCATTTTTCACCGTGGGTTCTAAAGAACTCCTGGATGCGAGGGTTGACATCGCGAAGTACTCACTGGCACGGGCTGGAGCTCGTCTAGAGAGGGCGAGGAGGAGAAGGGAAGACCCCGACGAGGACCCGGATGCCGAATCTGAGATGGTGTTGCAACAAGCAGGGGGTTTCTCTCTCGATTGCAGTGAGCTTGGGGATGACCGGCCACTGACGGGGTGCTCATTCTCAAACGATGGCTCACTACTCGCGACCAGGTACTTTTTCGGGCTTTCTTTTGCTTATTGTTTCACTATAATTTCCCCCTGTTGAATATGATTCTAGAGTTCCTTGCACGCAGTACTTTTAAGTGACCTTTTGGGATGGACATTATCCGATTCCTCGTCATGTTGACTCCCAGAATCTCAATGCGGGCGATCTGATATATATTTTTTAAAATTTCAGCTGCTTTAAGACAGTGCCTGTCAGTATGGAGGACAGCAAAACTATCACCTCTTAGTCATCCATTATTATCTCTTACATGTTGGTCTTCTCTGTAGACCTTTATTTATTCTTTTCAACCCTCAGATGGATCCTTGCCGACTGTCATCATCATTTTTATCCAAATGATATGCTAATTGGCGCCTTGTTTTTGCAGTTTCACGCAATTTTATTTCAATTGCATTTTGAATGCAAAATATTAGGATAATTTGGAAACCTTATTTGGGAATTTTCTTGGGCATAAATTGTGTGAGTCAGCCCCATATGCAGTGCTCCATTGCTTATAGTTTAATAAAAAGGAGATGGAGTCCCTAACATCGAAACCTTAGTTACGATTTACGGTTCATTTCGAAGCTTTTGAAATAATTTAGTCAAGATTACCTAGTAACTGTCTAAGTTCTCATATAATTTTGCTTGTGCAAAAAGTACCAGAAGAAGAGTGGAACTTTGAAGTCGTAACAGTCTGACGATAATTTTTGAGGTTATTATGAAGACATTGGTGAGCAAGCTGAGTAAAGTGATTAGTTCACCATCCCAAACCTATCAGCATTTGTCAACGTAATTTTTATTCTGAGCCTGTTTTCAGTAGGACATGAAGCTATTCTGCTCCCCAAGACACATGCTTAAGCTGGATTTTGAAACGGGATATGATAGAGTGACATGGAGTTTCACTACTAGAACCCTAATCCACACTCGTAAATACCTCGATAGTTTACTTGGCTTTCTGCAGAAAAAAATTCTTTCCTTCTAAATAAAGAACTTGTCTATTCTTTGCGTTGATAAGGAGCCTTGGACAAGGATCCTATGTCCCCATTTTGGTTCCTGTTAGTGAACTCTATGTGGAATAAAGTTGGTTGAAGTTGAACTGTGAATTTTATTCTGGAGATCGTTCAAGTGTTACTCTAATATCCTGTGGCTTTGCTGACAACACCTTGTCTGCGCTAGTCAAGAAATAGGAAATCATGATTAGTTGGAATTGATGGTTGTTTGAATACTAAAGGCCAGGCCAAAAGAACAACTTGATGGGTGCGAATGGTCACATTTTAGGATCGACTTGACTTACTACTAACTGAGATTGGAAATGGTTGAGTCTGCTTGAAGGTTGGGGAGCTTCAGCATAGTGCTTTTCTTGTATTTCGTTCTGAGTTGAGGGTTATATCCCCTTCTAGATGTCCTGTGGGTGATTTTCTCTAACCATTCCACCTCTACCATTCTCTGCCTCCGGCAGAACAACACACACATGCACACGCAAAAAAGCTGCTTCGCCCTCCCACTATGCACCATATGATTCTGTGTTCGCTGTCTTGTGTTCACTGTCTTTTACACACCACAGGAAAAAATCCAATGGCATTAGGCATGAAATGCTAATCATGTGAAATACAACTATTCGTTTCTACTTTCCTTTGTTCACTCAGAAAGTGAGACTATATCACCTTCTATAGAAAGCAAATAACGCTTCAGTGATGGATGGTAACTATTCATAATAATCGGGAACTTAAAGAACTTAAAATGTTCGGTGACAACTGAGCAGATGATAAACTCTCACATTCTAGGTTCACTTATATGCATTGGACGACCTCTAAGGCATTGGATAAGTTACACTTATGAGTACACAAGCAGCTGTCTCATAGGAGGTACCTTTATGCAAAAAATATCAGGTTATTTTTGCCCTATTACAGATGCTTAAAAAGCTACCAGTACTTGATGCAGTTAGCTTGTAGCTTTTAACAATGCTGCTATGGTAGGAGTCATAATAGTGTGAAGGCATTTAACATGGAGAGCGAATTAAGCATCATCGCAACTTTGATTCCGCTATTGAAATTAAGATCTTTTTAAGATCGACTGGGGAAATTAACTATGGTTTGCTTTGAAAGTACCAGACAATTGTTTACAATAATGACCCCGCCTTTAGAACATTGGTAGTTACTCTCTGTAATTCTTTGCTTTTTTCTCCGTTGGCATTCTGTTTCTGGTGAGGAACTAGCAGAAGAACAGACTGTCTAATGAATAGTGTCTCTTTCCAAATGAAATATGAAAACTGTTTCTGGAATAGTGTCTCATGAATTTTTTCATGAGTTGTTGTTTGGGGTTTAACTAAAAATGCATTTATGGGAGATCTAACAACTTGTGTTTAGTGGAAGGACGATGTTATACTTAGAGAATATGAGCAAGGGGCTTGGGATTTTTTGCATTGGAAAAGAAAATTGTTTCCTTTTATCTCCTCGATCTATTCATTTTGTTGTAAAATTTTGACATGATATTATTAAAATATTGAAAGATGCATCTTTTCATCATCCAGGATCTATAGCACATCATTATAATGCTAAGATGCATCATTCACATCATTATGCAGTGTTAATATAATACCATGGCACCTGGTTTCTAACCCAGATGGTATGCGAAAGTTAAATTTATGTTGGTCCCACATCAATGGAAATGAAAACATTTCGGAAAAATAGCTATTCACTTGTCCAGAATACATTACCTTACTGGACCAATTGCTTTTGGGATATATTCACTGGGCAGCACTTCATGTGGGGAAGTATAGGACTACTGGAGGTGTTCCTTTTCGTGAAATTGCAGGGCTCTCTGCTTACTGTTGTCTCCTTGGCTATGTTTTAGTGATAAATGTTGTAGAGAGTAAGTATGCTGTCAGATAAAGTGGTACCATGAAGAGGCACCCCTATATTGCTTCGAAGGAACAAAAAATACCCAACAGTCTCATGGTCGTATGAACCCCTGGGCTGCCGTTCTTGAAGAATTTGGTTCATGTATGAGCTTTGTGGACTGATAGAATGCCCAAAGAACTGGCCAACTGTTCACTGATTACTTCGAAGGCCTTAATAACCATGCATATTAGACATGTGGAGCCGGGGTGAAGAGTGTTTCAGAGGACGGTGCATTACGTGCAATTAGACATTAATCAGCTGTTTAAAGAGAAAGGGTGACAAACGACAGTTTGAAACTTGGCCACCATCGTTACCTATTTACATGTAGTACAAATGAAGTATAATGTGGGCCTAATGGGCTTGTATACTGAACCACTCACAAAACAGTAGTAGGCCTATTTCAATGGACCTTCTAAGAATTGCCTTTGCCATAATTGGGAATAATAAAATGGAGCTGTTTTCTTTTTCCCATGATGGTGCATACTGACTGACATCATTTTCCCGCAACTATGCGTAGCTGGGTCATTTTTAGTCAAATGATTTTAGAATTATTAAAACTGACCCCCTTAAAACTTTTGATTATTTTCCTGAATGACAACCATCAGATCACCTTCCTAGACTGATCTTTACGTTTGACCAAATTCATTTGAAGAGTCATCAGCCCTTGTTGGATTGGTAGTTAGTTTCCCTTTTTTTAATAATTCGTTTGATGTTAAACTGATTGGCTTGTATGTGTCTATGATGAGGCGAGATTCATGCTGATACACGGAAACAATCATTTCAATTTCAAAATTGCCCTGATGGGCTTTGAATGTGCTGTAATAACATTTTTCTGCCTTGACATGTGTGGTGAAGAGGCAACCCAGCCATTAACTTTGAATGTGCTGTAATAACATTCAAAATTCGATTTTTTAAAAAGCTGGATCGTTACCCCCCTATGTCCCCCTCGGGGGGAGGAGCTATTTCTTTTAAAAACTAAGAGAAAGAGTGACAGTTCAATCAATCTTTCTTGGGCGAAACAGAGGCGTTTATTACTTTTACTGAGAAAAAACACCTCAGTTTCAGTTGATAGTGTTATGTTATATAGGAAAACCTTCACTTCACAGTGCATCATAAAGCATGTTCTTTATTGCATCTATTATTATTGCAGTTCATGGAGTGGGATTACAAAAATATGGAGTATGCCTCATGTGAGAAAAGTTTCTACTCTAAAAGGCCACACAGACCGTGCCACTGATGTGGTTTTCTCTCCCGTCGACAACTGCTTGGCGACTGCATCTGCAGACAGAACCGCCAAGCTTTGGTCCACTGATGGATCGCTGCTGAGGTCATTTGATGGGCATACAGATCGCCTCTGCCGCATTGCCTTCCACCCATCTGGAAAGTATCTGGCAACTGCAAGCTTTGACAAGTCCTGGAGGCTGTGGGATATAAACACTGGGGTTGAGTTGCTTTACCAAGAAGGTCACAGCCGACGGCTCTACGGGATTTGCTTCCATCCTGATGGATCATTGGCCGCCTCCTGTGGCCTTGACGCCCTTGCGCGTGTGTGGGATCTCCGGACTGGGAGGAGTATCTTTGCTTTGCAGGGTCACGTAAAGGAGGTGAGTGAGGCTCAAGACAGCCTGCATCACTCCAGAGCTTTCCACTTCCCTTCACTTGTACACCGAGCTCTGTGGTTCCTGCTTCCCTTCATCTCTGAGATCCTGGATTCTATTTCAGGTCCTTGGAATCTGCTTCTCTCCAAATGGGTACCATTTAGCTACGGCTGGCGAGGACAACACATGCCGCATATGGGACTTGAGGAAGAAGAAGTGTATCTATGTCATACCCGCCCATGCTTGCATTATTTCTCAGGTGAAGTTCGAACCTCAAGAAGGATACTTTCTGGCGACTGCTTCGTATGATACAAAAGCCATGGTGTGGTCGGCGAGGGATTTCAAGCCTGTCAAGACGCTGATTGGACATGAAGGGAGAGTGACTGATCTGGATATCACCGGAGGTAACTCTCAACTCATCATCTAGCTTCTCCTCTCCCTACCTGTCTGCACATCACAGGTTCGCCATTAAAAACGCCTCCTCTACCATCGTTTTACTCTGCAGATGGCCAGACAATAGCCACCGTTGGGCATGACAAGACCATTAAGATATGGGCATGCAAGAGTGAGAACAGTGCTATGGATGTTGATGATGACCCTCCATCTTGATGGTTTTCTTCTTCTCTCATTCATGCATCTGATGATCGTGCCTTGAATGCAACGTCTTGTAACATAAAGTATTTCAGGTCTAGTTTCCTTTAAAATTTTGGTGAATCTTCTTGCAGGTTCTGATGTCATGCATTCGTTCATCTGATAATTGGTATATTGGGGTGAAATCTGGGAAGGATATTACCTGGCCGGATGATGAATTTCTTTGACGATGTGATATTTCATAAGTACAAAAATCTCTTCATCAAATATTTGGCAAGCGTTTGACACGAGAAAGTAGGATCTTGTATTTATTTAATTCATGAATATGATAACCATAAAGGAAAGCAATAGCATCTCTTCCAGGTGACAAACGGGAATTCTTCATTTTTCTTTCATTTCTTGCTTGTTCTTCCCTTCCTCCCACTTCCACTCTATTTTCAAACCCTCATTCTATTCTCAACCTTTTCGTTTTCTCTCCTCACCTTTTAGTTTTTCTCTTCTTTTGATTTTTTTTTCTTATCAGACATTGATATTTTGTTTGTTTTTAATCAGCCTTTGTCATTTTTACTCACCAAAAATTGTGATTTTTCTCAAGCTGGCAAGAAGCTTCTCTGGCAAGAGTTCTAATATTTTTCTGTGAATTTTCTTCTTTTCTGGATCGTTTTCCCTTTTGATCTTCTATCCAATCTATTCCCTACTCCTTTCCTTTTGTTCTTAATCTGGTTTACATTCTATTTTTCCTTTACTTTGACAAAAATATCAATTTTTCTGACAATTTCTCTCGCCAGTAGATAATTTTCCGCCAATGAGTTTCTCACACCGTTTTCGTTTCTTTTCCAATGATTCCCCCCTCTCCCAACACACCTTCTTTTCTTCCTTATCTTCCCCGTTTAATTGTTTATGAGTTTGTTTTATTGATTTCTCTTCTCTTTTCATCCAAATTCCTCTCCCCTGGCATAACCTCTCTTTTGCGATTTTCAATTTTTTTTTTATCTTTTCTTCTCTCTCATGTGTCATCTTTGACTAGTCAACTCTTTTTTAGTGGTTGTCACTCCTTCCTTTGTCACACCTTTCTCCCTCACTCCTCTCCCGTCTCCCCTCTTTATTCCCTCCCTTGCACAAAATAGTATCTTCCTGGTTCTCGTGGCATCATCAACTTGCAAGGGATAGTTTATTTAACTTTTTATTTTCATTAACAATTATTTTTTTTATAAATCATCTAATGATTTCAAAATTTTGTTTGCTTTAGCTGAACACTAGATTTACATTCAAAATAAAGCACATCATCTTTTTGGGTTGACTTGGACTCAATCAATATTTCATAATTATACGTTTAAAATTGAATGTATCACTTAACTTATAATGACAAGTGCACATTACTATGTGCTTAGACATATGTTAAGGTTTATATGAGATTCTTATGCCAAATGATGAATACAATATCTTACTTAGTTTAAATTTAATATCTTTATTAGAGGAGAATGTTTGAGATATTTAATGACGAGGTTTACAAATTGCTACAAGTATTACATCATATCCTCTTCTTATTATATCCTCACCTTGATGAGAAATTAAATTTGATAGGTTATGTGAAATCACCTAGCTTAGTTGACGTCTTAGTACAATATTACTTTATCCTCATAAATACATTGGATGCACATCAAATTAATATTTTTTTGAGTTTGCTAAGTGACTGCAACTTGTTGCCAAACTTTGTGAAGTAGACCAAACTACCACATGATTCAATTGGATAATAGATCTTAGGAACACATGATGAATACTTTCTAATGCTTGTGAGGCACTAGCATCTCTGATTGGTGCTCTACTTTGCTAAACCATTTAAAGTGGTGTAGTAAGTAAGATGACCTATCAATGTCCTAGTAGGCCATGCAACAAGTTGACCAAATTTTCTTAAGTTGTTGTGACAATGGTTAAGATATTCACATATCATTGATTCACTTCGTTAGGCTATTTTTCTATAGATGAAAGCTGGTGGAGAATTGTAGTTGCATAGCAATTTTTTTGAAGAGTATCGTGCAAAGATACTTTGTAAATTATACATCACGATAACTAACACTATGAGAAGTCTAGAATTTAACTATATTGGTCATGGAAAGGCATGCCATCTCTAGGGGTACATAGAATAATAATATTGGCACGAATATTACAAATTTAGAGAAACAATTAACCATAACAAATATTGCTCCAAACTCATTCACCCTTGGTAACTTGACAATGAACTATATAGAGATGGACTCCCTGTGTCAGCTCAAAGAAGATAATGCCTCCAAGGTGCTCATTGTCTTAACTTTCTTTTTCTTATCTTGATAACATAGTGAATAAGATCAAACATAAACTTCAGCATCTTATATTATATCTTACCAAAAGTATTATCATTGGATTGCAATGTAAGTATGCATTCTCATCTAGGGTGTCTGAAATATAAGATATTCTACACCTCTAGTCCACCTATGTGTGACGTAGACATTAGTGTCTACACTTGTGAAAGATCATGTCCTCGACCTAAAATAGCTTGTCAAGCCTTTGGCTGTGTGTTGAAGTAGAAGCATTACTTCTATGTCTAGAATTGGTGAGCTTAGTTCTCTTTTGAATACAGTGCTGTCAGTGGCTAAAAGTTTTACAATAGTGAACTATCTTTTAGCTAAGAAGACCAATCATAGTGTTGTTGCACCTGAATTTGTAGCTTAGGACAGTAACATGTGTTTTGAGGTCACACATTGTCCAATTATCTATTTAGACAATGAATTAATTCTCAAGAAGATAGTGTCTATACTTGAAGAATATATAATTATTGTCATGAATTTCTCATATAGAAAGTAATGCTTCTCAATGTTATTTTACTTTTAGCTTTCAAACACCATGAATGTTATTATTTTATTAGCACCCTTACAAGGACCAAAGTCTAAAACATTGATGTGCATGTTAAATAGGCTGCTGAAATCATGCAGCCATAAGATTGATCATTCTTATCTAGTTACTTGAGTGCACCTAGTAGACCACTCTTATGTCACATCTTTCCTTAGAATCTCTATCAATAGTGTCTCCAAGCCTAAGAAAGATGGTAGCTTTAGCACACAGCTTGTTGTTGGCTAGTCTTCAATAGTCTAAATCTTTACTTAGTTCATCTGCTTGTGATCACACCCCATGACATGACTCAAAAAGGTATACACATCTATTCCAAATTCATTCTTCATAAGGTTTAGGTACAACTATTTTTGTCCTAATTTGAGAAACATCTCTTGAACATGTGCAACGTGCTCCTTTAAACTCCCACTTTAGACTATAATATTATCTAAGTAGATAATGATGAGCTTGTTAATCTATTTATGAAAAACTACATTCAAGAAAGTAACAATAACATTATTGAAACCTCACAAGATCACTATAAATTAATACAAGTCATAGCACATCATAATGCTGCCTTTTGCTTATCCTTTCTTTAGTTTGGACTTGATAATAACCACTCTTTATAGCCATGCAAGAGAAAAATACTACTTTCATCTAATTGATGAAATAGATAATTTCTATTAGGTATTTATGACTTTTCTTTTACCATAACTTTGGTCAATGTAATAATCAAATGTAATCATAGACATCTATCCTTCTTATTTTGAAAAAAGTTGAGGCTTTTGTATGATGCATTTGAAAGGTGAAAATGTGTTGCCTCCAATACCTCATATTAATGACATTTTGTATGATGCACATGCAAATTACAACACACCAAACATCAATGATATCTTGTGGTCTACCTTTTCCAATGTGGTAGTCAAGCTAATAGTGCTCATGATGAGAAATCTCTTAACTCCTCTAAAAAAATAGGTAACTCTTAACAAGAATTGACATGGTGTACCAACTTCCATCATTGGACACACCACAACTATGTGGGTGCTTTTAGTGTTCATGGTGGTCTACATGTTTGTGGTGCATTTGCTGCACATGTATTTATGTTACCTATAGAGTTGCACACTCTCTTGAAGATATGCAACATGCTTCACTGCTCATTGCATGCATCACTACTACGTGGGTGCTTGTAGTGTTCATATTAGCCTACATGCTTGTGGTGCATTTACTTTACCTATAGAACTTCTCATTCTCTTTTGTTGGCTTGAGATTCAAAAAGAGTTAATCATCTTTCTCTTTAAGGTTCACTAGGGAGGTTTTCTTGGCCTTCCTATTTGGGAATCTCCGGATCTATGCTTATTTTCAACTCCCCAAAGCATTTCATCGCTTGCTATCCCCTTCCTCATCTCTAGGTGCCTAGGTATCCACCATAAGCCTTTCCTCGTTTGAACCTCACCATTAACGTTAAGGCTATGCCATCCTAAGGTGCTGCTAAATGGAAGGATCTTATCAATGTCATAGGCCATTTGAAATTGAGTGTTGATAACATCTACACCCATTGTTAAGCCTCTATTGCCTAACAACGAGTGTAGATGAACATAGACTTAGTTTTTCACAAGGACGAGACATGGAAATGGTGAAATACCCTTGTGATTGGATGTGAAAATTAGTCCCAAAGATGGTGTTAAAATTATCCATCGATGTCACCATAAACTCTACAATGTCCTTTACTATTCTAACATTTAGTGAGGCTCCATGTGGGGCACTAGGTAGGATACATGTCGTCAAATTAATGGCTTTGATTTAGCCATTTCCTCATGAGATTGTTAAGCCCAACCAAGATACCTCTTTACTTGAGTGGAAGTTGTGAGTAGTCCAGCTATTGATCATCACAAGGATCTGCCATGCGCCACTAGTACTCAAGTTGACCAATTTGGTTTTCCTAATCATGTTTCTATTTATGTACCACTACAACATACTTAGGAGCTATTGACATTTAACTTTCTAATTAGATATATGCTTGCTAGAATAAAAGATAGGTGCATCACTTGTAAGCAATGATCAATGTTTCAAAGGAAAATCTTCTACATGAATTTTGTAACCACCTAAAAATGTCCTAAGCTCTTGGACTTTCTATCACAAAATGTCGCTCACTTGTAGATGATAGTTAGGACCAAATTTTTAGAAATATCAATTTTATCAATGTTAAAAGTAATTAAATTTGATGAAAACATTAAATCATGTTTTTGAATGCATCTCTTGAATTTATGCTTAAATATGCATATTAATCTTGAAACTTTTTTACTCAATCCTCTAACATGCACTCAAAAATATTTTTTTTGAAGTTGTACTCTTGAGAATATTATTTGCCAACTGACAAGGGTATATTCAGGAAGCTGAAAATTTTCTAGATTTATTTACAAATATATGTAGTGGATAAAAAGTGGCCCTAGGCCAGAAAAGAGGGGCATTCAAAAATAGAGGGGTTCCCCTATTCGTGGCAAACAAATAGAGAACCCTGCAGCAGTGGGGCTCAAGAGTGTGCAATGACACATGTAGATGAAGCAGTGGTCAAGTAGTGGTGTGGGGCATGCAGTGGCAGCATAATTCAAACTATCAGCTCTAGTGGCTCGACGATCTCTCATGACAAACAAGCAAGAACCTCCATTTTAGTTTTACTACTACTTAAATATGTTTTATATCTCTAATTTCGAGTTTAAGTAGGTGATGCTCATAGTTTTTTATGGAATTGTACCTAATTGGCCGATTGTTATTAGCAGAGAGAGATGCACTAACGTATCTCTCTCTCTATCTCTCTCTCTTTCACTCATCTCCTCTGATTCTTCCATCAAAATAAGTAAAGAATTACTGTTGCTCTTCTCAAGAGATTTACAATCTCTTGCCTCTGCTGACAAAGGCTCTCTTCTCGCGTGGCTTTCCCCACCTGCTTGAGCCTATGCCCCTGTGTAAAAGGAACCCTGCTCAACTTTGCTTCCTACACCGATATGGATCAAATTCGACATCTGAATTGAAAGTCATCCTTGATCGACCTGAATCCACTAGCAAATTAATGTTATTATTTTTGCTGAGCTCAGTTATAAATATTAAAATTGACATCTTCTAATTCAATGACTAGGTGATGAATTAGTCATTAAGCACTTCAACAACACTACATTAATAGCTATGCCATTGAGGTTGCATACACATGTTAATTTCTCGAGGTTGCAAGTGTTGAAAATAATGGTAAATATGGAAATATGTTAATTTCTTGATGTTGCAAGTCCTTACAGTTGTTTCAATAGAAAATAGTTTCAAACGTGACTTTTTTCTTATCCCATGAGTTTGAGACTGTTTTTATGATCTTTCAAAGTTCTGTCAATATAACCTTGAGAATGTGTAAAAACTATTTGAAAAGATTTTAGTTCTTGTAGATCTATGAAACACGGGAAAGATTTAAGATTCTTTCAGAGTTTTTTCGGGGAAGCTTTTCATTTCAATAATTGTTGAGTTCTAATTCCCAAGACTTGTATTACTAAATGATACCACCAGAAAAGGTTCCTCCCCCTATTTATTGTGCTCATAGACTTTTCCCCTTAAGTGTACTCTTGTAGCTAGTCTAATTCTGATGTGATAGTTTCCTGTAGAACCCCCATGAGTATGAGAAATGGTAATTCATATTTTGATACACAGGTTTAAGAATCACAGCACAAAGATCAACTAACAGCAGCCACGAGTTTTTATTTCTCACAAAACGTAGGCGAGCACGTCGAACTGCAAGAGATGGGGGGGAGGGACAAGTCCAGCAAGATACTGGAGGGAGAAAAGAGAGTGTCGGGTGTTAAGACAGACGAAGAACATTGGTCCACCAGCGCTGCGAGGAAGGATCCTTGGCTGTCTGCTTCTAACCTTGTGTTGCTCCCGGTCGGCATGAATCTAGAGTTTGATGGCCGTGGCTATCGAGAGCTGGGTTAGTAGTCATGCCAAAGTAGCTGTGAAGAAGGGGCAGTGACCCACGCGAGCCGGCTGTGGACTTCCCCTCAACGTCGCCACCCTCAACACCCTCATCAAAGGTCACTGCCGGGGAGGGGGACCTCGTGGTGGCTCCCAGGCTGCTATGCTCCGTGGGTGAGAGACTGAGTTTCTGTGAGCCAGATGTGGACACCCATAACACGGTCATCAATGGGCTCTGTGAGCATGGATAAGTGAGTGATGCCGTCAAGCTGTTTGAAGAAATGCCCGACACAGGTATCTCCCGCGAATACCAACACTTACAACACCATTGTGAAGGGCCATTGTCAGGCGGGGAACACTAATCTGGCTTTGCAGCTGGTCAGGAAAAGGCTAGATCTCGGGCTTTGTCTCTTACAGCACGGTTATTAACGGCTTCTGCAACGAAGAGCCTCTTCGAGGAGATGACCACAAGCCGCACCAAGCCGAAAGTCATCACATACAATGCTCTCATCAAGGGATACTGCAAGGGGGGCAACACATATTAGGCAGTAGATTTCTCTGGGGGATGTTCTCCGAGGATGATTCTGAGGGCAGCCCGGTGAAGTCACTTACAGCACGGTGATGGGGTTGCTCTTCGAGAGGGGGCTGCTCAGTGAAGCCAGGGAGCTGTTTGGGAAGGCGGCCTAGAAGGTCTCGGTGCGCAAGCCCTGCGCTGCAGGCGTGGGCTGCCCTCAGGATCGCTGGTCGCTGTTGAAAGTGTACTAACTACTGGCCTATCCCCCAAATGGAATATCCTTTCTCAAGGTGCGGGTGCATAATTGGTGACGCTTGTTTACGAAGATCATACTTCCAAGCACTAGGGTTCCTCCCAGGGCTCGAAATGTCTATGAATTTGCCTTCGGTTTGGTTGAAGATCTTCCCCAATTGATTCATACACAGGGTTAGAAGTGTTTATCAGGGCTCAAAAGCGGCCTTGTGGCGTTTAATGCTTGTAATTTGACAAAGCCTTGAGTGAGGGAGCATCAGAGTGAGATTTGAGCGCCGACAATAGAGGAGCTGTCTGGGATAGTTGAAACTGGTCCATCCCTTTCTTCCAAGCTTCTTGTCGGTTAGGGGAGGGGGATTACTATCTGGAGAAGACTGCGAAGTACGTTTGAACAGCAGTCAAAGCGATGAGGAGAAAACCAGCGAACACGGAGAACATAGCCCATGGGTTGCTGAAGTAATTGTGCACCAGGCTCGCCCGCCATTTGTTGTGGGCGAATTCGGAGAAGGCCACCACTTCCTCGAAGATTTCTTTGTTGTAGTGATCGTCGTACTTGAGATGGGTGCCCTTGCAAAGACTGTTGAACAGGTCTGCGACCTCGGCGTCGCTTCCGAGCTTGCTCTCCAGGATGCCGCGGCCCCGTAGGATAGCAACGTCGCCAGCGGTGTTGATGATGTTGTCCACGAAGGCGCAGTAGCTGGTGAAGTGATTTCCAACGTCCACGCAGCACTGCTCCAGGGCGATGAGATTCCGCAGCCGGGGGCTGGTGGTCTCGTCCACCGACAGGAAAGGTATCTCTAGTGCCCCATCTCTGAACGAGACCTTCAAGTAGGAGGCGATCTTACCTTGGGGGGCTACCTTCTTCTTGAATTTGATCCCCGCCGCGCGAAGCTCAGTCGCGCAGGGAATCTCTCTCGGTGCCTTCGATTTCTTGGTGGGACCGAAGCAGCCGGGCCAGTGTCGAATGAAAATCAGATAGAGCAGGCCGAAGAAAAGCACGGAGATCAGATCGATCGATTTCTTGAGTGGGTACATCGCAAGCTGGCCGCAGGAGCGCCGATTGGTGTCCTCCTTTACGCGACCAGGATTCTGGCACCAATGCTCGAGGTGGAGAAGATGGAATATGTCGCTCGGTTTGGGGTACTCCTCCGGCTTCATCCCGATGCCGAGGAATTTGAGGACCAACTCCATAAGATTCAGAGGTTCCTTTCGCTCGCCGGGGAAGGGGATCGTCGTCATATTGAATAGCTCGGTTAGAACAAGGAACGGGATCTGGTTCTCCAGCAGCAGCAGGTCCCTCCGCAGGTGAGTGAATCCCCATCCAACGCCTGCGAGGACGGCCGTTTCGTGCGTGCTGCGGAAGGCACGCTTGGCCAAGTACTCAATGATAAAGCAACCGTCGACCACGAGCATCTCCACGAATTCGTCATCGGAGAGCTCGATCTTCTCCGAGTACTGATCCTTGGTGGCGGGCAAGCAGCTGCGGATTACGGCGACGTAGTACTCCAGGCTGTTCTTTTGGTGGCGATTTAGGAGGCCGCGCAGGTACGTAAGCTTGATCTGTTCCATGGGGAGCAGTCTGGGCTTCCCGTGATGAAGCGGGCCGATGGAGACCAGCTTGGGCTCGTACGCTTCCTCCTCTACCTTCCTCAAGTCGGGATGGACCCTCCAGATAGAAGGTCGCGGATGGTCGTCGGAGATCAGTTCCTGGAGCTTCATGTCGATCAGACCCACCAGAGGATCCATACGAAGGGACCAACTACCGTCGGAGGTGGAAGCCGGATCGTGCTTCTGAGGGAGGGATGCCATTTCTAGCGGGATCTAACCAGAAACGTTCCCCATGGCGACGGCGGCATGCCCGGACGCCCTTCGCTGTCTCCAGCGGCGACGAGAGGAATACCTGCTGGTTGAGAGGGGTGTTCGATACTGCCCAGAGACACTCCAACGGTCGCTGAGTTCGCTGTAGGGTGGGAGAGAGGATTTGACGCCGTTGAGGCTTGTCCAAACACTCCGATTCCTCTTGATCTGAGACTATCGTGGGGAAAGGAGGGGAAGCTGATCTGGATAGAGGCCGGGGGGAGGAGGAGAGGGGGCTCCAACCGGGAGAGATGGGGTCCTCACTACCAGCTGTCTATATTAAAGAATGTTTCTTGAGACATTTGACGATGGGACCTTCAGATTGTGACAGGTCAATGCGACACAGTATCACATCATGTCCTCTTCTCATCATATCCTCAGCTTGATGAGAAAATAGATATGATAAGTTTTGTGAAATCACCTACCTTAGTTGACCTCTCAGTACAATACATTGGGTGCACACCGTTTGTGGTACTCACTGAGGACAATTGGCTTTAACAGCTGCTTAGTCCTCATGGTGGAGCTTCTACTACTTCCACCAAAGCTTGGAGACAGGTTAATCACTTTTTGAGTTTGCTAGGTGATAGCAACTTGTGACTCTGCCAAAGTTTGCGAATTAGACCAAACTACCGCACCATTCAATGGGATAATAGATCTTGCAAACACATGGAGAGTACTTAGTAAGGATTTTGAGACACTAGCATGTGCGATTGGTGCCCCACTTTATCAAACCATTTGTAGTGGTGCAGTTAAGTGAGGTGGTAAGTCAATGTCCTAATGGGCTGTGCAGCAAGTTGACCCAGTTCTCTTACTTTGTTGTGACATACTAGTGAAGGAATTCACATGTATTTATTCACTTCGTTAGGTTGATTTTCCATATATGAAAGCGGGTTGAGAATTGTATTTGGGTATCTATTGTTTCTGAAGAGTCTCATCCAAAAATATTGATAAATACATCATGATCACTAATTCTAGGAAAAGTCTAGAATTTAACAATGTTGGTTATGAAAAGGCATCCCATCTCTAGGGATACATAATATAATTATGTTGGCACAAATACAATTTAGAGAAACAATTGACCATAACAAAGATTTCTCTATGTTCATTTACCCTTAATAACTTGATGATAAAGTATATGGAGATGGACTCCCATGTCGGCTCAAAATAGACAATCTTTCCAAGGTGCTCGTTGTCTTAACGTGGTTTGTCTCACTAACATAGTGAATAAAACCAAACATAAACTTCAATGTCTTATATCATACCTTACCAATGTAATTGTTGGATTGCAATGCAGTATGCATTCTCATCTAGGGTGTTTGACATATAACATAGTGTGACCTCCTCTAGGAGTCACTTACATTGTCCACCTGCATGTGACATATATAGTTAGTGTCTACAATTTTAATGATTATGTCCAACTAAAAGTAGTATGTCATGCCTTTGGTTGTGTGTTGAAGTAGACACATTGCTGCTATATCTAGATTGGTGAGCCTATAACTCTTTTAATATTATACTATTGGTGGCTAAAATTACTACAATAGTAGACTATGTCTTGTAGATAAGAAGACTTATCATAGTGTTGATGCACCCCAATTTTTACTTGTGGACAAAGTAACATGTGGTTTGAGGTTACGTGTTGTCACATGTCTATTTAGACAACCAAGTAACTGTTGAGAATATAATGTTTCCATACTTGAAGAATGTATGACTGTTGTCATTAATTTCTCATGCACAAAGTAATGCTTCTCAATGTCACTTTACTTTTGGCTTTCAAACATCATGAATGTTATTATTTTATTAGCATCCAAACAAGGACCAACGTCTAAAACATTGATCTGTACCTTAAGTGGGTTGCCAAAATAAGTAAAGATTAGTCACTTGTACCTGCTTACTTGAGTGCACCTTTTGAGCCACTCCCATATCACATATTTCATTATAATATCTATCAATACTATCTCCAAGCGTAAGAAAGATAGTAGCTTTAGCACACGGCTTGGTGCTGGCTACTCTTCAATAGTCTAAGCGTTTGCTTGGTCCACTCTCATGTCCTCATGCTCCATGACATGATTCAAAAAGGTATACACTTTTATTGAAAATTCATTCTTTATAGTGTTGAGGTACAATTAATGTTATCTCAACTTGAGCAATATCTCTTGAAGATGTGCAACATGATCTTCCAAACTCCTATTATAGACTAAACTATCATCTAAGTAGATAAAGATGAGCTTGTTGACTATTTATTAAAAGTTACATTCAAGAAAGTAAGAAAAATATTAGTTAAGCCTCCCAACATCACTATAAATTAATACAAGTCATAGCACATCACAATGCTGCCTTTGTATTGTTCCTCTTTAGTCAAGACTTGATAATAGCATTCTTTATATCCATGCAAGAGAAAAGTACTAGTTTTTATTTAATTGATGAAATAATATTGGTGATGTTGTTATATGATGCATTCGAAATGTGAAAATGTATTACCTCTAATAGCTCATATTCATGAGATTTTATACAGTGCACATGCAAATTGTTATACACTAGATGACATGACTTAGTCGTCGTATAGTAAATCACATAAATTTAAAATTTATAAATTTCTAAAATATTATTTTTAAATTTTAAAAAATATTTTAGAATAAATTAATTAATTATAATTTGATACAAAGTTCTTAAAATAGTAAAAAAATTCAAATCGATCATAGGGATGTAAGATAATATCAAAACATATTTTAGAATTTTTAAAAATATATATATTTATAATTTTTAGACTAAATGATGAATATAAATATATTTAAAAGTTCATGAAAAAGAAAAATAAAAGTGTGGACATTAGGATGATGTCAACACCTTGAGGAATGTGATTTCTATTTCTGCCCAATGATTTTTATGTAAGTGATTATAGAAAATTTAATAGGTTAAATTAAAATCTATAAAAGTTAGAAGAATTGTAGAAATTTGAAATCACACAAATATCACTAAATTAAGTGAAAATAAATTGAAATTAAGAAAGATAGAGTTTCGACTTTACGATAACAATCATAATAATTTTATGTGTTCAAGATCATATAATATCTAAGGCCTCAAAGGCTCTCTTTAGACAAGGATGACATAGGCAATCTCTAGATCTTCTTGCGATATTTAGAAATCAATGAAGTAACTAAAACTATATTACTAATTAATTATTAACCTTATAATAATGAAGATTTATCACTAAATATGATTTTATATCTTATAGCCCACCTTACACTAAAGTGATAATCAAGCTAACAATACTCATGATGAGACATTTGTTAAACCCTCTTAACAAATGAATAATTGTTGACAATAATGGACATGGTGTACCAGCTTCCATCATTATATACACCACTACTATATCAGTGCTTGCAAAGTTCATGTTAGTATACATGCTTGTGGTGCATTTGCTGCACATATATTTAATATACCTATAGAGTTTTACATTCTCTTTTGTTGACTTGAGATTCAAAAAGAGTTAATATCTTTGTCTTAAAGGATCACTAGGGAGGTTTTCTTAGCCTTTTTATACACCATTTGGAATTTTAATGTTAACATCTATACCCATTGCTAGGCCTCTCTTGCCCAAGAAGAATATAAGCTTAGTTGTTTAGAAGGAAGTGACCACACAAATGGAGAAAGACCTTTGTGTCTGCATGAGGAAATCAGTCCCAAAGATGGTGTTAAAATTATCCATCAATATCACCATAAAGTATACAATGTACTTCAATATTTTTAAGATTAAGCAAGGCTCCATATGCAGCACCAATGATGATATGTGCCATCAAATTAATGGCCTTAATTTGGTCATCTACTTATAACATTGTTAGGCCCAAATGAGACACCTCATTTGAGTGGAAGTTATGAGTAATCCTCCTACTGATCTTCACAAGAGTCAGTCATATGGTACTAGTATTTATGTTCATTACGTAAAACTATTGTTGTAATTAAAGCTTGAATGATCAATTTAAATTTATGAACCAGAAATTAACACAAGAATATGAGATTATATATTAGTAAGTTTTAGGTTGATCATAGGGACACTTGAAAATTCGAATTAATTATTCAAAAAGTGTAATTGAGAAGGATGAACATCAAGGTGAGATAATTAGGGAGAGATAGTTCTATTTAGAGGTAGTGATGAAGGTATTTTCACAATGGAACATAAAGAGACTTAATACTAGAAGAGGAACTAAAAATTTAATCTTCCAATGAACAATCTTTGATTTAATGAATTCAGTTTCTTTATGGAAGTATATTGAGATTCAAGGATAAATAATCTCTTAACTTAGATGTATGGTGTCCTTACTGATGGAGACACCACACATATATGCATGTCTTGAGTAGAACATATATTCACCCAAGGAACAATTCTATGGTTATGTCACACAATGGTGCTCACTAAGTTGTGCTGGAACCCATAGAAAATGATCTTTCAACCATGCTTTGTTGGATGATGAGGGAAAAGACAAAACTTTCATGGGATGGAAATGAGAGAAAACAAACTCCAAACATGTCTTTGGAGTGAAAAAAATAAGAGACAAACCAAACCTTTAAGAGAAGCTCGAAGAGACTTCTTCCAAAAGTGTATAATAGAATTATCCAACACAATGAATATTCTTTAGAGGTAAAATACTTCTTAGTGGAGCCTCCTTCATGGAAAAACTGTTGAGAAATGTCCCCCCCCCCCTTAAGAGAGTTTTTGTCTGCAATTTTTCTAATGGTTTTCAACCCTTCTATTTAGTCCTATTGTGGCATCATTAACAATTGTGGTCGAGTTGTGGGTCCTTAAATCTGATCAACCTTTCCTTCCTTTAGTGGCTGCTTTGACTTATTCATGTTGAAGGTATTGAGTGCATCAAAGGATAAAGAATGAATGTCATATTTCTAACTATCTTTGGGTCTTTAAATCACATGTGACAATAATCAATAATTTCTATTTTACATGACAACAGTTGATAGTAGCATTATATCCCAAAGGTAGTTGTGAGCTCACTTAAGCTTCATGTCATGTGGTGCTTCGAGCATCATTGGATCAAATTGCCACACGATTATTCATTCACTTATGTTCTGAGTCACATGGTACTCTAAACATTGTTGGATTGAATCACCACATGACAGTTTACTTATATTCTCGATCATGTGACACTCTAAGCATTGTTGGATGAAATCACCCTGTAGCATAACACCAAAAACATGAGAAGCTAGCAGTCCCACATTGATTTATTTTAAATTTTTTATATCCTTATATGTAGGAGCTCCCTTATTTGTTGGAGCTCTTCCCAAAACCAAGATAGCAAGAACCACTTCGAAAAAAGGCTTAAACCAAGTAGTCTGCCCTCACACAATATGCATGTGTATGATGCTTCTTGCCCCATGCTTGGTTGGCCCTTGGTGACTTGGAAGGAGAGTGACACACATGCGTCCCACAAGTTCACCTTGTCTAGGCCCACCCACTCGAGCATAGTGCCCTCAAGGTTGACTGTCAAGTGCTAGTTGGCTAGCAGATCCTATATATATTATTATTTTATTTATTTATTTAAAAAATATATATAGATATATATATATATTTCTTCTAAAAATTAACTCAAATATAAAATAATAAAACTATTTAAATATTGAAAAAAATATATCATTAACCAAAAACTGATTGTTATAATGTGTTAAGCTTATAGATCATATTTTTAAACATAATTTATGTCAATTATATGGAAAATAATCAAGTCAAAATGATGGTGTCCTATTTTAAATTCAAGTCATTATGCTTACCAATTATAATTAAAATAGACACATATGATTTCAATTATTCAGTATAAATAGAATATTATCAAATATAAACCAATTTGGTTATACTAATCATGTTTGTATTTGTGCGACTACAACATACTTAGTAGCTATGGACATTTAAGTTTATATTCCGATGTATGCTTGCCAACATAAAATAAAGGTACATCACTTGTACATAATGATTAAAGTCTCACAAGAAAATCTTCAACTTCTTGAACTTTCTAGGTGCCTAAAAATGCCTTAAGCTCTATAACTTTCCATCACAACATGTTGTCCACTTATAGGGCACTCGTCATTTGTTGAATATCATCTATAGATGATAACTAAGACCAAATGTTTGGAAATCTCAATTTTATTAGTGTTACAAGTAATTAAATTGAATGAAAATATTAAATCATGTTTTTGAATGTATCTCCTAATTTATACTTAATATACATATTAATCTTGAGAAAGTTGTACTCAATCATCTATCCTACACTCAAAAATGATTTTTTTTAAATTATACCCATGAGAAATATTATTTCCTAGTGACAAGGGGTATTCACAAAGCTGAAAATTTTCATAATTTATTTACAAATATATGTAGGGGATAAAAAGAAGCTCTTTGAAATTGAAATTTTCTAATTTGATGACTAGGTGATAAAACCCATCATTAAGCACTTCAATAGTACTACATCAATAGAAATCCTTTGTATCCATGTCATCTCTCCACATTGAGCTAAATTAGGTGGTTGTCACTTTTGTAATTATCTGGACATTCTCCAAATGCTCATCAAGTACACAAAAATGGGTTTCACTAGGTTTTGCTGTTTGATTAACAATGCCACATGATCTTCTAACTGAGTGATTCTTTAACTAACTATTTTACTCTCTCTAGCTATTACTTTCCCTCATCTAGACACAAGCCAACATGCTTTGATACCAGTTGCCATGTTGTCAACATCGGACATACCCCCATTGGGACTTTGTGAAACCACACACTCAAAAAGGAAGGCTTTCTTATTTTACAGTAGTAGGGTACACATATCAAGGGAGGGATGAGCTCGTTTACTGCCCACTTAATGCCCCAACAGTTTATCAACATTTCAATTTAAGTAGAGGCATGTAATAAGGGATAAATTCATTAAATAAGATATGCTTGGATTAGACTAGGATGAATGAGATTGGTCTAACCTCTTGTGCAGATGGTTGACACCCACTGTTGATAGGCAAGAGCAGGGCACACAAAGTGTTATACAACCTTCAGCTCTAGATGGCTGGTGCTTAGCCTACCATCACTTGGGCCTATGTGTTTGTTCATGTTCTGCATACCACTTGTAATTGACATTCCACACATGCACTAGTTGGTGCTCCCCCTCCTATCATGCATTGTGTACAATGCCTATACCCACCATGTCTTGTGAGTCCTTGCACAATACATGTGTTGTCTCTATGCTGCTGTATGTTGTGTTCAGTTGTGTTGTTGTACCATGCTGCTGTAGGTTGACACCATGTCACATCATGTCAACACTTTTCTGTCTCTAATGCTAGCTCATGGATGTGAGATCCATGGATCCTTTCTTTGCCTCAGCTGAGACAATTACTTGTGCCTTGCAGGTCCGTATGCGTGCTATGCAACATTTCTACATACCTCCATGCATGCTACACTTCTTAGTGCATGTTGTGTGATGCTAACCCTTATGTGGGTGCTGAGGTTCTTTAGTCAGATCCTCACTCCTTTAAGTGAGGGGTTGCCAATAAAGCTAGGCATGTTAACTCTAATGAACACATCCACTGCTTTCCTTTTATGATTGTTCCAAGAGCTTATAGAGGATAGTTTATTGAAACAATCTTTTCACATTTAATGGGAATTAAACAAGTCATTTTCATGAGTTTCTTGTTGCTTATTTTTGCTTTTAAAGTACAAACTCTTCTATTAGAAACATTGTAATATAGATATGATTATGGTCGATTAACACAACTTGCAATAATTTAATCCTAACCATTAAAAACTAGTTGTGAATATGCATTATAGGTAGAGCAAGCCCATTGTAACATAATAATATATTTTCTAGTTACAATACTTGGCCTTTGCCACTCTATAACCACAACATGGATGCTCCATAAAAAGGGGACTTCAGGCTATCAATTTAGTTTTATTTTTGAGAAGATATGATATAAAGTACGTTCTGGCTTGTAAACCAATGTTGGGCTCAAATAATGTGAAGATTATATTATTATTAACTGTTGAAAGAAGCACACATATAGATGAGAGATTGTCACATTGAAATGATGTGCTATATGTCTTGATTTTGATGTCCCAAATATGCTTATTTTCATATGTTATTACATGAGATGTGTATTAGATATAAATTCATCAAATATCTAAGTTAGGAGAAGTCAATGCTAAAAGTTGACACCTGATAAGGAAATAGAGAACAAATTGATTGATGATCAATAGGTACATAAGATGGTGGTGAACATCTGCAATAGAATAGCACCCCAGCTCAAAATTGTCAACACTATTACAAAAATAAAAACTTATACATAATGAGGGGACATAAAGTGGTATGCAGCTTAGTCATTAGGACATGGATTAACAATCGAACACTTGGGGTCAAAATTAATAAAGGTCAACAGAAAAAAGTGAAGAAATAAATAAGTAATATAAATGTCCCTACATGGTATTGCCACCAACACAGAGTAGCCCAAAAATAGTTCAAAGTCATGGTCTTGCAGAACAACATTTATTATTAGGCTACAATTGTAATAGGTTCATGATTGTTATATAATTGGGACAATTGACTGCCTTCTCATTCTCCCCTTTTGTTGCTCCTAAAATTATAGTAATTTCAAAGAATAATCTAATTAGTTGTCCAACATACTTTCAAAGGTTTTGAACTAAGTTGCTCAACTCTTGTACTCAATTGATTAATTTGAAATTATAAGATTGTACCAATATTTACAAGCTCTTTTTAGAGTAATAGGCAACTCTGTGTTGGTGGCAATACCATGTAGGGACATTTATATTATGGATAAAAATTCTCATATGAAATAGATACAATCCAATAGAACCTTCCAACTTTATCACATCAATGATTGGTCTTCCATTTTTAAAGTATCGAATGGAATGCACTAACCTTTAATGAGGTTTCTGGTACAACTAAGACAAGTAGTCTAAGCTATTGATTTGAAAACTCCTTGATTATGTCCTATTAATAATGGTAATATATATTGTATGTAATTCATTTCAAAATTAAAATTTACTTCTTTGGGAAATTTATTATTATGAATATTTTTCCTAAAAAAACACTAATGGAGAGTCAAATTTGTCTTTATCATCCTATTTAACCTTTTAGCGCCAGATTTCCATTCTATGATTACTTGTTGATGGATATCTGCCGCAAGGAGGAGAAGATGAGCTCACATGGCCTTCTATGAACCAGCCGAGCAGTAAGGTTATATAGGTAAATACCTTTTCCAGAAAGTTGGGCCGGCTTGTTATTAACCATCTGCAAGTTTGTTGCCGTTCGGCGGACGCTACGCCGGTTTCCCTCCAACTACAAATGGAGAAGAACCAGCAGCGGCTTCCCCCGTCCCCTACCATCTCGAGAGCCTCGGGAGGGAAGAGCTCCTTTCGGAAGACCAAAGTGTAGGTGGATTCTGCAGCAGGAGATGGAGAGAAGAAGAGGGCGGCCCAGGCGGCGCCCTCGTGCTGGACCCCCTTCTACTATTCCTCCTCCACCCATCTACGTTGGTGAGTGCGCGCCGTGTCGCTCGTAGAAGCAACTGTCCCCTGTTGGCATTTCTTGAGGTGGTTTTCTCCCTGTGTGCCGATGATGATTCTGACGTGTATTGCTTTCTGTAGGAAATTGCACAGTGGAAGTCGGAGGCAGCAGCGTCACCTGCGAACGCCAGACCGATGACTGCGTACTTATTTCAACCATGGGCCCCGCAAACATCAGGGTCTCCGCAGGCATTCTCCAATCCTTTCAGCTTTGTTTTATTTTGTTTTGGGTTTTTTTCCGATGTCGGGTTTCGTTTCTTAACTATATTTTAATTTTCCTTTGAGCAGTCGATAGTACGAGGAATTTAACGACCCACGAATCTTGCATCAAGCATTTGTATGGCCTTAAGTCTTCCTGCAGAGGTCTGCCTTCATTCATTCGTCTCTTCTTTTCGTTGTCTGCTCAGCACCGAAGTTAAATTGTGCTGGGGCATTCCTGTGTTCATACATCTAGCAAGACTGTTCGACGATGTTTTTTTCACCTTTGCGTGCAGTGCTTTTGAGAAAGAAAAGATTCTGTGTCCGAATTCTATGGACATGTTTGGTTGCGTACTTGAAATTCCAGAGTAGAAATTTAATTTTCCAACAGAATTCTACCCTCGTGTACAGTTATTCACTTGAATAAGTTGCATATTTTCTCATATTTTTCATTTTATATTGGTGTTCTCCGCTGATTACTGGGGAGAATGTCTTATTCTGCCTTTTTCGCGTAAGAGATATTTGAGAGGTCTTGCAGTTAATTTGCAACATGGTATTTTGACTTTATATACCTTTAAAATGATTCAGGTAGTAGAATGTTGACTGTGAAATGGATTCTTTTGTGCAAGCATAAGACAATGCCACTTCGTGTCAAAGTAGATAATCATTTGAATGAGCAGGATGGATGAATATTTTTTTCACTACACCTAATAAAGTCAGATCATCACATTGAAGTTTTTTTTTCCATTTTTTTCGTGAAGGTGCACATTTATTGACTCATACACGTTCTTCTTTCATGAATGTGGTGCCTTTATAATTGCAGGTGAGGAATCTTTTTTGGTAAAGGACTGTTCATTTCAGATGTTGAACCCAAAGGATATTGATAGCCGTAGCAGGACTCTGGTTCAGGTAATGCCTCTTCTGTTCACTCTGTGTTTCGTGTGAGTATTTGGATCGATTATATTTATAGGTTACTGTTTACGATTTTGCATAAAACTTTAATGCAGTTATGTTGGGAATTAATTTTAGTTGTTCCAGCTCTTTCAAGGGTATCTGCTTGAAACTGTGGGCGGTTTCTGGCCTATAATGTTTAGGGATAAATGGAACAGGGTGTTTTCACGACTGTGATAAAGTATATTATGATCATTTTTTTCTATTTCTTATATGGACATGAAACTTTTATTCATACTCTGATAATGTAAACTATGATGTCAATATACGTTCTCACATCATCTGTGCCTTACATTAATTGAAGAACATCCTGCATTGATCTTCAATTTTTTATCTAACTAGAAACTTGCAACATATGACAGGAGGTTTTGAATATTTACATGAAAGAACTTCCCAGCATGAACTATGCTGCAAATACTGGAAAACGATCCACGTTCCTTGAAAAGTGTGTCTCTGGTGGGTAAGTATTTCTTATTTGATTGCGTAGGGTTTTTTTATTCATCAACATGTGCTGAACAGTGGTAAAATGTATGGATGTCAAGTATTTGAAAAACGTTACAGGTTTTGTTACTGAATTTGTCTCTTAGGGATTATTTCTTTTTACTATTTTATTTCAACCTATTGCTGTTCTCTTTGGATCATAAGCCTTCATTCTTCAGGAAATACAAGACAATGGTGCTGAGAACCGATTCTACAAAAGAAAATGGTGAGGTAAGTATCCTTGAATTTGTTTTGCTAAGTGAATTGCTCATTTATACTATTTGAGTTATCTGGTTTCTCAAGGAAAGAGTTGGCTGCAAGTTTAGCGGACTCATCTTTATAGCCACTGTTTTATTTCCGTATTAACTGACACAGAAGTATTGTTAAAAGATACAAATACCTTTTATCAATTTTGTTACATCTTTTTCTTCAATGTTTTTATTGATTTTAAAACAGTATGAATTGATCATTTTTCTGTGCTAAAAATTCTTATTGATAAATTTTGTCAAGGCTAAGGTAATATATAGGTGGCTCAATGTAAGTGCCAACACTTTACATTTATTGATTGACAACTGTAAAGAAATAGAGACTTGAGTTTACGAGGTTTGACACTTGAATGAGATGTCCCAGATCCGGGGAAAACCATAAAACATTTCGGAAAAAGTCAGCAGTTGCAAATATATCCTATCATCTATCTTTGAATGTTGGTTAGATTTAATTGAAAAATATTTCTTTGATACTCATGTCCATGATTTAGAAGCATTGTTGAATAGTATGGCTTGATTGGTGTTATTGCCAACTGTCAGCAGATTTAGCCTTTGTCCGCCATTTGTTTAGTACTTTTGGTTTCGGCTACATGATTTCTTTGGTAAGGGTGCGAGTTACGAGAATTGAATTTTTAACTTCAGCGGAAATTTCAAAAACTCGGAATGCAGAATTCATTCTTTCTCCGTATTTAATTTTGTAGATTGCGTGAACAATTATTGATTCGTTTTCTTATATCTTATATAGTATTGTATCAAGATTGTTTGATTCCAAGCATTTAAAACTTCAAATATTTCCTGAAAACATTATAATTTCTTCTGCCAAAAGCTTTTCCTTCCAAAGATTTGTAAAACTGTAATACTACTTCATAAGCATCTGCGTTCCATATCTTTGAACTCATGACGTCGTTTCCTAACGGATTTTAATACTACAAACCTGACAAAGGAGTAGCCTAACCACTTTTAGAAGTTTGGTTACCTTCATTAATGTCCAAACTGTATGGACGCTTTGCTCAAGTTCTTGAATGCTTCAATTGCTGAAGTTCGTTTTGGGAATCATACCCTTATATATAGTTATTGGTCCATGAAATCTAAAAGACCAATGTCCAATGCTCAAAACATTAACAAGTTGGATGAGATGAACTTCTAGTATCTATGATTTGAACCCTATTGGGCCCCGAAATCTCTCTCTTTCTCTCTCTCTCTCTCTCTCTCTCTCTCCTTCCTTCTCTCTGGTTTATTTTCTGCTTTTGAATGCATAATATTTCTTTACATTGCCCCGTTGTTTTCACATCCTGACTTTAATTCAGGATCCCATTTTAGAAGTCTTGGATTCGCTAATATTATGTGATGTACTATCATCATATAATTTTTCGTTAAACCGTATACAGAAAAGACCATTGAAGTATTTTCTTCTTGCTGGTATCTGTTGTTCACAATAAAGCCATGAAACAACTAGGTGGAAATTAAAATGCAATTAATATTAGCTTTTTAAACATTCTTTAGTGAATCGTATCCCTAGCATTGGAAGTAGTATTATATTTTAGTCTTCTATTTCCTATTGGGTGTATTGTTCAGTGCACATAGCGGAATACTTTCCAGGGAGGTTTCTTTGACCACAACCTTTGACGGCTTATTATTTTCGTTTTTCAGGTTATTGCTGCTATATCATTCCAAATTATAGCCAGTGATGCACTATATTCTGAAATTCCTCTTGCTGCTGTCTGTTCTGAGCACCAGCGAAAGGTATTACTTTCTAATTCCGTTTTTATTGCAATCACTTCAGTCAATCATCATATTAATAGAGTGTTTCGGGTGAACATCAAGGAGACACGAGTGTTAAAGGTTCATTTAAAATCTGTGCCCCCTCCCTCTCTCTCTTGTGCTCTTGCCTTTTGAATGAGGTACATTACTTTTTGTGGTGAACCTTGTGAGTGGAGAATGATACAGATAGCAGTTGTTACATGAAGGATCATAAGTATTTTATCTGGTTTTTGCGTCATATTGGAGCTCCTTTTTAAATCCAGAAAAAGTGAAAAATTTCTCCATAGCATGATGTTCTATCATTGCTTGTTAACTGAAATGGAATTCAAGTGATATTTCCTTTGTTGATAAATGATGGCTATCATTTGTTGCCTTGTTCACTTTCAATGGATGGTGAAAAATTCATCTAGCACATCATTAAGAGATGGGCTTTTTGAGAGTTATGTGGATGGGTTTGGCTTTTTAAAGCTGAGTTTTCAAAGATCATGCTGCAGCTGAATCATGACTTGGTAAAGACCTTCAACCACAAGGCTCTGTGAGAAAAAAAATCGAATCATTCAAACATCTTTTTTTTACTTGCTGGGTGTGGTTTGATCCATGAATCTTTATGTGCACCGTCTAAATTCTTGAATTTTAACTATTCTAGCCCATCTAAATTCTTAGAAAGCATTACACATTTGTACAGCTAATGAAATTTTTCACACTATTGCACTGAACCATTATATTAAAATTCTTCCACCAAGAAGCCTCTCTTAAAAATTTTATCCTCTCCTTTGACGTTGTCTTTGCGAGTTTCTCTTTTATGAGTTTTCTTGATGTGCATTTAACATTTTTTTTCAGGGTATTGGCCAGTTATTGTATTCTGAGCTAAGAAAAAGACTTCAGAGTGTGGGGATTTTTACTATATTCTGCTGGGCAGATAAGGAATCGAAAGGATTTTGGGCTAAACAGGTATAAATAGAGCAGGGCTCCGTTGCTTATTGGCTGCAGATTGTGTTCGTTACTATGCATAATGCCTATACCTCATATTCAAGTTGGTTCGGTTGAATGCTTACATTTCGATAGAGTCTGTTAGGGTCTTAGATAAATAATCTGATTCCTTCCATGGCATCTGTTTCCGTAAGTATTAGAATTGTATTTTCAATCATTGTGATGGGAAGATGGCACAGCTTGTAATTTGTAGAGTCTGAGAGAGAAGAGGTAAAAACATAGGCAAAGAATAACGGAAGAGAAATCATTTGGTTTCCAATGATGCCTTTGTGCTTTTACGGTCTTGTTTGTTTGCGGGTAGATTTTCTGAAAACTATCAGTTTTCATGACTAAAATAAATACTTCAAGAAACTTCATGGAAACTTTGATTGTTTGCTTCATTGAGTAGGCAAGGATATATTTTTCTTAGCCCTCATATGGTCTGGCCATGCGTTACATATAATTATGAATAACAAGGATACCCTTTTGCAGGGTTTTACATCAATAGGTGATGTGGATGGAAAAGGCAGAGTTCGCAGGCTTCCAGTTCGAGCCAGTGTTAGAAAGGCATTATGCTTTCCAGGCGATTCCACACTTATGGTTTCTCAACTCAAGAAGGATGTAGTACAACCTGGTATCCTTAATAAAAGTATAATATTATCTTTAAGCTGTAGATCTGCAGGCTCCCTAGATATCTGTGAAAATAAAAAAATTTCTAAGTGCAACCTTTTCAAACGCTTCAAACTGCAGGCATAATACTATGAATTTTTCAATGTCTGTTTTTAGTTTACTAAAGGAATCTGGCTAACTCCTTTATTTGGTTAGGTTTTGCATACGAATCGGCAAACATTCACTCTTTGTTTTATTAACCTGGATTATTGTGCAGTGTCGTTAGTTTTTTAGCCCCGGGTCCCTTGAAGATGTACGATTTATGTTTCAAAGATTAGCCTGATTAGTCTGGTGTCAATCCAGTTACAAGATTATGCACCGATACAAGTAAAATATAATTTGAAAGATCCAGTTTTATACTGTACATCCAATTCTTTTCCACGTTCATATTTTCTCAAATGGTTTATAGACTCATTTTTGAGCTTTTGTAAATATGGTTCTTTGTAAATTTATGGTTTAAAAGTTAATAATGTAGACTAAAAATAATAAAACTTGCACAAATTTATTACTGGGCTCCTAATATTTCACTTACTATGTTACTCTTCACTTTTCCACCTTCCAAGGGGTGTGTTTCTGGCTGTCCACACCTTCGAAGTGCTAATTCTGGAATCTGGGTCATCAACTCACATTGCTTTGTTTGATGTTCTTTAGGTCTCACTCCATGTGCAACTAAACTTCTTGGACACACAAATATGGTTCCAGGCGTTACTGATTTAGATATTGCAGAAAATATTCATAATGATGGCGAGAAGAGTCGTTCTTCCCCTGGCAAAGGGGAAAAGAGGTGTCTCTGGGAGGCTTCTTTGTCATCTTTAAAATCAAAAAGAATCAAAGGCTGTCATCTCACAGATTGTGGCATATCTTCTGATTGGTGTTCTGCTGGTGAGCATGATGCTGGAGATGCTGTCCTTGTGGATTCATCACATGATGCATCTGAATGCCAGCCCCTTCTTGATGCATTGACCAA